ACCATCATCAGCAGAATCATCGCTTCAAGGGTCTTGTTGTGGCTATGTTTGCAGGTCTCAAGAGAGTTACTTTGCCCTCGCAACGTCATTCATCACCATTCAAATGACTGCAAATCCCCCACCCCTCCCTCCCCCCCTTCCACCACCCCCCCCCCCCCTTACCGTGTCCCTCCGTGCGCAGCTATAGTGGCCATCAGCATCAGCATCAGCATCAGCATCACCGCGAGAGTGGGAAGTATGACGGCTGCTGTCCCGGTCAAGCTTGTGTCTGCCAGGACCCTCTGGCATGCCAGCCTTCCGCCCGTCACGGCCTTCCGCTGCTCCAAGCTGCGACACAGCCTGCCGCACCAGTGGGATCAGCAGCATGTGCAGCAGCAGTGGCATCAGGAGTGTCTGCAGTAGCAGCAGCGACATTTGAGGCGCCTCAAATGTCTACCGCCCCTCACATCATTCCGCTGCGCCAAGATGCAACTGCAACACACCATGCGGCACCAGTGGGATCAGCAGCACCTGCAGAAGCTGTGTTGGCGGGTTCAACTCCCGCCGAAATGGCAGATTTAGCAACAGCGGCGGAATCAGCAGCACCACCAACACCAACGTTACCACCAGCAGTATCACCACCATTACCAACAGCATTATCAGCACCACCACCACCATTACAACCATTAGCAGCAGCAGCAGCTCCGGTAATTGCACTGACTGCAGCATCAATATCACCAGCACCTGCTACAATGGAACATGCAGACCCACAGCTACAAACATTGCTTCGGGAACTGACAGTGACACAGCCAGCCCAAGCAGATGCTCTTGGGGCAGAAAGGAAGCAGCATGAGGCAGCAGTAAAGCGCAGGGGGGGCCGCCCGGGGCGGGTCAACATGAAGTTTCTCAAGGACCTTTTCTCATCCGAGTCTGCGTCACCCGAGCCTGCGTCACCCGAGCCTGCGTCACCCGAGCCTGCCTCACCCGAGCCTGCCTCACCCGAGCCTGCCTCACCCGAGCCTGCCTCACCCGAGCCTGCCTCACCCGAGCCTGCGTCACCCGAGCCTGCCTCACACGAGCCTCCCTCACACGGGCCTGGCTCTCACGACCCCCCCTTACCCAAGGCGGGAACTAATATTGTTGCAGATTCAGCAGAAACCCCGCCGCTCCAATCCCCATCCACCATGCGTGGCAAAGTGAGAAAGCAGCCATGCATCCAGGCGCCTCAAAGGGAGACTCACGCCCCACCACTCCACCCACCCTCACCCCAGCCTGTCAGTGCCACACCAAGCAAGCGCCCCCGGAGCATCAGAGCCAGAGCTCCAAGCAGGCGTCACACCCATACAGCCCAGCTCCTGGTCCCCCCTAATTTGCCCTTTGAGTTGCCTGAAAAGCCGCCTCGCAGCCACAGAGCCAGAGACAGAGCCGCTAGCAGGCGTCGCACACAGGCAGCCCAGCAGCTGCTGCTTTCCCCTTCTCTTACATTGCATCGAGTGTGTTGCGCCTCTGATGCCGTTGCAGGTGATTGTGAGAGCGGCGGTGGAGGGGAGGAAGGGGAGAGGAGAGGTGGGAGGAGAGGCGAGAGGAGGGGTGAGAGGAGAAGTGAGAGGAGGGGAAAGAGAGGTGAGGGACTGGGAGGGAGGGGCGTTGGGGATGGAAATTTTGGTGGGGTGATGGAGTGTAGAGATGGGGATGGGGAGGGAGATGAGGGGCGTGATGGTGAGGTTGCAGAGGAGGTGACAGGTGCATTTTACGATGACTTGAGTGATGAAGGCTGGGTCAGCGAAGCTGCTTGTAACGAGGATAGCAGCAGTGATTACAGTGAAGGGGCTGTGAGTGGGATCAGTGAGGAGGGCGAGGGAGACAGCGAGGATAGTGCTTCTGAACTGGGCAAGCGCAGGAGAGCAAGAGCTACACACAGAAATTCCGTTACGAGCAAGAAGAGACGGCAGAGGAAAGCCACCAAAGGGAATAAGAGAGACGGCTCAATACTGAGAGCACAAGCCCCCGGGAGTGATGTCTCGGGTGGTAATTCCCCTGGGGGTATTACCCCTGGGAATGATACCCCTGGGGGCGCATTTACACAGTCGGTGACACGGCATTGCAGTCGAACGGATGGCAAGGGGTGGGTGTGTATGCGGATTCCGAGGCTGGGGTTCTCGCTGTGCGATCACCACATTGGGAAAGCGGCGAAGCTGGTGGCGAAAAAGCGGGAAGAGAAACTGGTTGCAGCTGCTGGGGACATTGAGGAAGGGGAGGACGGGGAGGACGGACAGGAAGGGGAAGAAGGGGAAGAAGGGGAAGGGTGTGATGGTGAAACGCAGCAGGGTGGAAAGAAGGAGAGGAGAGTGCACAGTCCGGAGAGTTATGCTGAGGGTAGGGAGATGCGGAGGGTGAGGAGAGTGAGACACTAGAAGAACAAGGGTTGAGGTTCTATTGAAGAGGAAAATACTGTGATACTCACGAATGATTGGGTGACTGTTTGTGGGGGCATGGAAAGTGATCATATGCTAGGAACATACAGTTTTTTTCTTCGGAATAAAATGTGCTCGGTTCCGCCGTGTTGACCCGGTCAAACTGCCTACCTTTCCCCTCCCCCCTTGTCCCTGCCGCCTCTCTCCGTCCCCTCCCCCTCACACTCTGATGGTACCGACTTCAACCGCAATTAACAGTACGTCAGAGAGGCCTTTGGTGCAACCAACAAGCACAGGGAAGGGATGGGGAGGGGGTGAGGGAGGGAGGGGGGGAGGGAGGGAGGGAGGGAGGGAGGGAGGGAGGGAGGGGAGGAACTATGGACTCCAGTATCAAGGTATTTGCACAGTGCACCGCGGGCAGGAAATGATGATGTGTTTCTCTGAACTCTTGGAAATAATCAAAGATGGGTTTTCAAAGGAGCTTCTTGAGTGCTTTTGAGATTCGGCCAGGAAAAAGCGATCAGTTTTATCAGAGGCTTTGGAAGATCAATATTGCTACCAGCCAGCATCAGGGTAATGGTTACCATGTTACAACATAAGATAGGCATGATGCTCCTTAAGGCCCATCACCATATTGAGCACGCCCTACAAGGTCAAGGCAACAATAGTTGCAACGAAGCTAAGCAAGGCATCGGAAGGAAAAATATACCATATGGTGAAATTTGGAGCGTTCATTCGGGTCCTTTGTCGGATCAGCCATGCTGCTGCCACCACCAACGCATAAGCGAGATGAGTATGGGTCATGCCAATCTCCTCGTTGGCTGTGTCACACCGTATTGAGACCATACCTGCTTATTTACCCTCTGTTTTGAGTTATTGAACCACCTAGTCGAAGAGCGAGGCGAGGCCCAGAGAGCTAGGCCTCAACCCATTGAATGTCATTGACAATCTTACAATCTTCGATCTGACATGTCTGGTAAAGGTTACCATGCAACCAAGGATGCGGTGATGAGGCTGAGGGAGTCGGTGAATAATTCAGTAACATGTCGTATACTAACAATGACATGTTACTCACACTGCATTGCGGACAAAACCGTACCCTATTGCTGGACTGATGCCGTATTATTCAGCAGGTCATTGGCATTGTTTAGCGGCTTTCTATGTGCTATTATGTGTGTTTCAAGCCTCATACGGTATGATACATGGTCTACGTATTTTTTTACGAAGGGTATGCTCCCCAGGGGAGGCAATGAGATCCAGGCCCAGCATAAGAGGCTTATATTGCTCTTGAAAGCAGCTGGAACATAGACGAGCAGCTGTACATACCATATAATATATATTGAAGCAGTTTTAAGCAGGGTATGCTCTTTCTTGTACAAGCCGTTTTGCTACACTCCCCCTCCACCCACGGAATTGGCATCGCGGAAGAGCTCACGACCGTATCCAACCGTCCCTCGCATAAACGATCTCTCTAAACCGCAAGTAAACTGTTCACTTGGACTTGTGCCGTGTTCTCGGGATTGCACCCGTGAAACAATTCATGGAATCATGGGGGATGGGTGGAGGGGTGCTGCTCTGCTGGACGAGTGAAGCAGGACGCGTCCCCTCCCACGATCGATCCTGCAAAGGATCGATATTTAGCGGGGTTGGAGAAGGTTCTGGTAGTTGAGAGTGCAGCAAGTGGGATTTCAGTGCGGTGGAGGATCGATTTTGCACGCGTCCTAAATCAAACAAGCATACAGCATCGTAGAATCAAGGACACGGATTACAGTCCCTGAATATAGTCAGTTAGTTTCCTCGTCCCTAAATATAGTCACTGGGATGGCTGTTGGCTGATGTCAGTAGTTTCTTAAAAACTACCAACGAGGGAGATGAGCGGCGTGGATCAGTCCTTTGACTTTTTAGTTCGATAATACATCAATAATCGTAGTTCAATGCTCCTGGTCCCCCTCGTTCTTCTTGCAGCACTAACGAAGTCCATGCACCACCTAGGCTCCTAGGTTTGTATAGTCGTTAACGTTTGCGTCGATTCTCGCCTGGAGGTAGTACAAAACGTCAAGTGTTTTGAGACTTTCTGTCAAGTCTGTCTGTCTGTTCTCATCGGCAGTCTTACGATTCAATTGGCTCCTCCGCGTACGCCGATTAGACGAATTCTTGTAGTTCGGACGAAGCTGCCGGATCCCACATTCCCTGTCCATATACGCGCATTCTGACGCGCATTAGGCGAATGATAAGCTGCTCGATTGTCGTACATCGTTTTGTTTCTTTCGTTGGGATTCTCTTCGTCAGAGCTTCTTGAGCCGGGGCATTCATTCTCTTTCTCAGCATCCTGACCGTTCAAGTTTAACTGCTTTCCTTTCGCCTGGTCGTAAGGTGATACGGTTACCCTAATTGAAGTCGTTATGCGCCGGGATTTCGGAATGTCGCCAAGGTTCTCATATTTTATTATGCGACGTGAATTTCCACATTCGCGGATGTTTCGTCACTCCCCTTAGTTAATGCAGCTATTTCACCCAAGCCTTGACTACCTGCGTGATGGCCGCTGCATGGTGGATCGTCAGAATGCTGCCAATTCTCCTGGCAGGCCTCTTAGGGCTAGCCGGCTTCATGTCCGTTACCGTCTACGTTATCGTCTTATGGCTCCGCCGAAAGGACTCAGAAGAGGTACTACGCACGGGTCTCACGATCACGGGCTTGCCATTACCCCCATTCACTGACAAATCCCTGTTCACTGACAATTCCCCTGTAACTGGAAGTTCCCCCACTCACTTCCCCCACCCACGTTCCTTTCAATTCCCCCATTCACTAATATCTTCCCGTCTCCCTGACATGTTCACCTTTTCCTCACATTCTCCACTCTCCTGTTTTCTGATTAAATACTGACATGTCCACTCAGCTCACAAATCGAAGTAGCCCTTGACCCGACTTAAAGCCTCCCTCGCCTTCGCCTTCCCCTTCGCCACCCCACAGATCGCCAAGGAGCTGATTGTGCGAGCCAAGGCCAGTCTACGTGGCGCGACGCCCGCTGACGTGGCAGCTGGCGTGGCGCAGCTCTCCGCGGCGGTGGACCGCGCGCCGTGGCTGGCGGGGTCGCTGCAGGAGCTCCGCGCGCGCGCGCTGATGCGCCTGCAGCGGTACGAGGAGGTGGTGGCGGTGCTGGCGGAATATCTACCGGATCTCTCCACTGTGCACAACGCCATGCACTACAGTGAGTTTGTGGGGTTGCTTATAGCGAGTACAGGCGGAGATGCGAGGAAGGGAGCGCGCTGATGCGCCTGCAGCGGTACGAGGAGGTGGTGGCGGTGCTGGCGGAATACCTGCCAGATCTCTCCACTGTGCACAACGCCATGCACTACAGTGAGTTCGTGGGGTTGTTTATAACGGGTACAGGCGATTATGTGAGGACGTGAGGAAGGGAGCGCGCTGATGCGCCTGCAGCGGTACGAGGAGGTGGTGGCGGTGCTGGCGGAATACCTGCCAGATCTCTCCACTGTGCACAACGCCATGCACTACAGTGAGTTCGTGGGGTTGTTTATAACGGGTACAGGCGATTATGTGAGGACGTGAGGAAGGGAGCGCGCTGATGCGCCTGCAGCGGTACGAGGAGGTGGTGGCGGTGCTGGCGGAATATCTACCAGATCTCTCCACTGTGCACAACGCCATGCACTACAGTGAGTTCGTGGGGATGTTTATGGTACAGGCGATGGTGTAGGGAAGGAAGTGCACAGCGGTACGAGTAGGTGCTGGCGGAATACCTGCCCTGCCGGATCCCGCCACATCCCTCCCTTTCGCTCATCCCTCCCTTTCGCTCTTCCCTTCTCTTTCGCTGCACCAGAGGACGAGAACAAGGCAGCCACAGACATGTGGCAGTGGCAGTGCCTGCTGCTGGGTAGGTCCTCTACCACCCAGGCTTTTGTGATTCCTCAGAACTTTTTCTACGTCCCTCCCTGTCTCTCCCTCTTCTGTGCAGCGGAGGACGAGAACAAGACAGCACGGACATGTGGCAGTGCGTGCTGCTGGGCCAGGCCACCTACCACCTGGGCTTTTGAGACCTTTCAAAGCTCTCGCTATATCCCTCCCTCCCTCCCTTTCTCTCTCTTTTTCTCTCCCTGCTCGCTGACAGCGGAGGACGAGAACAAGACAGCACGGACATGTGGCAGTGCCTGCTGCTGGGGCAGGCCACCTACCACCTGGGCTTTGGAGACGTCTCAAATCTCTCGCTATATCCCTCCCTCCCTTTCTCTCTCTTTTTCTCTCCCTGCTCGCTGACAGCGGAGGACGAGAACAAGACAGCAACGGACATGTGGCAGTGTCTGCTACTGGGCCAGGCCACGTACCACCTGGGCTGTTTAGACGTATGGAACCACTCGCTGTAACCCTCCCTTTCCCCCTCCCTCCCTCCCTCCCTCCTCCTCTCTCTCCCTCCCTCCCTCTCTCCCTCCCTCCCCCCTTCCCGTCTTCTGTCCCTGCTCGCTGACAGCGGAGGACGAGAACAAGACAGCAACGGACATGTGGCAGTGCTTGCTACTGGGGCAGGCCACGTACCACCTGGGCTGGCTGGACGAGGCACTCGTGCTGCTCCGACGCGCCAAGAGGCTCAGCCAGGCTGTGGCGCGGTGAGTCATCAGACCGTCTGTAGCACGGTGATTCAGCATGGTAAATCTCGGAACAGGTTGCAGTGCAACGAGTTTTTGTCCTCAGCTTTAGCATCCGCCCCTGTCGCCTCCCTCTTGCCCACTGATTCGCTCTCTCCTCCCTCCCCTCCTCCCATCCTCCCCCTTTTTCCATGCTGCAACATGCTTCTTTCTCCTACACCAGCAAGGAGAGTGCTCTGATGGACGAGGACCAGTTCCCAGTCTACGACGCCTCCCACCCCGCAGCCACGGCGCCACCCTCTCACATCCCCTTCCCTCCCCATCCCCACCACCCCCTCTCTCACCCTTGACCAGCAAGGAGAGTGCACTGATGGACGAGGACCAGTTCCCAGTGTTCGACGCCTCCCACCCCGCAGCCACTGCACCCTTCTCACATCCCCCCTCTCACATTCGCCCCTTCCCCTACCCCTCTCACCCTTCACCACCACCCCACACCAGCAAGGAGAGTGCGATGATGGACGAGGACCAGTTCCCTGTCTATGACGGCTCCCACCCAGCAGCCATGGCGCCCCTCTCCGCGTCCTCCTCAGCGGGGGAGACCCTCAACCGCCTCATCCTCGTCATCCGCTTCCTGCTTTGGCGCCGCTCTGCTGGGGACGCTGCCTTTGCGGCCGGGCTCTACCCTGAAGCTGTTAGGCACTACTCTAAAGGTGCGTGTGTGAGGTGAGGATGCGTGTGTGTGTTCATGCGCATGGGATGGGAGTGGGTGCTGCATCAGGCACCCTCAACCGCCTCATCCTCGTCATCCGCTTCCTCCTCTGGCGCCGCTCCGCTGGTGACGCTGCCTTTGCTGCCGGCCTCTACCCGGAGGCCGTCAGGCATTACTCCAAAGGTGCGTGTGAGGGTGCGTTTGTGTGCGCGTCCATGTGCATGGGAGTGCGTGCAGCATCAGACCCTCAACCGTCTCATCCTCGTCATCCGCTTCCTGCTTCCTCTACGCGTCAACCGAGCATCTGATTGTTTTCTATCAAATATTAACTCAACCCCCAACTTCCTCCCCTTTTCCCCTCTTCCCTTTTGCAGTTCTCGAGTCTAAGAAGGGCATCCCCCAGTCCCTAGCCGCCTCTCTCTTCCTCCGCCAAGCATCAGATGTTTGCCTCTCAAGCTCTTTCCACCGCCTCCTTCATCCCCCCCCCCCCACAAATCCTCCCCTTTTCCCCTCTTCCCTTTTGCAGTGCTCGAGTCCAAGAAGGGCATTCCCCAGTCCCTAGCCGCCTCTCTCTTCTGCCGCCAGGCATCAGGTGTTTTCTCGCTTAAAATCTTTACACAACCCTGCACACTTCCCCTCCCCCAATGCAGTTCTCGAGTCCAAGAAAGGCATCCCCCAGTCGCTAGCCGCCTCTCTCTTCCTCCGCCGAGCCGCAGCCTTCCAAGCCTCCAGCCGCATCGCCGATGCTATCGCCGACTGCTCCCGAGCCTCAGCCCTGGAGCCTCACCGAGCCGACGCGCTCTGGTGCCGGGCCTGCCTCTACCAGTCCGTCGGCTGCTTCCAGGAAGCTTCCCAGGACCTGGAGCGGCTCCTTTCGTTTTATCAGGAGCTGCTGGCGTCAGCAGGAGGGGGGCGGGACCTCTGGTTACGGTTACAGATCAGCTGCGGGTTCTGTGCTGCGTGCTTCTTTGATGAAGCTGTCAGCGGGGCAGCAGGGGCAGGATCAGGGGCGGGGGCGGGGGCGGGGGCGGGGGCGGGGGCGGGGGCAAGGGCGGGGGCAGGGGCGCGGAGTGCTGGGGAAGGAGGGGAGCAGGTGGGAGTGGGGGTGGGGAAGAAGGGGGGGAGCGGCAGGTGTACCCTCTGTGGGAGAGTGAGGTCTGCTAGACTGGGCGCAGGAGACACAGGGCTAGTTGCTGCTTTGGAGCTAGGGCTTGGAGGGGAGAAGCGGAAGTTTGTCGGGCGGCAGAGGGGTCTGAGGCGGTGGTTTGCCAATGCGGTTGTGCACGTTGGGAGGTGGTTGGTGGCGGTGGGGAGGGTGTTGGGAGTGGTGGCGCAGGAGGAGGAGGACGAGGCGGGGTGGTGGCGGGAACAGACGAATATGGAAGTTGCTGAGAAGCATCTCACGTGGGAGCACGTGCGACGGGTGAAAGCTAAGCTAGAGAAAGTGCGGGCGGAGGGAACAGCAGCCGAAGCAGCAGCCGCAGCGGCGGCTGCTGCGGCGGCAGCAGGGGCGGATGGTCATGGAGAGGGAGCGGTGGGGGAGGGAGGTGAGGGGAGAGAGGGAGGAAGCGATGGGAGGGATGTGGCAGTTAGTCAGCGCAGACTCATGGACCACGCTCGCATCTTAGGCCTCTCCACCTCCACTGCCGCGTCTATAGGCGCTCTCTCCTCCTCCCTCGCCCGCTCACTCTCCCTCACAGGAGGGGCGGGAGGAGGAGGAGGTGAGGGTGGTTCTGGGGGAATGGGTAGTGCCCCGTCCTCCTTGCCTCAATCCCCCAGCTATTCCCAGCAGCAGGAGCAGCGTGAGCAGCGGGAGCAGCAGAGGGAGCAGAGGGAGCAGCAGAGGGAGCAGCAGAGGGAGGCGTTGCGAGAAGGGTTAGCAGCCTCCCTAGCTCTAGCTGCCTATCGCATCGCACTCATCCGTAACTCAGAAGCCCGCGCCCTCACATTCGTTGAGAAGTGCGCTATCAGGGACGGGCGGAGCTCTGAAGAAGTGAAAGACGAGGTAATGCACGAGTGGGGGAGACTGGATGGCGTGTTGCAGGAGGCTTACGCACAGCTGATACAGGCTACGGGTGGGAACAAGGACTCTGCTGCTGCCGCCGCTGCCGCTCTGCAGGTTCATGACTTGGAGGATATGGATGGGGAGGACGGGGAAGGGGAGGGGGACGGGGACGAGGATGGGGGCGCGGAGTGGGGGGAAGGCGAGGGGGAAGGGGAAGGGGGGGATGCGGAGGGGCGGATGCGGAGACGGGGGGAGAGGAGGAAGCTGTTTGGAAGGAGGTTGCCTGGGACGCCTAGTTTTAATCTGAGGCGGGGTGGGGATGAGATGGACGTTGGGCGGATGCTGAGAGGGAAGTCTAAGGTATGGGAGAGAGGTTCCGGGAAGAGAGGAGGGAGGGAGGAGATGGAGGGGAAAGGGGAAGGCGGGGACTGGTGGAGGAAAGGGAGGAGGGATAAGAAGATGAGGGATGAGCGGGGGTGGAGGGAGAGGGAGGAGAGGAGGGAGCGGGAGCAGGATTCCATGGGTATGAGTCCGAAGCTGCACTCGTTTCGGATGGAGAGGTGGGTGGAGGAAGGGGCATCGATGGATGGGATGCGGTTGGATTCGTTTGATTTCGGTGTGGTTGGGGATGTGTTTGGTGGACTGGGGAGCAGAATGAAGATCTGGAAGAAAAAGGAGGGGGTGCGGACAGGTGGTGGGAAGGAGAAGGAAGGGAGGGAGGAGGAGAAGGAGGAGAAGGGGGAGAAGGGGAGGGAGAAGGAGAGGGAGAAGGAGAAGGAGAGAAGGAGGAGGAAGAAGTTGGGGGTGGGAGATTTGCTTGGGGAGGAGGAGGATGATGAAGTGGAGCAACGGTCCAGATTTGGTTTCGGGGTGCTGGCGTGGGAGAGAGAGAAGGATAAGGAGAGGGAGAGGGAGAAGGAGAGAGAGCGGATGGAGCGAGAGCGGGAGAAAGCAGAGAGGGAGAGGGAGAAGGAGAAGGAGCGGGCAGAGAGAGAGCGAGAAAAGGAGCGGGAGAGGGCCGAGAGAGAGAAGGAGAAGGCAGAGAGGGAAAGGGAGAGGCAGGAACGGAAGGAGAAAGAGCGGGAGGAGCGGGAAGAGCGGCGGGAACGCGAGCGGGCTGTGAAGAAGGAGAAGGAGAGAGAGCGGCGGGAGAGGAGGGAGAGGAGGAAGAAGTTACAGGGATCAGCAGAAGACTTACCAGGAGAGTTCAAAGAGGAAGTGGAAGGGAAGGAGAGAGCGAGGGAGAGGGAAGAAGACCGGCCCGATACAGCAGGGGCTGTCGTGCAGAGAGCAGGGGAAGGAGGGGGTGAGAGAGAGCGTAGGGTTGCGGGCAGGGCGGCGAGTATGGGCAGGGAGAGTGATAGTGAGGGTGAGTATGAGCGGGAGCAGTGGCACCCGGGCGGAGGTGACTATAACGAAGGGGCTGATTCGTTTGTGGATCGGTTGGTTGTGCATGAGGGGGGTAAAACGGGGGGAGAGAGTGACACTGAGTGGGGGAAGATGAGGGAGTGGGGGAGGATGCGGAAGTGGGGGCGGAAGAGGAGGGGAGGGGGAGCGGGAGGGGGGAGGAGGGAGAGTGACAGCGAGAGTGACGCGGAGAGCGATAGGAGGTTCAGGGGAGGGAGTGGGGAGTGGCTTAGAGGGACAGCCAGTGCAGGTGTGGGTGGGGGAGGAGTGGGAGGAGGAGGGAGTGAGAGTGATAGTGATCGTGAGGGAGTGAGTGAGAGTGAGAGGATTAATGAGCTGATTATGGGGGAGGGAGGGGGGCTTAGAGGGGCGTTGACAGTGGGAGCGGCAGGAGGAGAAGCAGGAGTAGCAGGAGGGGTAGTAGGTGCAGCATTAGCAGAAGGAGGAGGAGCAGGTGACGTGGCAGGGGGTCCGGGCTCATTCCCCTCCTTCCCTTCTCTCTCTGATACGCTGACGTCAGCAGGGCAGAGTGAGGAAGCTTCCTTTGCAACTTCTGAAACGTCAAGCCTCGGGGGTGTGGAGGAGGAAGGGGAGGGAGAGCAGGCGGAGTTTCTGTTGGGAGGTGAGATGGGGGAGAAAGGAAGGGCAGACAAGGGAAGGACAGAGAGGGTGGGAGAAGCAGGAGGGGATCAGGAGCAGCAGGGGACGGAAAATTCGGCAGGAGGAGCAGGAGGGGGTGGTATGGGCCGTGCAACTTCATTCTCATTCTACAATCCGGTCCCACATACGCCAGGAGATTCCACCACTCCAGCTGCTGCTGCCGCTGCAGCTGGCGTTGCAGGTGCTGCTGCGGGGACTTCCATAGGACACGTAACCCCTGCCTTGTCCCATTCCTCCTCCTCTTCCTCCTCCCCGCTAACTTCTCTTTCCTCTCTTCCGTCTGCCGGTACTCCTTCCTCTGCTATCCACACTCCATCCGGCCCGTCCCCTGCTGCCCCCACCACACTAGAACGGCTGCTGATTGGTAAGCCTTCCACTCCACCTTCCCGCACGCTTTCGTCCTCCATTCCATCCTCCGTATTGGCTGCTTCGTTATCAGGCAGCCCGATGGGAGGGAAGAAAGAGAGAGAGGAGGGTTTTACACCTAAATGGGGTCCCTCCTCTTGGACACGTGGGGGGAGAGAGAAGGATAAGGAGAGGGATAGGGAGAAGGGAGGGAGGGAGAAGGTGAAGGAGAAGGATAGGGAGAAAGGAGGGAAGGAGAAGGAGAGAGAGAGAGACGAGGAGAAGGGAGGGCGGGCGAGGGAGAGGGGGAGGGATGGGAGTGTGGGGAAGGCAAGGGGAGGGGAGGAGGAAGGGAAAGAGAAGGACAAGGAGTGGGAGAGAGGAGAAGGATTACAAAGGCAAGGTAGCCAAGAGGCAGACACTGGTAGTGAAACTGGTGCTAGTGGTGCTTCCCTTGCTGCCTTAGCTGCCGTTGCTGGCGGTGCTGCCGGTGTTGGTGGTGCTGCCAGTGCTGCAGCTGGTGGTGCTGTTAGTGATGCAGAAGCAGCAGCATCTGCTGCTTCGGCTGCTGGTGGTGCTGCTGTTTCTGCATGGTCCTTCGCTGATGATGCACCTGCTCCATCCAAGCGACGAGGGCGCTCGTTAATGGAGGAAGAATCGAAGCCTAGAGGGGCAGCTGCAGCAGCAGCAGCAGCAGCAGCACCAGCAGGAGGAGGAGGAGGAGGAACAGGAGCAGGAGGAGAAGGAGGAACAGGAGGGTCTGTAGGGGCCATGAGACGTAGTAAGAGTGCAAAGGGTGTTGGTTCTGGTGCTGCTAGTGGTGGTAGTGGTGCTGGTGCTGGTGCTGGTACAGGAACGGGGGCTGGTGGAGGGGGGGTCAGTACCAGTGCGGGTGGCAGTGGGGGAGGTGGTATTGGGAGCAGTTTCTTCGAAGCTGCACAGAAGGGCGCGGGGGCAGGGATAGGGCTGGGTGTGGGAGCCTTGCAGTCTGTAGGAGCGCTCAAGTTCCGACGGAAAGTGGATGAGAAAGGGGAGGGGAGGGCAGCAGAGGGACGAGCGGGGGAGGGGCGAGGAGGGGAAGAAGGCGGGAGAGAGGGAGGAGAGGGTGGGAGGGAGGGGCGAGAAGGAAAGGGTAGGCGGGAAGGGAAAGAGGGGAGGGTTCAGAGGGAGGTGGGCGAGGGGATGGAAGGGGAGGAGGAGGAGGAGAAGAGGAAGAGTGAGAAGAAGGGCGAGAAGAAGCGGCATGGGAATGTGTTCAAGATAGGGGGGTTGCTTGGAGGAGGAGGGAGTGGTGCGGGAAACAGCCTTGGTAGTGGCAATACGGGTAACAGCAACAACAGCAACAGCACTGGCGGTGCTGGTGACGTGGCTGTAGTCTCCCCAACAGCTGCCACCTCAGCGTCTGTCTTCGCCATGTCAGCACAGACATCTGCCTCCTGGGAAGGATCAGGGCAGGAACCAGGCGTTCATAGCCCCCACGAAGCTCCTCTTGCTGCCACGTCAGCAGCATTCGCAGCAGCAGGCGCAGCAGCAGCAGCAGGTTCACATATGCAATCAGGTGAGTCAACTGGGTTAGGAGCTGCTGCACCTTCCCTCTCAGCTGAGCCCGGGGCAGGCTTAACCGGGGAGGGCTCAACTGCTGCTGCAGTAACCAATCCCGAAATCTCTCTAAAACCAGGATTGTTGGCATTGGCAACCGGGGCAGGGAGGGGAGGGTTCGGGGTAGGGAGTTCGCATGAGCAAGGGGGGAGGGTTAGAGAGCGGGAGCGGGATAGCAGCCCTCCCAAGCCCAGCCCCCACAGGGGAAATATCTTCTCAGTGCCTGGGATTAGACTAAGGAAGGACCCGAATAGAGAGAGGGACAAGGAGAGGGAGAGTGGGGGTAAGGGAGAGGGTGGTCGGGAGGGGGGTAAGGAGGGCGGGGAACGGGACAGGCCTCTTGTTACCGCGGCTATGAATCTGGTTCGGATGGAAGGTTTGGGAAGGAAGGGGCCGAGCAAGTCTGGGCCGATACTGCTGGGCTCGTATGGGTCATCTGCAGCAGCTGTAGCACCGGCTGTAGCGTCGGCTTTAGCACCAGCATTGGCAGCTGCAGCATCAGTTTCGTCTCCTAATATGGCAGCAGCAGCAGCGACAGCGCCAGGTAACTTCAGCTGGGAGGATAGCTCGAGCGGGGGCACTAGGCTGGGCGGTGATGCTTCTTCCGCTGCTGCTGGTGCTGTAGGTGGTGATAGCGCTGGAGTTGCTGTTGCGGTTGGTGCTGCTGCTACTGCTCCTGCTGCTGGTGGTGGTGGTGGGGGCGGCGGTGATCACGTGACTTCTAGAACTGGTAGCGGCAAGCTAGAGCCTGTTCTTCGAGCCATGGCTGCTGCTGGTGCTGCTGGTCTTGCTGGTGCTAGTGCTGCTGGTGCAACCACTGCAGGTAGGAGCCCTGAGGATATGCACGATGCTCCTGTTGCAGCTGCTGTAGCAGAGGGAAGACAAGCAGCAGGAGGTATAACAGAAGCAGCTTCAGGGGAAAATGCACCGCTCTCGACCGCTCCGCACACGCTCCGGGCGAGCAGAAGCAGCAGCTTCGGCAGCTATCACCACAGCAACAGCAGCGGCCGCAGTGCCAGCTTAGGCAGCAGCGCCAGCTTCAGAAACGCCATGTTTGGAGGCTCGGTTGCAACAGATGGCTCTAGAGCAGCAGCAGGAGGGGGAGGAGCAGGAGGAGCAGGAGGAGGAGCAGGAGGAGGAGGGGGAGAGTGGAGGGGTGTGGGGGGCGGGGTGGGAGCAGTGGCTTCTTCACCTGGAGGCGGGTTAGAACAGACAAGCGATGCTACTCTTTGGCTTCCAGTGCCGCCCCACGCCAACCATTTTGGTGCGGTTACAACCGCCGGTACTCCAGGTGCTTCGCCAGGTGGTTTCTCAGGTGAATTCAACGCGATCATGTCCCCGACCACACCACCTGAGCCACACTCCAGCCACCCTCACACCCTCACTCCCCCACTTCCGGAAGTAGAGGAGGGGGATGAGGAGGGGGCGATAGGCGGGGAGGGGGAGGATGGGGAGGAGTGTGGGGAAGGGGAAGGAGGGGAGGCGGCAACACCGAGTGCGGTGGAAGGGAGGGGTGCAAAAAAAATGGTGGCTCAGGCTGTGCTAGGGGGGCTCAAGAAGGGGCTGAGGACGGGGTCGCAACTGGGGAAGAAGCTTGCTGCTGCCACTATGAGCCCGCAGAGGTGAGTTTTGAGGCAAACCCTAAATCGATGGGGTGCTCAAAAGATGGTGGCACATGCTGTGTGGAGGGGGGGGGCTCAAGAGGGGCTGAGAACGGGGTCTCAGCTGGGGAAGAAGCTTGTTGCTGCCACTATGAGCCCGCAGAGGTGAGGGCAGTGGGTATGCATGTGTGTGTGTGCTCTGGCATGTAAGGTGTTTGTTCTGTGGGAGGGCTCAAGAAGGGGCTCAGGACGGGGTCTCAGCTGGGGAAGAAAATCGCTGCTGCCACTCTGAACCCTCAGAGGTGAGTTTTGAGTCCCCCTGAAAATCAAGGGGTGCAAAGAAGATGGTGTAGCTTAGCCGCTCAGGCTGTAGTGGGAGGGCTCAAGAATATGAGTTCTGGGCTAACATCCCAAATCAAATCCACCCTCTTTGTATTCACACCCCACGTATCCACCCTCTTGATTTCAGGGCCCTCGCCACAGCAATCACCAAGGAGGTAGACCTGATGAACACCAAGATCACTAAGATCATTTCCCCCCCCCTCGCATCCCAACCCTGCAGGGCCCTCGCCACAGCCATCACCAAGGAGGTAGACCTGATGAACACCAAGATCACTAAGATCATTTCCCCCCCCCCTCGCATCCCAACCCTGCAGGGCCCTCGCCACAGCCATCACCAAGGAGGTAGACCTGATGAACACCAAGATCACTAAGATCATTTCCCCCCCCCTCGCATCCCAACCCTGCAGGGCCCTCGCCACAGCCATCACCAAGGAGGTAGACCTGATGAACACCAAGATCACTAAGATCATTTCCCCCCCCCTCGCATCCCAACCCTGCAGGGCCCTCGCCACAGCCATCACCAAGGAGGTAGACCTGATGAACACCAAGATCGCAGCCACCATTCGCAGCAGAGCAGGCTCCTCCAATGCCCCCAGCGCTCCCACCCCCACCACCGCCGCTGGTCTCCCCAGCAGCACTCTCAGCAGCACCAGCAGTTTCAGCAGCAGCACTGGCAGCAGTAGTATCGGCCCTAATGCTGCTATGCTCACCGGCAGCAACAGCAACAGTGGCAGCAGCGCTGCTAACGAGGCTTCTTCTGCAGCAGCAGCAGCGGCAGCAGCAGCGGCAGCGGCTGCCGCTGCATTCTCTGCTGCTGGCAATGGCAGTGGTAGCGGTGGTAGTGGTATGATCGGTGATAGCAGTGGTGCTGGTGCTGCATTCTCAGGCGCACTATCAGCGCCTTCTTTCCATCAGCCCCTCCCGCTACCCTCCCCTGCTCCTGCCCTACCCTCTCCTGACTCGTCCCTGGCTGAGGCGCTGGCAGCAGCAGAGGCAGCAGCAGCAGCGTTGGAAGCAGCGAGTGCAGCAGGTGCAGCTGGGGGGGATGGAGGAGTAGGCAGTGCAGCAGGGGCAACAGGGACGGGAGCAGGGTTGGGAACAGCAGCAGATGGTAATGGAAATGGCAGCAGCAGCACTGGCAGCACCCGCGATGGTGCTGGGGCTGGTAACAGCAGCAGTGCAGCAGCAGCAGCAGACAGCAGGGACAGAGGCAGGGCCAGCAGACGCAGTGGGGGCAGCAGTGGCAGCGGAGGCAGTGGGAGCAGTGGGAGCAGCGGCCTTGGCAGAAGCAACAGTGTTGATGGTGCTGGTGGGGGTGCTGCTGCTGGCGGTGCTGCTGCTGGCAGTGCTGCTGCTGGCAGTGCTGCTGCTGGTGGTGGTGGTGCTGCTGCTGTTGCGGCTATGAAGAGATCCTCATCAGGTGAAGGTAGCAGGGATGGAGGAGGCATCTAACCTGCTCCAGATGTGAGTCTTGTAATCAAATTCCAGAGAATTCAGTTGGTGAAGCCAGTGAAGCTGGTGATGATTCTCAGCTCGAGCTGCCAAATTCCTCTCTGAAAGTGATACTGCTTTGTACCATATTCCTTGCAACGTTTCTTTATTATTTCTAGAACCTTCCACATACCGTGATATCTTTATAAGCATTAGAACATTAGGTTAGGTTATCAGTAAATGCGTTATTACCACCCCATAAGTTTGTCAAAAGGGAAAACGTTTCAGCGTACTTTCACAGGGTTAAATCACATTCACCATCCACACTGCGGTATGAATGTTTTCTTGGTGCTCTTTTGAACTCAAGCCCCCCATACCACCCCCTCTCCTGAGTCAGCATTACTTGCTCACATACTAGAACTGCTTTTGAAATCTCTCATACCCATGTGTCATTATCCCCTCGAAGCCCAAACAGTTACAACTTACAACCCCCCACCCCATTCCACCCTCCTCCCATTTACCTCCCTCCACTCCAACCACTACACCACACAACACCCCACCGCACCGCACCCCACCGCACCTCATCCCACCTCATTGCACCACACTTCATCCCACCGTTCCCTCTCCTCTCTCACTCCCCCTGCACCAGCCACCTGCCCTTTTCAAACAGCCCTGTCCCAGCCAACCTCCCTCCAGCAGCTGCCATTTCAGCTGCTTTCAAGAATGCTCACATATCTTCTGTCAACCCCCCTGCACCAGCCACCTGCCTTTCTCAAACAGCCCTGTCCCTGCCAACCTCCCTCCCGACGGCTGCCATTTCAACTCCTTCAACTTGAAAATCCGATCCGCAAGCTCCCCTCCCATCTCATCATCTCTACGCACCCTCTTCTCTCTCCCTCATCCCCCCTGCACCAACCACCTGCCCTTCTCAAACAGCCCTGTCCCAGCCAGCCTCCCCCCAGACAATTGCCATTTCAGCTGCTTCAACGTGAAAATCCAAACTGCCTTCAAAATTCTCACACATACCCAACCATCCAACTCCCCCACCCCACCGCACCCCACCCCAACGCACTCCACGGTACCCCACCCCACTGCCGCACCCTCGTTTCTCTCAACCCCCCTGCACCAACCACCTGCCTTTTTCAAACAGCCCTGTCCCAGCCAACCTCCCTCCAGCAGCTGCCATTTCAGCTGCTTTCAAGAATGCTCACATATCTTCTGTCAACCCCCCTGCACCAACCACCTGCCCTTCTCAAACAATCCCGTCCCTGCCAACCTCCCTCCCGACGGCTGCCATTTCAGCTCCTTCAACGTGAAAATCCGATCCGCAAACTCCCCGCCCATCTCCTCATCCCTCACTCCCCCACAGTCCCCCACCACAAGCTGCCTCAGCCCCGGCAGTGCCAGCACCACCGCTTCTAGCGATTTCATCGTGATCAACGGACACCCTTCGATCGCCAGCCGGCCGATCCGACGGTTCGTGGCGACCGAGATCCCTGCGAGGGAGGCGTCGTCCAAACCGCAGCAGTTGCGAAGGTGCAGAGCGGTGGAATTGGCGCAGACAGCGAGAAGTGCGAGGAAGAACGGGCGAGAGCGCAAGTCACAGTGGATCAGCTGAAGGGTTTCTACAGGGGAGAGGAATCCTGGGGGGGGTTGGGGAGGTCTGGGACTCGCTTTGATGCGACTGGGCGTGCCAGAGGTGCCTGTGCTGCTGGTGGCATCAGTAGAACCGGTTTTGATGGTTTTAGAGCGGTGCACTGCGGCTTTGACGGTGGCTAGGAAGCGACGGGAAGGGGGCAGAGAGGCATCAGACATCTCTCTTTCCAAATGCCTTCCAACCGCATCCGCATCCTCCTTGTTCTCCCCCTCCTCCTCATCCCCATCCCCCTCCCCTTCCTCCTCTTGCTCCTCTCCTTCCGCCCCTTCTCCCCCTTCTCCCCCTTCTTCACCTCCTTCCTCCCCCTCCGCTTTCCCCTCGTCGTCCTCTTCCCCTCCCTCCTCATTCGTTCCCTCCCCTTCTTCCTCCTGCCCGTTCTGCTGCCCGCCCGCTCCCATCTCGTGCCGCACTCCCCCCGCCCACCCAACGGCTGCTGCACACTCGTCGGGCTCTGATTGGTGGAAATTCTCGAGCCTGAGCGTCTGCAGGTTCGGGCAGAAGCAGAGCGCGCCGAGCCAATCCGGGCGAAAATATCTCCCGGAAAGAGTGAGATCTGATAGCATCGGGCATTCCCTGGCCACTACAAACAAACCAGCCCGCCCAACTTCGCACCCCTTTAGAGACAGCTCCACTATTCGCTTGCATCCCCTTGCAAGTGTTCGTAACCCGCGGTCAGAGAAAGTAGCGTGATAAAATCCCGGAACTGCCCCCACTAATCTCACCACCTGCAGATTTTTACACCCAGAAACTGCTTGTAACGAATCATCTGTACACTGCCGAAGCTCCAATTCCTGTAGAATGCTACACCCCTCCGCGATAATATCTAGGCCTTCGGTATCGCGGTCAGTATAATCGTCGTCATAACGGGCCCTAGCTGCGATTATGTTATCTAAAATCACTGTACCGTTCCTCTGCGCGCGTGCTCCGTTAGAGTCAGCTCCGTTAGAGTCACCAGCTGGTTCTGCCCGATAGTGCGAGCGCCCCAAAAACCCCAGCGTGTCCTTGTCTGCGTTATAAGATCCCTTCTTAGCGCGGAAAACGTCAACCAAACACAGCCGCTGTAGGTTTGGGTAACTCTGAACAAGCTCCCGCAATCCACGGTCGAAACTGTCAGGCGAAGGGCTCTGCTCCTCTAATCTGTGGTCTGGTTCGAACGGATTAACTACGTCAGGGTCGAGCCGCATCGTGCAAGTGCCACGTGTCATATACACGGCTGCCGAACCGAACACTTCAGGGTCAGAAGAGTTGCACCAGGCTGGGGAGAGGTCGAGCTCGGTCAGGTTCGGAAAACGTTCCGCCAAGCGGCCCGACTCGAGCATGGACCAATCGTAGAGCTTGAGAGAAGTTTTTATCTGCCCGTGAAGGCGGAGCCATCGGCGGGAAACGAGCGAGCAGGATTTGAGATCGGACGAAGTGGTAACCAGACGTAGCAGGCGAAGAATCACCTCGTCACTAGGTTGCGAAGAGGCAGTCGATGCAGCCGAAGAAGACCATAACGCGGATGACCAAGACGAAGCCATATTTCGCAAAACGTTTTTTTCGCTTGCCACCTAATCTAAAACTCGTCAATCGGCGGAACGCAGTAAAGAAAATGACCAAGACGAGGCCATAATTCGCAAAACGCTATTTCCCGCCAAAAATCGACTACTCGTCAATCGGCGAAGCGCGGAAACGACCAAGACGAGCCGGCCATGGCGAGTAATGCGTTAGATGGAGTGTAAAGTCTGTCAGGAAATGGCTGCACTGAAGGTACTGGTACCAGGAGTCTAGGACCATCGGAAATGTCGTGACCGTTAGCTGAATTCCGAAAAGTGTTTCAAAAGCAGAAGCTTTTTGCACGCAAGACTTCCAGCATGGAGGTTCCATCCAACTTCGAGGATTTCCGTTCTTGAATTTGCGACGAGCAACAATTACATGACGGAATTGCTACAGCTCGTTTGTCTACAAGGGAGAAAAACATACTGGTCATCGATTTGATGGTTTATTTATCAATTGAAATACATCTATTGGCAAAAAGAAGCGGCATAATAAAATTGATCTGACACAGTCTGCATTGCACGCAGGACCGATGGTATAGCTCATCATAAATACAAATTGCCCTTATTGAGTGCACCCGTATCCTGGCTAATGTGGCAGGCCAAGCAATCCACCAAGCACCGAGTAAAGCTGCGTAACACTTCCCTGCTCCTGCATAGGCTGCTGCTGCCGCTGTTGCTGCTGCTGCTGCTGTTGCAGCAGCAGGGGCAATAGCAACAGAAGTAGTTTATGCTTTAGGAAGTTGGGCTGCTGCTGCTGCCAGTCCTGCTGAAGGCACGCATCCTTATTATGCATGTTTGTTCCTGCCATTCGCATCCTATTTGGTGCTGCATCTTCTGGCGCTGCTGCCGATGCTGCTGCTCCTGCAGCTGTCACTGCTGCTAATGACAAAGTTCCTCCTCCTTGTCTGGCAACTGCCAGCAGCAGCACTTGTAGCAGCTGTGACTCTAACGAGGGTGACTCTACTGCAGGCCGCGCTGCTACACTCATGCTTCCGACGCACTGCTGAAGGAAGCTGCCTGGAAGAACCATGTTCTGTTCAGATCCCTGTGGTAACACCGAGCCTTGGCCAATTACACAATTGCCTGTTTCGGGCCGTACACGATTGAGGTTCGGCTGCCGAGCCAGCAGCGCTAGCAGGACCGCTACAGCAGCTTCGGATTCAAGGCCCGCAGGCTTGGTCGAAGGTAGAATGTTGGCTTGGCATTCAACAGGCTTGGCATGATAGGTCGGGCGAGGAAGTTCGTCTGGAGAGGTGGGCTTCGAGGCAGGGTTCGGACTGCCGAACCTAGGAGGCTCGGTGCGAAGAAGGGGTTCATTTGTACAAGCAGAACCAGTTGAAGCTGCTGCTTCAGCATCTGTGGAAGGAGGTTGGTGGGTCATCGCTGCTGCATGCACCCCCGAGTATGCAGAATTTTCTGGCAGTGCACCCTCAACAGCTGCCAGAGATTCAGGAGTTACAGCAGGCAAGGCAGTACCGTCACTTACTGTGGCAACACCTACCCCGCAATCATCCATTTCAAGCCCACCATCGGCTGTAGCTGCTCCCACACTTGTAGCCGCCTCTAGAGCTGTGGTCGTTCCTCCATCTGTAGCGGCCACTCTGGCTGTAGCGGCCCCTTCAGCTGTAGCGCTCCCTTCGGCTGTAGCAGTTTCTCCATCTGTAGCGGGCACCCCATCTGTAGAGGACAGGTCGTCCAGCGTGCCATAGCTGGCGACCATCCTTTCCCAGAAGTCGTCATCTTCCATCGAGTCAACGCGAGTCAACTGTTCCAGCGAGCACTCTTCCCCCTCCATCTGCTGCTGCTGCTGCCGCTCATGCTGCTCCACTTGCGGGTCCAGATGCTGCTTCTCCTGCTGCCCCAAGTGTGCCTCCGCGGACTGATCCTGCTGGGACCCGAGGCAGCAACTCAGCTCATGAGGCATCGCATCCAGATCCATATCTGCACAAAGTATCACCAACCCAGAACCGCCTGGCACCACCTCAGCACCGATTGAAACCTCCTCGGCACCGCCTATGACCTCCTCAGCACTGCTTCTAACCGTTTCATCAACAAATGTCCTGCTCACGTCGAGATAGCACCCTTTCAGGTCACTTCCCTCCCACAACCATCCATTCTCCTCGCCCTGCTTGTCACCACCACCTTCCATACCTGCTTCAATTGCTTCACCCTCTTTCGCATCCCCAGCTTCTTGACCCTCTCCCCTCCCTACGTCCTCCCCTTCCGTTTCTTCTCCTCCTACCTCCCTCGCTACTTCTTTTCGTTCTTCTGTCCTTCCTACCTCGTCTCCCACTTCTCCTACTCCCTCTTCTCCTCCTCCCTCCAACTCCATCGCTTCACTCCCCTTATCTACCCTCCCACCCTCTCTTTCAATCCCCTCCACTTCATCTCTCATCTCCACTCCCCTTACCAACTCCACCACTTCCATCTTTTCCCCCTCTGCACTAACCGCCAGGGCCACTTTTTGTTTCTCTCCCTCCCTCCCCAAACCCTCTCCTCCCCTCTTCTCTCTCCTCCTCACTTTCTCTCCTTCCTCATCCTCCCCCCTTTCCTTAAGGGGAGGCGGTGGGCGCGAGTCTGCCAGCAAAATCTGAGCTGGCAGACGCAGCAGCTGACATGGCAGGTGCACCACCTGAGGTGGCAGTTGTGCTGTTGCTGCTGTTGCTGCTACTGCTGATGATGATTCTGACACTCCCTGTGCCACCATTCCACGTGGCCTCTCTTCGCTCGCCAAATCCGCTCCTCCTCCTCCACTGCAATTCGTCCACGTGTCAGAAGACTCGGAACCACAAGCTACGCGTGGCGAAAACGGGACTTTGAATCCCGCTGACGTGGAATTGTTCGCTGACGTCGCAGGCGACTTGGACGAGCATCTTCGAGTCGTTAGGGACCGCTGTGGAGCGCCAGATGCGGCGGGAAACCCGGGTAAGGGATTAGGAGTAGAAGCAGGCGACGGCACGGGCGCGAATTTCGCTCGGAATGGGGGAAGCGGAGCGGGGGAGGGCGGAAAAGCGGGGGAGCGCGGAGGCGGAGGATGACGTCGATAAGGGGAAAGCGGGGCGGAGGTAGGTGGAGCGGGTCGTGAAGAATGGCCCGGCGCGTATCGCGGAGAGACGAGCGCGTTCAGCGCAAGGAGTCCCGCGGGCCAGGCTGCACCAGCGCCAGCGCCTGCGCGGGCAGCAGCGGAGACGGGGGCGGGGGAATACGTGGGGTTGCGCGAGCTGGCGGCGGAAGCGGGGTCCGCGGAGGCCCAGTGGTGGGGGACGACGTAGGCGCGTTCCGCGGGGCAGGTTGCGCGCCTCAGTAGCTTCGGCTCCTCCGCGGAGCCCGCGCTGCACTCCAGCCCCGCGTCTGCTGCCCTCCGCTTCAACCGGCACGGGGCGGAAGGGGATGCGGAAGCGGAAGCGGAGGCGGAGGCGGAAGCGGGAGCGGAGGAAGGCCCTGCTGATGCCCCCGCTGATGCGGAGCTTCCCGAAAGCCCAGCGCCGGTTGCGCGGATGCGCGAGGCTTGGCGGAGAGTTTCGAGCCACCCCCCCGCGCGGTGGCTCTGACTTTGCGCCACTGGTTTGACGACCGCCGCCCGATGAAACGCCTCGAGGGCGCGTCCGGTGAAGTGTTGCCGCTGCTGCTGCTGCTGTTGCTGCTGCTGCGGCTGTTGCTGCTGTTGCTGCTGATCCCCGATACATGAACTTTCATCTTCTTCCGAGGAATTTTCTATAACGAGGCTCAACTGCCGGCGCTTATAGCGAGGCGTGAATGCGTCGATTACGCTAGCTGGAGGCATTTGCGAAGCGACTGTGTGCGACGGCTGCGTTGGCTGCGACGTCGTGCGACCCCTGCTGTGTCAGCCGCTGAAATCTGCGTACTTATATTGAAATGTGGATTGTCGTATGAAAGTATGGATGGGAATCAAGACTACACACTGGCTTAGTCGCTCTGTGCAAGGCAGAGAATCCGCAAGGAGCTGACGAAACTAAATATGTCTATACGGGCTTCTATTGAGAAGTACGAGATGGCGCATGGACGAGAACGGGCGGCAAGGGGAAGGAGAGACTGAGGGCTGAGGGCAGTACTAATAGGACCGTATGCACTACAGCTGTTTTAGGAAAGGAAAATAGGTACTTTATAAGATTTGTACAGCTATATTGGGATTTCACTGTCGCCAATTGCCAGGCGATAACTTGGTGCGAATGGCTCGGTGATCGCTGTGCAGAGGCGGTAGATTTACTGCTTCTAGGTCGGACTGAGGCTACGAAGCTGGAATTGATTCGAGGGACGAACTATAGACAAACTGTAGGTCGTGAGCTGGCCGATACGCGATGGGCTGGTGCGGGATGAGAAACTGGGAGGTGTCCAGTCCAGACCAGAATAGCGGATTTGGGAGGGGAGGACATACGAGGAATTGACGTTGAGACGAAGTACGAGTGGGTGGGAGAGCTTGGTGGTGAGGAGGAGGAACATTTGGTTCCAGTGCTGAGCAGAACAGATTGAAGGGGGGCGGAGCGGAGAGCAGGGAGGGAGGAGAGGAAGTCAGTGAGTGTGACCTTTGGGGGGGCGTTGCTTCCTTGCCAATCAATTGGGAGGGAGGGGGGTGTTGCGGAGCAGTTGGCGCAGCTAAAACAATCTACGCCACACATGGAGGTGGATTTGCGTGGCGAGTGAACGAAATCGACGCCGATTCTGGATTCTCGAAGGGCTTGCGGAAGGAACGATTCTCCGCCCGGTTCTTCATTCCGCAAATCTGACGCATCCGCGGCGCGACAGGGATTCTTGAACCAGGATTTGCTGGTTTGCTGAGCCGAAGCGCTGAACAGCGAATCAGAGGGTGCCATGCTCGGCCCCTGAGGCCGCCACACTCCGCCACTCAGGCGCTACGCCAACCTCGCGGTTCGCCGAGGTCACACGACGTTGGATTGAGGTGCAAAACGATTCGCGTAGATCCGTCGGTTTTCAAAGGGTTTCGAATCCAGTGTGATGCGACGACGTCGCCACGATATCTTCAGTCAGCCCTTCGCGGTTCGGTCTGCAACATGGACGACGTTCTTGTGGTTCGCTAAGCGTAAACGCGTACTCACTGTGTCGTGATAACTCAGGGAAAGTTATCACAATGCCACTCACACACATGCCGTGCGTCATGATTAGGTAAGAAAATGCAAAATTTCAACTGTGGATGTGTTACATGCACAACCCCATGTACTTGAAACCAAAAATAAGAAAATCACCAGAAAATAGCATAGCCATCACCCAGGGAACCAAATTGACATTTTTGTCTTACCGGTAATAGTATCATAATATACGCAAAAATAACAGAAAGAACATTGCCCAACTCCCTGTGCATGGAAGTAATCCAACAAGTTATTCATCCCATCGCATGAGAACCCCCCTGTTGCATCACCTCTCTCTTCAGCCACTCCCTCTGCTGCATCTTCTGGCGTTGCCCTGCACTAACATTCCCTGCTGGCCGTCGGATCGGCATTCCATCAATATCATCCAACGCTGGAGATGAAGGAGACGGCCGGTTCATCGGCCCTCCACCTCCCCTTCCCCCACCTCCCCGGCCTCCTCCCATACCTCCCCCTGGACCCATCAGCCTTGCTCCCTGCATTGACCTTTGCGCCGGACCTCCAGTGCGGTATGGAGGTCCGGCCCGAGCCTGAGGTCCGGGGGGGCCTGCCCGCATACCCGGACTTGGAGGAACCCCAGCTCCGGGTCCCATGCCTCCCCTCCCAGGCATCGCCTGGCCTGGTGAAGGCCTAGGTCCGGGGCCAGCACCAGGCCTGGGGCGAGGTCCGGTTGGATTGCCTCGGGGCCCTCCAGGTCCGGGAGCTGGTCCCGGACCAGGCCTTGCTTGGGGAGCCGGCCTAGGCATGGCCGAACCAGTAGGAGCAGGTTCGGATGCAGTTCGAGCCGAAGGAGGGGGAGCGTTGGAAGCTGACCGAGCCATAGTTGGAGGTCCGGGAGCGGCTGCTCCAGAAGCAGGTCTGGGACGAGGGGAACTGGGAGGTCCGGGAGCGGCTGATCTCGAAGCAGGTCCGGCACGAGGAGAACTGGGAGGTCCGGAACGGTAGGGGCCGGTACGGGGTTGCCTTATGCCCCCATCCGGTGCGTCTGAAATGGAGATAGAACGTGACTTTGCCATAGGGGAAGGGCGAGCAGGAGCAGCAGCAGCAGCAGGAGGAGGAATAGAAACAGACTGTGACTTGGCGTAAACATTACTGTTACTGTTGTCTTCACTGTTACCATAACCGTTGCTGATACTGTTACTGTTCACAAAAGTGGGAGCAGATGCAGAAGGGGGAAAGGCAGGAGCGGTGGACGGCCGCGCGGCCTGGTTCTTAGGCTCGGCCGAGCCTGGCTGCTTGCGTCGGATCGGGGCCGAGGGAGGGCGAGCTTTGGAGGGCGGGTGCGGTTGCAGGTTTGCGCGTCTGAAGTGGAGCGTGACGAGGGAGAAGGAGGTCAGCAGCTCCACTAGCACTGCCTCAAACTTGTCCTTGTCGCAGTAGTGAAGCGTCTGGTATGGGGGACAAGGGGTGGGGGAAGTGTGGGGGGAGAATGGGTGTGGGAGTAGGGAATGGCAGACCACAAGGCGTCAGCAGCTCCATTAGCACTGCTTCAAACTTGTCCTTGTCACAGTAGTGAAGCGTCTGGTATGGGGGACAGGGAAGAGAAGCGAAAGGGGGGACTTTTGAGACATCTCAAACCGAGACCTTGCCCCAGCATACAACCCACCAGCACAGCCTCTCACTCGTTCCCACCAGCATCTCACTCACCTCTACCAGCAGTGTGCGGTGCCCACGTGCCTTCCGCTGAGCGCCAAACGACTTGTCTCCATTCCACACCTCCGTGCGCTCAGTCAGAGGCACGGCCCACCGCAGGATGCTAGCACGTTGCACCTAGCCCTTTCCCCAGCATACCAACACACCAGCACAGCCTCATTACCCCCACCAGCATCTCACTCACCTCTACCAGCAGTGTGCGGTGCCCACGTGCCTTCCGCTGAGCGCCAAACGACTTGTCTCCATTCCACACCTCCGTGCGCTCAGCCAGAGGCACACCCCACCGCAGAATGCTAGCATGCTGCCCCTAGACCTTTCCCCAGCATACCAACCCACCAGCACAGCCTCATTACCCCCACCAGCATCTCACCTCCACCAGCAAAGTGCGGTGCCCACGGTTCCTCCTCTGTGCGCCAAACGATTTGTCGCCATTCCACACTTCTGTACGCTCAGCCAGAGGCACGGCCCACCTCAGAATGTCTAGCAAGCATGCTGCACATAAAACTTTCCCCAGCACAGCCTCTCACTCACCTCCACCAGCAATGTGCGGTGCAGACGTGCTTTCCTCTGCACGCCAAACGACTTGTCGCCATTCCACACCCCCGTGCGCTCAGCCAGAGGCACGGCCCACTTCAAGATACCCCCCACCACGCCCCGTCTATCTGCAGAGTCCACTCACCTCCACCAGCAGAGTGCGGTGCCCGCGGTTCCTCCTCTGCGTGCCAAACGACTTGTCGCCATTCCACACCTCCGTGCGCTCAGCCAGAGGCACGGCCCACCGCAGAATGTCCCCCACCACGCCCTTCAAATCCTTGGCTATCCCCCCGTCTATCTGCCGCTTCGACCGCTGCTTCAGCCGCTTGGCCAGGCGCCGGCGCACGGTGGAAGGGAGGATGGAGTAGAGCTCTCTTCTGGTGGGTGCAGGGAGGGAGGGTAGGGAGAGTGTGAGGAACGGCCCACCTCAGAATGTCCCCCACCACGCCCTTCAAATCCTTGGCTATCCCCCCGTCTATGTGCCGCTTGAACCGCTGCTTCAGCCGCTTGGCCAGGCGCCGGCGCACGGTGGACGGGAGGATGGAGTAGAGCTCTCTTCTGGTGGGTGGCAGGGGGGGAGCGGGCGGGAGAGTGTGAGGGTAGGGAGAGTGTGAGGAACGGCCCACCTCAGAATGTCCCCCACCACGCCCTTCAAATCCTTGGCTATCCCCCCGTCTATCTGCCGCTTGGACCGCTGCTTCAGCCGCTTGGCTAGGCGCCAACGCACGGTGGACGGGAGGATGCCGTAGAGCTCCCTCCTGGTTGGTGACTTTTGAGTCGACTCAAAAGTCATGCCGTAGAGCTCCCTCCTGGTTGGTGGCGGGGGAGAGAGGGTGTGAGGGTGGGGAGAGTGAGGTCATAGGGAGAGTGTGAGGGTGGGGAAAGAGTGGGGGTAGAGAGAGTGAGGATGGCTTATCGGAGTCATCTCTCTCATCTGCTCCACCCCCAGCAGCACGCGCGCATACACTGACGGCAGCCCTGCTGCTTGCTCCCAGCGTCGCCCCCAGCTATGCGCACTCATTGCCACAAGTGATTCCAACCAAACCACAACAAACCACAACAAACCACAACAAATACTGACCACACAGCGCACAGGCCCCTCACCGCTGCTCCTTGAATGGCTGGCTGATAGGGCTCATCTCTCGCATCTGCTCCACCCCCAGCAGCACGCGCGCATAGACTGACGGTAGCCCCGCTACTCCCAGCGATGCCCCACCCAAGCACAATCACCACACACATCCGATCCCAAAACACACCAAAGCCCCAAGCCTCACCGCTGCTCCTTGAATGGCTGGCTAATCGGGCTCATCTCTCGCATCTGCTCCACCCCCAACAGCACGCGCGCATAGACTGACGGTAGCCCCGCTGCTCCCAGCGATGCCCCACCCAAGCACAATCACCACACACATCCGATCCCAAAACACACCAAAGCCCCAAGCCTCACCGCTGCTCCTTGAATGGCTGGCTAATCGGGCTCATCTCTCGCATCTGCTCCACCCCCAACAGCACGCGCGCATAGACTGACGGTAGCCTCGCTGCTCCCAGCGATGCCCCACCCAAGCACAATCACCACACACATCCGATCCCAAAACACACCAAAGCCCCAAGCCTCACCGCTGCTCCTTGAATGGCTGGCTAATCGGGCTCATCTCTCGCATCTGCTCCACCCCCAACAGCACGCGCGCATAGACTGACGGTAGCCCCGCTGCTCCCAGCGATGCCCCACCCAAGCACAATCACCACACACATCCGATCCCAAAACACACCAAAGCCCCAAGCCTCACCGCTGCTCCTTGAATGGCTGGCTAATCGGGCTCATCTCTCGCATCTGCTCCACCCCCAACAGCACGCGCGCATAGACTGACGGTAGCCCCGCTGCTCCCAGCGATGCCCCACCCAAGCACAATCACCACACACATCCGATCCCAAAACACACCAAAGCCCCAAGCCTCACCGCTGCTCCTTGAATGGCTGGCTAATCGGGCTCATCTCTCGCATCTGCTCCACCCCCAACAGCACGCGCGCATAGACTGACGGTAGCCCCGCTGCTCCCAGCGATGCCCCACCCAAGCACAATCACCACACACATCCGATCCCAAAACACACCAAAGCCCCAAGCCTCACCGCTGCTCCTTGAATGGCTGGCTAATCGGGCTCATCTCTCGCATCTGCTCCACCCCCAACAGCACGCGCGCATAGACTGACGGTAGCCCCGCTGCTCCCAGCGATGCCCCACCCAAGCACAATCACCACACACATCCGATCCCAAAACACACCAAAGCCCCAAGCCTCACCGCTGCTCCTTGAATGGCTGGCTAATCGGGCTCATCTCTCGCATCTGCTCCACCCCCAACAGCACGCGCGCATACACTGACGGCAGCCCCGCTGCTCCCAGCGAGGCCTTCAGCTCCTCCTGCTTTGGGGGGGCTGGGCGGCCGAAGACTGATCGGTACTGCTGCCACAGCACCCCAATCGAAACTGCCAACATCTGGGAGGGGAAGGGGGTGGGAAGGGAGAGTGAGGGATGGGAGAATCTGTATTGGAAGGGGCGAAACGGAGAAACAGAAACAAGAGTGGTTGAAGGGAGCAGGCGAAAGGAAGGTGTTCGCCAGAGAAGGCAACCTCAGCACACCTGCCGTCACCGCAGTGAACCAGCCAGCACCGCATTGAACTCACCAGCACCGGTCGTTCGAGTGGGTGGTTCCAGAGGGATGCTCGCTGCAGCTGATGCACCACTTGCATCTGATGGGGAGGGGGAGGGAGAAGAGATCGGAGAGAGGAGAGAGGAGAGAGGAGAGAGGCAGTGTGGGGCTCTTGGGTTGACAGGAAGGATGGTGATGAGAAGCCAAACATCCCAAAGAACATCTTGAACCCTCTCCCCTCCCCATCTCCATCCCACCTCTTCGATCACAGCCACCCATTCATCCACCGCACCCCACCCACTATTTACTCCTCCCACCTCCATCCCACTTGCTCCATCCAGCACAGCCCCCCACCGCACTCCACCCATTGTTCACTCCTCCCAACCGCACCTGCTCCATAACGGCGGCCTGTGGCTTCCCCTTGGGGCGGCGAGCCTTAGGGTTCTGCACCTCGGGGTCTGCTGCGGAGCTGGTGGGCGGAGGGGAGGCGGAGGGGGGAGGGGAAGGGGGGAGCACATGGGGCGGAGGAACATTGAGTGAGTGGGTGCGGCCTGTGGCTTCCCCTTGGGGCGGCGAGTCTTGGGGTTCTGCACCTCGGGGTCTGCTGCGGAGCTGGTGGGCGGAAGAGGGGAAGGGGGGAATAGGAGGGGGGAGGAGGGGAGGGGAGGGGAGCGGAGGGGGGATGAGCGGAGTCACAAGTCGTCCTGGGGCTCTGCTCTGCACCTCGGGGGGTCTGCTGCCGAGCTGGTGTGCGGAGGGGGGAAACGGGACGTCTGGGGAACGGGGGGAATGGGGAGGGGGCCACTATGGGGCAAGTTGCCTAGGGCCCTGCACTGCACTTACGGGTCTGCTGCCATGCCAAGCGGGTGAGCGAGGGGGAGGGGATGGGGAGTGGGGTGGGAACGAGGGTTGTTTGTTTGATCGACCCAGAAAAGGGACTCTGCAGCGGTGAGTGAGCAAATGCAGCTGCCTCGCATGTTGATGCTTGTGTGACGTGACGTGTCACATTTGAGACTTCTCTGAATCCTCACCTGTTGATGACGTCATCCAGTGCAAGCATTGCGTTGTGAAGAGCTCCCATTGGCTCCAGCTGTTCCCTCAGGAACCTGCCAGGAAATTACAGGGCGCACAGGTAAAACGCAAATATAAAAAGGGGAGGGCGGGAGGAGTGGGGGTTGGTTGGGGAAGGGAGAGGAAAGGGCAAAAACGAGCGCAGAGGAAAAGGGGAGAATCTAGGGGTGCTGGGAACATTCGATAAGGGGAGAACAAGTGACAACACCGAAGGTGCTTCAAAGGAGGAGAAAAGATTAACAGATGCCTCCAAGGGAGGTGAACAGATGGACAGAGAGGAGCGCAGACGGAAGGGGCGGACGGCTAAGACGTGACACTGAAACACATTCTCGAAAACAAGGGATCAAACCCTTCACGTCAACAGCTCCTCCTCGTTACAACCACCTCGTTACAATCACATTCTCGTTGTAATCACAATTTTAGGCAAGCCCTGCGCCCTCACCGCATGAGTTCGTCCGCCTCGCCCTCGCTGAAGCTGTCTTCGCGCTTCCACGCGCGGCTGTACCCCCGCAGCCGCTTCAGCACCTCTCCGCTCCGCGCGCCCCCGCTCCTGCGCGCGAGCATACCCACGGCGGCGGTCAGCGCGGTGAGGTCGGAAGCGTATTCCGCGCCCGCCAAGCGCCAGCGGAGAGAATAGTCCCCCACGCACAGACGCTTCAGGCCCTCGGTCTGGGGGAGGGGAGAGCGGAGTTTGGGAAAAGGGGGGAAGCGCGGTGAGGTCGGAAGCGTATTCCGCGCCAGCGGAGAGAATAGTCCTCCACGCCGAGGCGCTTCAGGCCCTCGGTCTGGCGGGAGAAGGGGGAGGGGGAGGGGGGGGGGTAAGGTTGGGAGCTTAATTTCGGAACCTCAAACGTCGTGGTTGGGCGGTAAGTCAGTGGAGGAGACATCTCTTGCGCTTGGCAACTGTCGAGACGACAAAAAAAACAAAAAACAAAAAAAACAAAAAAAACAAAAAAGAAGAAGAAGATGCTCACCTGCAGCTGCTTTTCCAAGCCAGCAGTGTTCCGCGCGTCGAGCTGCCGCCATAAATCAAGGGCTTTCCGCATGAGCGACGCGACTTCGAAGGAGAGAACGCCCATGGGGAGGTCATGGCCGGGCGGCAGGCGGGCCGCGGCGGGCGCCGCGGCTGTCGGGAACTCGAGATCGACCAGCGCGTCTACCACGCTCGTCTGGTTCCCCATTGCTCACGTTCCCCTAGCTCTCGCTCTAGTCGACGATACGTTCGTCTAGCTCAAGACTCACGTCACGGTGATTGCTACGATTGGTACGCCTTGTAAGAGCGTTGCTTCAACGGCGTGAAGGACGGACAGGCTTGCTATCGTCGCGGCGACACACCAGGTTTGTTGTTAACGTCGCTTTGAGGCAGTGGAAGGGTACGAAGACAAGCTGCTTGCTACCAGCGTTCGGTCAGATAGCTAGCTCTGTTGAATAGGCAGGAAAAATATGTATCTTTACAGAACGAAAAAAAACTTGTAATAAATCTCACTATGTCAAACTCGGGCCCGTGATTTGAGGCAGTTGATATGAAAACAAAAAGGCAGCGGAACCTACCGAAGTTGAAGTATGGTCCGCAACTCCACAACGTTTACAGAAGCTAGGTATGCAAGAAAGATAGGCGAAAGTGGCGGCGAGTCTCTAGAAAATAGGTCAGGCATGTGGGCCGGCAACTAAAAATTTACGGTAACCTTTGAATTGAACTGAATCTTGGCATGGAGGGATGGAGGAATGGAGGGAAGGCAACATCAAGTTAAAGCCCGCGTCCCAAATTGCGGGCCGCGAGGGTCAAGTTTTTAAAACTTGACGAAGTTGAAAGTCACGCACTTGCAATTTGGGACTTTCGAAGACAGATTCACTCACCAGGGGGAAAACCGAGGGTTGGCTGGGTCTCGCGAAAAAAACGAACCTATACGAAATCGGAAACTCTCGCCAAAGCCCACACCAGAAAAACTCCCTCTGGTCAACTTTTAAAAGCATGAACAATTTGGGCCGCCGGCTTGGGCGTGTCATATTGGGTTCAATTTTCCTCCATACCCTTCCCAAACGCACAGAAGTGTAAGCAAGCCGTTCTGTAAAGCACAGACACTTACTCAACCGCATTAAAGTGAACTCACATGACACGCCCTAAGGAAAGCTGGTCGGTGGTATACCCTAAAGTGAAGCGAATGGGTCGAATGCGGTGAAGCAAACCCACTTGGTTTGTTGGGTGTGCTACAATCCCACCTGTCAGGTTTCTGTAGGTCGGTTCGGTTCGTTCTTTACGCACGTGTTCGCTTAGTTGATGCGTTCCGTTCCGAGTCGCATGTGAAATTCGTGAGGTGCTTTGTTTTTGCTGCTGCCCCTGCCCGACAATCCCGCCCCATTGCAGCAACGAGGCCGACCGACCTGCCCATCTCCGTTTTTCCCGTCTTTCCCGACAAGTCCCAAGATTCGCTTTATGCCAGAAATGTAGAGTCATTGCTGCTGCTGCTGCTGCTGAGTCATGCGTCCCGACAAGTACGTATCGACATTGCCAAGATAGGCAGATTTGCGAAATACGTTCTTGATTTCAGGTAACTGTGACGTGGATTTGCCAGCCAATCGTGAAATCCAATTGTAAAAAGTTCCGTCGCGACAGGCGAAGGAACCGATGTTGCCAATTCGTGAATTCAGGTAACACGCACTACACACTCTACACTCCTAACACGTGAAAAGGTAATTAGTCATTACCACCTTTTCCGACTTCCGTGCCGACCTTCGTGTTTCGTTTTTCTGCGAAGCGATCTCCCTGGAATCGAGCCTCACTCTCCTCCTATTCTGAGCTAACATCTTTCCGCAAATCAGATGATGGTGTCGCGGGTTACCCCGCTGCCGCATCGCACCACTACGGCGATTCCCCCAGTTGCGATCCCCTGCGACCCATGCGACCGGCGTGGACCGCATCATGCGAGCCGATCCGCCGAATCGCATGCGAGGAACTCGCTGTCGTGCGACTGGATGTTCAGATCCGCCCCAACCGCGGCCGTCGCAGCAGCAGGCGGGCCACCGAGCCGCCGCGGCGCGTATGACCCACGCACGACACTCCATCCCTCAAAAGTCCATCCCATGCGGTTCCTCCAAAGCCGAAGCGCGCGAAAATCTCCTAGCGACTCTCCCTCCTCACACCGTCTAGCCGTTTTCGCCATGAGCGATGCAAGGGAAGCCTCAGGCGGATCTGAGCCGTCCGTATCGGCTCAGGTCCGCGGGATCGGGGAAGGGGAGTCCGGCGGGAAGTTTGGCGGAAGGTTCTTGCAGGATGACGTGGGGCCGAACCAGGTGGTTCTCGAGGCGCAGGCGCGCGTGTGCACGGGACCCACGCAGACCCGTCCGCTGGGCGAAGAGGAGATGCGGCGCGTGCTGGAGCAGATTTTGCTTTCAGGTGTGCCCTCAGCAGGTGTTCTGTCAGGTGCGCCTTCAGGTGTTCTGTCAGGTATGGCCCAGGTGTTCTTTCAGGTGCGGCCCCAGGTATCCCGTCAGGTGTTCTGTCAAGCATGACGATGGGTTCCGATCCGACTGCCTTCCCCGCACCATCTCCTCTCGTGTCTCTCATGTTCTTCCCCATCCTGCCAAGGGGGGATTGCCTCAGTGAAGTGAACCGTGCAACAACCCTGACCCCTCTCCCCTGTCCCCTGCTCCCTGCCGCCTCCCACCTCCCCCCTGCTCATTGCGCCCTGCCCCCTGCCCCCTCCCACCTCCCTCTTGCCCCTTGCCCCCTGCTCCTTGCTCCCTGTCTCCTTCCCCCGTGCCCCCTCCCCCATCCAGCCAAGGGGGAACTGCCTCCATCAGAGCGCGTCTCACGGGCGCAGATGGGGGCGTTCTTTGCGGGAATGACGGTGCGAAGTAACCGCTTCCCGCCAGCCACGCAGTGGAGCGAGGGGGAGAGGCGCGCGCTGGTTGACATGTGGCCCGCCCTCAGATACCACCTCCCCCGGGACGTGCTCTTCCTTGCCGACCCGCAGGTGGGTTCTGGTCTGGTGAAGGAGTATGGTGAAAAGCCCTCAGGTACCACCTCCCCCGGGACGTCCTCTTCCTTGCCGACCCTCAGGTGGGTACTGGTGAAGGGTTATGGTGGATAGACCTCAGGTACCACCTCCCCCGGGACGTCCTCTTCCTTGCCGACCCTCAGGTGGGTGCTGTGAAGGGAGCCGACACAGTCTCTTGCTCAGGGTCCCATTTTCAACAATGTTCTCCCAGTGGGTCCCACGTTTTTCGGACATGGGTCGGAGCAGGAGGCACAGGTGGGATGGGGTTTGGAGGGAGACACTTTTTTTTTACTCCACTAAAAACAGACTAAAAAATTGGGGTTTGGAGGAAGACACACACCCTGTCCTTTTCCTGTTTTGTCCCTCACCCCTCAGAGCTCAATATTCAACGATGCTCTGCATGTGGGGCTTACTTTCCACGGGCATGGGTCGGATCGGAGCAGGGTGTGGTGGGGTGCGAGCCACATACCTACCTTGTGCTTCTTCTGTTTCCCTCCCTCACATCAGGGATCCATATTCAACGATGCCTTGCCTGTGGGGCCCACGTTCAACGGGCATGGGTCGGAGCAGGAGGCGCAGGTGGTGGGGTGGGGGGATGTGCAGTGGTGTGCGGTGGGATGCGGTGGGAGCCACATACCTTGTGCTTCTCCTGCATGTCCCTCATCCCTCAGGGATCCATATTCAACGATGCCTTGCCGGTGGGGCCCACGTTCAATGGGCATGGGTCGGAGCAGGAGGCGCAGGTGGTGGGAGACCTGAGGGACATTCTTTTCGGCGTGCACCTTGGCTTTCAGGTGAGATCTCAGGTGGAATCTCAGGTGAGATTTCTCTGTTAAGGTTCCAGGTGAAATTATGTGTTTTCACTTTCTAATTCTCACCCACAAGCACGCTTGTGCATTCTTACATTACATGGGCTCCAAACATAAGATTCGTGTTGGTTATTCTCAGAAACCTTACTGTCCCGGAACCCATTTCGTGTGGTTTCCTGGGCCTTTAACCCCTTCCTGTCTGCCTTTCCAAGAAACCATGTCTCTGCTGCAGAATCTGCTGCCTATGAGGGGCGGCCGTGAGGAGCGAGCGGAGGGAGTGAGCGATGCACTGGTGGCGGCGTATCTCATCGCCGTGCGCATGAACCGAGAGACCGACAGAGAGCTCAAGGCCTTCTGCCTGGCCTTTGATCAGGTATGGTGTGATACTGATGCCTCACAAGGGAGTGGGGGGGAGGGGAATGTATGACATGGGGCAGTGAGCGATGCACTGGTGGCGGCATATCTGATCGCTGTGCGCATGAACCGAGAGACCGACCGCGAGCTCAAGGCGTTTTGCCTCGCGTTTGATCAGGTAGGGTGGTGGGATGCAAGCTCATGCATGGGTGACATGGGTTGGTTGAGTGATGCTCTGGTGGCGGCGTATCTCATTGCAGTGCGCATGAACCGAGAGACCGACAGAGATCTCAAGGTCTTCTGCCTGGCCTTTGATCAGGTAGGGCGGTGTGATGCTCCGCATGCCTTAGCAGCAACGGGGAGTGGGGGAGGACAGGGGGAGTGAGCGATGCACTGGTGCGGGCAGCCTTAGCCTTACGATGGCAGCACGCGCTACTTTCGCCCAACTCTCTTCCCTCTCCTCTCCTCTGCTTTCTTCTCCCCTTGCTCTCCTGCTCCCCCTTTAGGAGCTAGGTTCAGCCCCGATCGCAAGAGTCCCTTCCTTAACCCACTACGGGGATCCCTACGACGGCAGCTCACGCTACTTCCTCATGACCCTTCATTTCTTTCTCCTTTTGCCCTCCCCCCTCGCCTCTCCTCCTGCCATCAGGAAATGGGTCCAGCCCCCATCGCAAGAGTGCCCTCCTTGACCCACTACGGGGATCCCTACGACGGCAGCACGCGCTACTTCCGCCCCACGCTCTTCGTGGCGGCAGTCAGGGCGAGCTGTGGAGAAGCGTGCCTGCTGCATGGGGTGGACGCCTTTCCGCCCAAGGTGAGAGACTTTCCTAGTGCGCGCCTTTCCTCTACTCTCAGTGAGGTGATTTTTTAGGCGTCTCAAAAAGCAGCACGCGCTACTTCCGCCCAACACTCTTTTTGGCGGCATTCAGGGCGAGCTGTAGGGAGGCGTGCCTGCTGCATGGGGTGGACGCTTTTCCCCCCAAGGTGAGAGGGACTAGTGGGGAAGGGGGGGTGTACCTTCCACCCAATTAGGGGTGGCTGGGTGTTGACAGCAGCACACGCTACTTCCGCCCCACTCTCTTCGTGGCGGCGGTCAGGGCGAGCTGTGGGGAGGCGTGTCTGCTGCATGGGGTGGACGCATTCCCGCCCAAGGTGAGCGGTATGGGGTGGAGTGGGTACCCCCCTCTCACTCAACCAAGGCATCCCCAGGCTGAGCTGTGGGGAGGCGTGTCTGCTGCATGGGGTGGACGCATTCCCGCCCAAGGTGAGCGGTATGGGGTGGAGTGGGTCCTCTCTCTCACCCAAGGCATCCCCAGGCTGAGCTGTGGGGAGGCGTGTCTGCTGCATGGGGTGGACGCATTCCCGCCCAAGGTGAGCGGTATGGGGTGGAGTGGGTACCCCCCTCTCACTCAACCAAGGCATCCCCAGGCTGAGCTGTGGGGAGGCGTGTCTGCTGCATGGGGTGGACGCATTCCCGCCCAAGGTGAGCGGTATGGGGTGGAGTGGGTACCCCCCTCTCACTCACCCAAGGCATCCCCAGGCTGAGCTGTGGGGAGGCGTGTCTGCTGCATGGGGTGGACGCATTCCCGTCCAAGGTGAGCGGTATGGGGTGGAGTGGGTACCCCCCTCTCACTCAACCAAGGCATCCCCAGGCTGAGCTGTGGGGAGGCGTGTCTGCTGCATGGGGTGGACGCATTCCCGCCCAAGGTGAGCGGTATGGGGTGGAGTGGGTACCCCCCTCTCACTCACCCAAGGCATCCCCAGGCTGAGCTGTGGGGAGGCGTGTCTGCTGCATGGGGTGGACGCATTCCCGCCCAAGGTGAGCGGTATGGGGTGGAGTGGGTACCCCCCTCTCACTCACCCAAGGCATCCCCAGGCTGAGCTGTGGGGAGGCGTGTCTGCTGCATGGGGTGGACGCATTCCCGCCCAAGGTGAGCGGTATGGGGTGGAGTGGGTACCCCCCTCTCACTCAACCAAGGCATCCCCAGGCTGAGCTGTGGGGAGGCGTGTCTGCTGCATGGGGTGGACGCATTCCCGCCCAAGGTGAGCGGTATGGGGTGGAGTGGGTACCCCCCTCTCACTCACCCAAGGCATCCCCAGGCTGAGCTGTGGGGAGGCGTGTCTGCTGCATGGGGTGGACGCATTCCCGCCCAAGGTGAGCGGTATGGGGTGGAGTGGGTACCCCCCTCTCACTTAACCAAGGCATCCCCAGGCTGAGCTGTGGGGAGGCGTGTCTGCTGCATGGGGTGGACGCATTCCCCCCAAGGTGCGTGATATGGCAGGTAGGCGGGTACTCTCCGATCTAAGCTGCATGCACTGGGTGGGTGGGTGTTGCCGGCACCACACGCTACTTCCGCTCGACGCTCTTCGTGGCAGCAGTCAGGGCGAGCTGTGGAGAGGCATGCCTGCTGCATGGGGTGGACGGGACGCGTTCCCGCCCAAGGTGAGGGGGACTAGTAGGGAAAGGGAGGGCGGAGGGGGTACCGCTCTTTGTGGCGGCTGTCAGGGCGAGCTGTGGGGAGGCGTGCCTGCTGCATGGGGTGGACGCCTTTCCCCCCAAGGTGAGCGACTGGGGGGTTACTCTCAGGGTCATAAGGTGATGCAGAGAATCCCGGGAAATAAGATCTCGGTGGCTTGGTTGAGTTGAGACGCGGATGCTGCTGTTTTCAGCCCCAGCCATGCCTTTTCCATTTTTTTCCCTCCGCCCTCACCCCTTCCCCCCCTCCTCCTCCTCCTCCTCCTTTTGCAAATTGCACCCCCATCGCCCTTCAGTTGGGGGCCACGGAGGAGGCTATGTTGAGTCTGTTGGGGGCCAACACCAGCCTCTCGCCCTCACAAGCTGCTGCCATTCTGGAGGTAAGGAGGTCATACTACCATCATGAGCTGCTGCTATTCAACCTGATGTTCGCCGTGTTGTTCTGGAGGTCAGGCCGATCCACCTGCTCTTGCTTCGTCCCCTGCTGCTTCAGCCCCGTCTCTGCCCTGCTGACCATGTGCATGCACGCAGGACCCTCCTCAAGTCCACATGGCATATCTCAGTTTCAAGGACTGCTCTACTCTCCCTCAAGAGCCACCACAAGAAGCCTCTGTCTTTCCTGTCTCTCCTCTCTTTCATGTCCCCCCCATCTCTCTTGTCCATGTCTCTGCAGGACCCTCAAGTCCACATGGCATATCTCAGCCTCAAGGACTGCTCTACTCTCCCTCATGGGCCACCACAAGAAGCCACTGTTGTTCCCGACTCTCCTCTCTTTCCGGTCTTGCCCGTCTCTGCTGTCCATGTGCATGCACGCAGGACCCTCAAGTCCACATGGCATATCTCAGCCTCAAGGACTGCTCTACTCTCCCTCATGGGCCACCACAAGAAGCCACTGTTGTTCCCGACTCTCCTCTCTTTCCGGTCTTGCCCGTCTCTGCTGTCCATGTGCATGCACGCAGGACCCTCAAGTCCACATGGCATATCTCAGCCTCAAGGACTGCTCTACTCTCCCTCATGGGCCACCACAAGAAGCCACTGTTGTTCCCGACACTCCTCTCTTTCCGGTCTTGCCCGTCTCTGCTGTCCATGTGCATGCACGCAGGACCCTCAAGTCCACATGGCATATCTCAGCCTCAAGGACTGCTCTACTCTCCCTCATGGTGTGTTACCTCCCTTTCCTCCCTTTCCTACCTTTCCTCCCTTTCCTCCCTTTCCTCCCTTTCCTCCCTTTCCTCCCTTTCCTCCCTTTCCTCCCTTTCCTCCCTTTCCTCCCTTTCCTCCCTTTCCTCCCTTTCCTCCCTTTCCTCCCTTTCCTCCCTTTCCTCCCTTTCCTCCCTTTCCTCCCTTTCCTCCCTTTCCTCCCTTTCCTCCCTTTCCTCCCTTTCCTCCCTTTCCTCCCTTTCCTCCCTTTCCTCCCTTTCCTCCCTTTCCTCCCTTTCCTCCCTTTCCTCCCTTTCCTCCCTTTCCTCCCTTTCCTCCCTTTCCTACCTTTCCTACCTTTCCTCCCTTTCCTCCCTTTCCTCCTTTCCTACCTTTCCTCCCTTTCCTCCCTTTCCTCCCTTTCCTCCCTTTCCTCCCTTTCCTCCCTTTCCTCCCTTTCCTCCCTTTCCTCCCTTTCCTCCCTTTCCTCCCTTTCCTCCCTTTCCTCCCTTTCCTCCCTTTCCTCCCTTTCCTCCCTTTCCTCCCTTTCCTCCCTTTCCTCCCTTTCCTCCCTTTCCTCCCTTTCCTCCCTTTCCTCCCTTTCCTCCCTTTCCTCCCTTTCCTCCCTTTCCTCCCTTTCCTACCTTCCTCCTTTCCTCCCTTTCCTCCCTTTCTTCCTTTCCTCCCTTCCTACCTTTCCTACCTTTCCTCCCTTTCCTCCCTTTCCTACCTTTCCTCCCTTTCCTCCCTTTCCTCCCTTTCCTACCTTTCCTACCTTTCCTCCCTTTCCTCCCTTTCCTCCCTTTCCTCCCTTTCCTCCCTTTCCTCCCTTTCCTCCCTTTCCTCCCTTTCCTACCTTTCCTCCCTTTCCTCCCTTTCCTCCCTTTCCTCCCTTTCCTCCCTTTCCTCCCTTTCCTCCCTTTCCTCCCTTTCCCTACCTTTCCTCCCTTTCCTCCCTTTCCTTCCCTTTCCTCCCTTTCCTCCCTTTCCTCCCTTCCTCCCTTTCCCTCCCTTTCCTCCCTTTCCTCCCTTTCCTCCCTTTCCTACCTTTCCTCCCTTTCCTCCCTTTCCTCCCTTTCCTCCCTTTCCTCCCTTTCCTCCCTTTCCTCCCTTTCCTCCCTTTCCTCCTCCCTTTCCTCCCTTTCCTCCCTTTCCTCCCTTTCCTCCCTTTCCTCCCTTTCCTCCCTTTCCTCCCTTTCCTCCCTTTCCTCCCTTTCCTCCCTTTCCTCCCTTTCCTCCCTTTCCTCCCTTTCCTCCCTTTCCTCCCTTTCCTCCCTTTCCTCCCTTTCCTCCCTTTCCTCCCTTTCCTCCCTTTCCTCCCTTTCCTCCCTTTCCTCCCTTTCCTCCCTTTCCTCCCTTTCCTCCCTTTCCTCCCTTTCCTCCCTTTCCTCCCTTTCCTCCCTTTCCTCCCTTTCCTCCCTTTCCTCCCTTTCCTCCCTTTCCTCCCTTTCCTACCTTTCCTCCCTTTCCTCCCTTTCCTCCCTTTCCTCCCTTTCCTCCCTTTCCTCCCTTTCCTCCCTTTCCTACCTTTCCTCCCTTTCCTCCCTTTCCTCCCTTTCCTCCCTTTCCTCCCTTTCCTCCCTTTCCTCCCTTTCCTCCCTTTCCTCCCTTTCCTCCCTTTCCTCCCTTTCCTCCCTTTCCTCCCTTTCCTCCCTTTCCTCCCTTTCCTCCCTTTCCTCCCTTTCCTCCCTTTCCTCCCTTTCCTCCCTTTCCTACCTTTCCTCCCTTTCCTCCCTTTCCTCCCTTTCCTCCCTTTCCTCCCTTTCCTCCCTTTCCTCCTTTCCTCCCTTTCCTCCCTTTCCTCCCTTTCCTCCCTTTCCTCCCTTTCCTCCCTTTCCTCCCTTTCCTCCCTTTCCTCCCTTTCCTCCCTTTCCTCCCTTTCCTCCCTTTCCTCCCTTTCCTTCCCTTTCCTCCCTTTCCTCCCTTTCCTCCCTTTCCTCCCTTTCCTCCCTTTCCTCCCTTTCCTCCCTTTCCTCCCTTCCTCCCTTTCCTCCCTTTCCTCCCTTTCCTCCCTTCCTCCCTTTCCTCCCTTTCCTCCCTTTCCTCCCTTTCCTCCCTTTCCTCCTTTCCTCCCTTTCCCTCCCTTTCCTCCCTTTCCTCCCTTTCCTCCCTTTCCTCCCTTTCCTCCCTTTCCTCCCTTTCCTACCTTTCCTCCCTTTCCTCCCTTTCCTCCCTTTCCTCCCTTTCCTCCCTTTCCTCCCTTTCCTCCCTTTCCTACCTTTCCTACCTTTCCTACCTTTCCTCCCTTTCCTCCCTTTCCTCCCTTTCCTCCCTTTCCTCCCTTTCCTCCCTTTCCTCCCTTTCCTACCTTTCCTCCCTTTCCTCTCTTTCCTCCCTTTCCTCCCTTTCCTCCCTTTCCTCCCTTTCCTCCCTTTCCTCCCTTTCCTCCCTTTCCTCCCTTTCCTACCTTTCCTCCCTTTCCTCCCTTTCCTCCCTTTCCTCCCTTTCCTCCCTTTCCTCCCTTTCCTACCTTTCCTCCCTTTCCTCCCTTTCCTCCCTTTCCTACCTTTCCTCCCTTTCCTCCCTTTCCTCCCTTTCCTCCCTTTCCTCCCTTTCCTCCCTTTCCTACCTTTCCTCCCTTTCCTCCCTTTCCTACCTTTCCTCCCTTTCCTCCCTTTCCTCCCTTTCCTCCCTTTCCTCCCTTTCCTCCCTTTCCTCCCTTTCCTCCCTTTCCTACCTTTCCTACCTTTCCTCCCTTTCCTCCCTTTCCTCCCTTTCCTCCCTTTCCTCCCTTTCCTCCCTTTCCTCCCTTTCCTACCTTTCCTCCCTTTCCTCCCTTTCCTCCCTTTCCTCCCTTTCCTCCCTTTCCTACCTTTCCTCCCTTTCCTCCCTTTCCTACCTTTCCTCCCTTTCCTACCTTTCCTCCCTTTCCTCCCTTTCCTCCCTTTCCTCCCTTTCCTACCTTTCCTACCTTTCCTCCCTTTCCTCCCTTTCCTCCCTTTCCTCCCTTTCCTCCCTTTCCTCCCTTTCCTCCCTTTCCTACCTTTCCTCCCTTTCCTCCCTTTCCTCCCTTTCCTCCCTTTCCTCCCTTTCCTCCCTTTCCTCCCTTTCCTCCCTTTCCTCCCTTTCCTCCCTTTCCTACCTTTCCTCCCTTTCCTCCCTTTCCTACCTTTCCTCCCTTTCCTCCCTTTCCTCCCTTTCCTCCCTTTCCTCCCTTTCCTCCCTTTCCTCCCTTTCCTCCCTTTCCTACCTTTCCTCCCTTTCCTCCCTTTCCTCCCTTTCCTCCCTTTCCTACCTTTCCTCCCTTTCCTCCCTTTCCTCCCTTTCCTCCCTTTCCTCCCTTTCCTCCCTTTCCTACCTTTCCTCCCTTTCCTCTCTTTCCTCCCTTTCCTCCCTTTCCTCCCTTTCCTCCCTTTCCTCCCTTTCCTCCCTTTCCTCCCTTTCCTCCCTTTCCTACCTTTCCTCCCTTTCCTCCCTTTCCTCCCTTTCCTACCTTTCCTCCCTTTCCTCCCTTTCCTACCTTTCCTCCCTTTCCTCCCTTTCCTCCCTTTCCTCCCTTTCCTCCCTTTCCTCCCTTTCCTCCCTTTCCTCCCTTTCCTCCCTTTCCTCCCTTTCCTCCCTTTCCTCCCTTTCCTCCCTTTCCTCCCTTTCCTCCCTTTCCTACCTTTCCTCCCTTTCCTCCCTTTCCTCCCTTTCCTACCTTTCCTCCCTTTCCTCCCTTTCCTCCCTTTCCTACCTTTCCTCCCTTTCCTCCCTTTCCTACCTTTCCTCCCTTTCCTCCCTTTCCTCCCTTTCCTCCCTTTCCTCCCTTTCCTCCCTTTCCTCCCTTTCCTCCCTTTCCTCCCTTTCCTACCTTTCCTCCCTTTCCTCCCTTTCCTCCCTTTCCTCCCTTTCCTACCTTTCCTCCCTTTCCTCCCTTTCCTCCCTTTCCTCCCTTTCCTCCCTTTCCTACCTTTCCTCCCTTTCCTCCCTTTCCTCCCTTTCCTACCTTTCCTCCCTTTCCTCCCTTTCCTCCCTTTCCTCCCTTTCCATCCCGTTCCTTCCCTTTCCTTCCTGTTCCTCCCTTTCCTCCCTTTCCTTCCCGTTCCTGCCCGTTCCTCCTCTCCCTCACTGCTTGTATCTGCTTCTTCAATTCGCTGGCTGTAGTGCTCTTCTCCCCGACCCTGTGGGATTCTAACATGCGCACTCATACCTTGAAATTACTCCTCCACCTTGAAATTACTCCTCCTCATTGCTTTTATCTCATTCCAGTCACCTGCCAAGCTTTTAACTGTTCTGCACTCCTCATTCTGGCCTTCATCCCTCCGTGTTCCCTTTCCCCCATCCCCCTCTCCTTGTTTTCTTCCCCTCCGTCCTCCCACTCGTCCACGTGGCAGCTACTCATTGGTCGATATGCGGAGGCACATTAAAAAGCGTCCCACGTTTGCCACCACGGAGAAAGTACAACGCTACATCCATGTGAGCACACTTTGGGGCTTCCTGCTTTTTTTAGGTGCCTGGGAAAGTATATTTATATATATATATTAGGCATCATGCTGAAAAGCGAAGAAGGCTTTTGAGGAGGCGAAGAAGGTGTGCTTACCCCTCCCCTTGAGGAAGGCCGAAGCGAGGTCCCTTACCCCACTCCTTACCCCTTATACCCACCCCCCTTTCTACTCCACCCACCAGGCATCAGGGCGAGAGGCAATGGTAGCAGGCCCACGAGGGGTACGAGGAACCTCTGCTCATGCTCATGCGGAGACAGCCCGTGGAAGCAGGGCTCGTGGTGAAGGGCGAGGAGGGGTCTCTGGCTCCACTGCTTACCGCTTCCACCCGCTTCTCTTGCTGCTTCTGCACTTTGCCCTTCATCCAACACCAGGCATCAGGGCGTGAAGCCATGGTGGCAGGGTTCTACCACGAGGGGTACGAGGAACCTCTGCTCATGCTCATGCGCAGGCAGCCCGTGGAAGCAGGGCTGGTGGTGAAGGGCGAAGAGGGGTCCCTTACTCCTCCCCTCCTCTCTGCTCCGCTCCTCTCCCCTCACTTCCCATCCTCTCTTCCTCTGTTCTTCCTATCCAGGCATCAGGCCGAGAGGCCATGGTAGCAGGATTTTACCACGAGGGGTACGAGGAACCTCTGCTCATGCTCATGCGGAGACAGCCCGTGGAAGCAGGGCTGGTGGTGAAGGGCGAGGAGGGGTCTCTGGCTCTCATGACCCGCCGCCCGGCCCCGGATGCTCCCAAGAAAGGCCGCCCGGTGAACTACTGCGCGGGATTCCGGCCGGGAAATAATGGGAGTGGATGGGCGGGGAGGGGAGAGGGGAGGGGTGCGGGGAGGGGGGCGGAGGGAGGGGAGGAGAGTGAGAGTGGAGGGGAGGAGGATGGGTTTTATCGAGAGACGTTTTCGATGGAAGCTGATGCTGTGGCGGCTGGGATGCAAGAGACTCTCACACCAAGAATTGACCGATCGGTGAGTCTGTCTGTTCGTTCGTGCTGCCAGAAACCTCCCGTGTGATGGGTTGGGTCCTACGGAGAGACGTTTTCAATGGAGGCTGATGCTGTGGCGTCTGGGAGGCAAGAGACGCTCACCCTGATGGTCGACCGATTGGTGAGTCCTTGTGCTTGGTCCGATTGTCGTTGGTGCTCCTGGGAAGCAACAGTTTGGTGAGTCCTACTGATTGATGCTCATGCGATGCCAGCCTGTGGCAGTGCACGATTACCTGCTGTACGTGTCAGTAACGGACAGGTGGGCTGCGGACAGCCTGTGGCAGTGCACACTCACCTGCTGTCAAAGTTCCTTCCTTCCCGCCCTTCCTCACTGTCCCACCCCTCCCAACAGGCGCAGAAGAATCTGGACCTAGGCCTGGAAGCACTGAGAGGAATCAAAGGGCCGGCATACGACAGGATAGTGTTCAATGCAGCGGTGCAGGACGACCTGCTGGGGTGGGGGGGGTGGGAGGGGGGCTTGCAGCATTGCATCCCACTCACCCGCTGTGTCACTCCCCTCCCTCCCTCCCCCCCTTCCCTCCAACAGGCGCAGAAGAATCTAGACTTGGGCCTGGAAGCACTGAGAGGAGTCCAAGGGCCGGCATATGACAGGATAGTGTTCAATGCAGCGGTGCAGGATCATCTCCTGGGGTGGGTTAGTCTGCTGCAGCGGTGCCGGATATCCTCCTGTCTCGATCTCTTCTCTCCCTCCCTCCCTCCGCCACTCTTTCTCCTCCTTGGATCCCTCCCATCAAACAGGCGCAGAAGAATCTTGACCTGGGCCTGGAAGCACTGAGAGGAGTTAAAGGGCCGGCGTATGACAGGATAGTGTTCAATGCAGCGGTGCAGGATCACCTGTTGGGGTGGGGGGCGAGGGTGATTGGGCTGGAAGCAGCGGTGGAGAGGGCGAGAGAGGCAGTGGATAGTGGGCGGGCGTTGAGGCATCTCATGGGGTATGTGGAGCGCAGCAAGCTGATGCGGTGATGAGGGGTGATGAGGGGTGATGAGGGGTGCTGGGGTGGGATCACCCATCGCTTGGAGTGGGGGGCGCGGGCGATTGGGCTGGGAGCAGCGGTGGAGAGGGCGAGAGAGGCGGTGGATAGTGGGCGGGCGTTGAGGCATCTCATGGGGTATGTGGAGCGCCGCAAGCTGATGCGGTGATGAGGGGTGATGAGGGGTGACGAGGGGTGCTGAGGGGTGCGGGGTGGAATCACCCATCCCTTGGGCAGGAAGTAGCGGTGGAGAGGGCAAGGGAGGCGGTGGATAGTGGGCGGGCTTTGAGGCACCTCACGGGCTATGTGGAGCGCAGCAAGCAGATGCGGTGATGAGGGGTGACGAGGGGTGCTGAGGGGTGCTAAGGAATCATGATGGGTATAGAGGTGTGATATGGGGCGACGATATTGATCCTGAGATGGCGTAAAGCAGCGGTGGAGAGGGCAAGAGAGGCGGTGGTCAATGGGCGGGTGATGAAGCACCTCATGGGGTATGTGGAACTCAGCTAGCAGATGCGGAAATGAGGGGTGTAGAGAGGTATTGAGGGGTGATGTTGGATGCATATGTATGCAACTCTGAAGGATAATGTAGCATTTCTTATTGTATCCACTAGCTAGGTAGGTGATACTGGAAACCTGGAATGACATGGATGGCAAGTTGTACAGGTAGCACTCTTCATGTGATTAAGCATTTCACTGTACAGCTGTAGATTGAGCAATCTAAAAACGTGTATATAGAGGAGAATCTTTAGCCTTCGAAGGAAGGAATTACACCTACGGTAGTACTAATTTCTATTCCCATCATTTTGCCAGCAGGAAGGCTATTTTCAAACTTCCACCTCCATTCCATGCTCAAGCATCCACGGCACCCTAAGCGGAGTGAGAGATGCTACTTGACTTTGTCAACTGGAAAGCCATCCCTTGGGCATTGCAATTATTCGTTTGTAGCCACCAACCCCCAACCACCACCGTCAAGCCTCCATCTCCGTTTCCATTCCATGCTCCAGCATCCACAGCACCCTCCAGTGGCTCTCCTTCAGTCAACTGAAAAGTCATTGCTTGGGCATTGCATTCATTCGTACTGCAACCAGCCACCACCGTCAAGCCTCCTCCATCTCCGTTTCCATTCCATTCTCCAGCATCCACAGCACCCTCCTGTGCCCCTCCATCTCATCACCCTCCTCCTTCCCTTCCCCCTCAATCTCTAAAATTTCCTCGGTCCCTTTATTAGCAGACTCTATATCTTCCTCCAGCACCATGCTGATGGGGTTTCTGATAGTTTTAGCATCAAAGGCAATGATATCCTTCAAACCCTCGTCAATGCCACCCACTTTATTGTCACTCGCACTGCTCGCCTCCTCCTTTCTTTCTTCCAAAACTTCCACGTTAGGGCCGTTGGTGTTCCCGTCTGCTACTGTAGCCGTTTGGATCCTATCCGCGTTATTAGCCTCAGGCTCGTTAACATCGTCAAACACCTGCGGCTCAGGCCCCTTATTGATGTCGTCCGTTGCTGCAATACTCAACCCTCCCGCTTCCGCCTGCTCCAATACCGCGACTGGCCCAGTTGCTCCTTCCGCCAATTCCCCACCTTCCCCCACTCCCTCCCCTTCCGCCAACCCCCCCGCAGCCTCCCCTGTCGCTCCAGCACGGCGCTCATCCTTCTCCGAAACGGCTTCCTCGTCGGGTTTCACCAGGAAATCGATATCTTCTTCCCATTCCACATCGTCATCCTCATCAACGTCGTCTTTTGTAATCCCAAGATCCGACATCACTCCAGACGAGAAGTCCTCCGTATCGTCTTCCGAACCCTCCTCCGCATCCTCCTCCGCATACTCCGCCCCATCGTCCGCGTCTTCCGCGATCCCGTCGTCTGGCTCCGTGACGTCATCAAAGGCTTGAATTTCCGGGCCATAGCCCAAGTCGCCTCCAATGAGCTCGTTAACAATCTGCTGTTCCGCGTCATCCGGAGCGGAGCCGTCCGTCTTGCTGGAAGCGTCTTCGGCGGCTACTTTTTCAGCGGGTGAAGACTCCCTGGGTTGGGTGTTTCCGTCTTGAGAATCCTGGTCGTCCATCTGATCATCGTCTTTTGACGAGGACGCGTCATCCGATATAAGCACATCCTCCATAGTCACCTCGAGTTTCTCGGACGCGGAGGCCGATTCGGGCTTATCTGCTTCGAGTCCATCCTCAGCAGGCGCGCTTTCAGCGCTCGATGCGTCAGTATTACTGCCGTCGACGTCCGCAACGTTATCGTCCACGTCAGCAACAGTCGCTTTCACGGCGAGAAGTTTACGAGCATGATGGGGAAGCTTGTTGAGCTCGCGGACTCTGTGAATGAGGTCCGGGCCGAAGCTGTGAGACGAGGAGGTTCGGGGAGCGGCGTGGGTGGAGAGGAGAAACGCAAGCGCTAGGATCAACCGCAGGCAAACTACTTGCCTGTTGTTCCTCCCCATGGTAAGTGCTGCCTGCCGTACGTCGTTGCTGCGCCAATTTCTAACCACGACGCTGCCTTTTCCTGACTAGACGACGTCAGCTGAGACTGGATCGCCGTAGGTAAACTATTCCTGCCGCGCGAGTCAGAGTGCCTTTGAGAAGTAAATCCAGTGATTCGAGTTGAGATTACTAATACGTGCACGAAAAGATGGGAAATGGTGTTGTTCGGGGAGGTGTAGCTCGAAGATGAGCGATTTTGAATTGAATGTGCTGTGCTGCGTTGAGGAATGTTGTCATGTCCAAGCTTCAACATTTCGCGATTCGGTTTCCGCGCCGCTTTCCGCCCAGCCACAGGTGCCAGTGGCAGTGCTGGGCTGCCGTGCCTGGTTCTCACGCTGGGCAGATGTGGCGATAGGCTTGGTGCAGTATGACCGCCACGCCTGATTGGTTCCTGACCTGTTGTTCCGCTGAGAAGCACTTGTGGGTGGACTGTGGTTGCCTGTGGTTGCCCTGGCTGGTGCACCTTTCGAAGCGCATGGGTACAGCTCTGGCAGGAGAAGCAAGTGGGGGAAATTGGAAATGAATGCTGTGTACCCCGATTCCCTTATACAATCTCGTATATTTCCAACATCTTAGTTTCATACAATATCACATACAATATATGTGGTGGGTGGAAGGGGCAAGGAGAAGGATGTGAAAAGAGAATGAGCAGCTCAAGCCTCACAAAAACACCACCCTTATTCCTATAAAAGAAATCAAGAGAAGCCTTTCGTGGTCCAGTCAAATGCGTTTGAAACATTCACAGTATCAATTATTAAGAAATTGCATTATCCCGGCTTAGGCACCAGCCCGAAAGCTTTCAAACAAAAATTACAGAGACTTCCATTCTAGCAACAATTCAAACGGGCAGGCAGCCTAGCAGCACCCAGTAACCGCACCACAATGGAGTATATACAGCCACAGCCGGCAAATCACCACAGCAAAGACACCCTTCAATAAATATACTCCATACTGCATTCAATATCTCTGGTAGGAATGGACCAGGAGAAGTCTAGCCAGCTTCATTCCCAACATTCCCTCCTCCTCCCTACTGTTGACTCAGGTCGCTAGGCAAGAACCGTTGCCCGAACCGGGGGTCAAACAGCCTGCACGCATCGGCCTTGCCAAAGAGCGTGTACCGGCTTTCAGAAACGTTCTTGTAGATGAATTCGTGGAGAGCGTGGGGCGTGATGTGGCCCGCAGCAGCCAGCAGAGGGAAAGGTGGCTTCAGCCGGGAGAAGATCTGGAGGATTGCATCGGAGCCGAAATAGGCCCTGGAAGGAGAAGGTGGAGGAGTGGGAGGGTGAGGGAGGGGTTAGTGTAAGAGGATATGCTACCGGTAACTGGAGGATGTTGAGATGCAGAATGTTTTGAAGGGAGGACTTGGGTGCCAGAATGAGCGCATGTGAAAATGTGTGTGCTTTGACTCGGGTACTTTGGTGGTAAGCGATGGGCCACATGCGCTCGTGTGAAACGAGAAACAGGTTGGAGCTGGTTGCTGCTTTTGAGACGCCACAAAAACAGATCGTAAATTGTACGCGGTATACGAAGAGCTACACCCGCGGAACTCACCTGTTGTGTGCAACAAGAACAATGTCCGAGTGGTCGTTCTCGTCGCGACCAGCGCGGCGGAGAAGGGCCTTCCCCGAGTCGCCCTGCAGCGAGGCGAAGCGCAGGTTGCTGCGGAACAAGCAAGAAAAAAACACGGAAAAATGGGGTGTCTTAAATACTGAAACCGGAGATGCAGTTGGCCCAGTTGAAAGCAACGTGGAATCCAAAGGTGGTGAGGGAGGAGGGGGAATATAAGGGGACGAGAGGGGGGCGGGGGGAGTGGAAGACGCGGGGGGCAAGGGAGTGACGGGACTACGGCGCCGAAGATGGTGCAGAGAGGCGATGGGATGGGGGAAGACGGAAGCGGCGTCCTACCCGTGGGGGTCATAGTCGAGAAGAAAGTTGACCCACTTGTTACACAGGTTGCACACGCCTGGAAACCGGACGACGCGCACGATAAACAAGAGAAGATAAACAACAGCACGAGAGACGAGAGAAGATAAACATTATAGGTGCCAGATTTGCCAAGGACAGTAGACAGAGAGCGGAAGGAGACGGCACAAACGAGCATGGCTTTGTGAGGAAATGAAGCAGATTAAGGTTCAACTCTGCATCGAACATTCAAGTCCGAGGCTTGCGGTCTCACCATCGAAGAGGACGACAGGCCGCAAGTCCGATTCAAAGAACTGATCGCCGATTGCCTCCATGCGCTTCGAGTACCCAGCCTGCGCCATCAGCCTGCCCCAGCTTTCGTCCTCCTTTTGTTTTCCCGCATCATCCGCTACTTCAGCGCTGCTCCTGTTGTTTCCGCGTTCCTCCGCCGCCTCCGCCTCGGGCTCTTGCCGTTGCGGAGAGGTCGCGGGTTCGAGTACCGGCAGCGACAGAAGTGCGGAGGATTCCGGAGAGAGAAAGGCTTCTGAGATGTCTGCTGCGGCTGTGAGCTCTTGCGGCACGAACGAAGGCAGGATTTCCAGCTCCAGCTGTTGATTCGACGAATTGACGGAGGTAGAAGCTTTGTTAACGGCTCCGTTACCGTTTACGTCGGGGGAAGTGACGTCAAGCTCGATGACGGATAACGACGGCGTCGCGCGTATCGCAGTGTCCTTGCTCCCGCGGGCGCCGTGCGACATCGCCGCGTGTTGCGCTGGCTCGGAACTGAAGTGCGACTGAGCCGCCGGCCCCGAAGTTGCCGGCGGCGATTGCTGCTTCCCCGCGGATGGCGCGGCGGTTCCGCGGACGGCGGGAAGCTTGGATGCGCCACGCGCTGCAGACAGCGTCACTGCCGTTCTCGGGGGAGTTAGACGAGCCGCCGCGGCGGGCGAAGGTAGCGGACGGAGGAGGTGGTGCTTGCAGCCTGCTGCTGCTGTGGCCGCCATTTTCAGAAATAAAGGTTACGACTTCTCGGTGGTGGTAGATTCGTTAGGTGGATATGACGCAGTTGCGAGGCCAGTAAGTGGTGACTTATGCGAGTCGAGTTTGGGGGCGTCACCGCTTATAATGGAACTGGCTCTTGGAGACAATTTCTTTTCTGCTTCAAGTCCGCTTCTCCCAAAAGACTGCTGACCGGATGAGGGAGGTGTGGAAGAGAAACTTCGGGTCGTGCGGTGCGGTGCTGTCGCTCTCCACACGTTTGGAGCGAGCTAGCCTCGGTCGGAGGGCAGTGAGCGTGGCTGAAAAAACACGGCTCTGAGAAGGCGGCACCCAGAAGTCAAGGTAGACGAACCACCTTGAAGCTAAATGTCTGTGTGAGTTGGACGGTGTGCCTGTGGTGCGAAAGGAGACGGCTGTAAGAAAATGGAGGTGGAGGAAATAACCTGCAAGCAGATGCTGTGCTGGATTATGCTCACCCAACTAAAGCTCTACAAATAAGCCCCCGATTCCAACATAGCAAGTCCAGAGATGGGAGGAAGGAGCACGGGAAATGGGATGCAAGGGAGGGAGAGGCGAGGTAGGTGCACAAATCTGATGCTGGGAGTTGGCGAAGCGCGCACTAGTGGATATGGATGGAGAATCGACGGGCAGATGAATACATAGTTTTTTTGCTTCGAAAGTGGAAATGGCAGAATTAGAGGCCACCACAACAGACCCACAAATTTCCCAGTGAATAATATTTATATAAGTAGAAAATGAAGAAAATGTGGGACTGACCGCCCCTGAAATTTGATCGTTTTCCCTTCTCGTGTGAGCAACGGTCGTCAGCAACCCAAGGATTTTGGAAGCCGCGGAGACGAGCAATCGCGGATGAAGGCTCTGGCACGTGTTTGATTGGGTAGAGACGTGAGATTGCGAGTTGAATCTTGATTTACGATTGGATGAAACGCTGCCCTAAGAACAATCAGAACCATTCGTCGAGGTGCGCTGGCAGGATGACTTATTATAATCTGCCACTTTGATTGGTAGTCAACAAGTCATGGATGTCAACTTCATGACAATCATGATTGCAGGCTTAGGAAAAAACTATATTTGCATAGCCTGGGGAATTGTAAGGAAAATTCCTTTTCCTTACTACGCGTCCCTGCTTACCGCGTACATGACCGTTCCCGCCATCAGCACCCATCCATGCACGTTACCCGTTCACGACACTCGCCTCGACCACAACTCCCGCCACTGTTCACGACGCGACCCAACCTAACGGTTCGGTTGGTAACCCGCGCTCCGGACCTCCGCCTCGACAATTCTCCAAACCTCGGCACTAGGCCCGTAGCGCACCTCAATTTCCCACTTTACCGTTACCACTATAGTTTCGCTATATATCCTTCGCTCATGCTTTCGCTCAGTTTGTACTCTTGCTTCGATAGTGCAATTCTCACTCGTTCGCTCAATTGCACTCGTAACACTTGGTATTCAGAGCCTACGATCTCTTCTCGGACCGCACCCACACCTTCGCTTCCCCACTATCTCCATTTTTTGGGGGGGGTAGACGTCTCTCAGCGAACAAGCACCGCCGCTCGAAGTGCCCTCTCGTAAGCACGCACAGCCACGACAGAGGCTCCCGCTGAGTTTGCCCGACACCCCCGCCATGGCCGACATTAATCTTGCGACATTGACGCAGGAGCAGCTCGACCGTCTCGTACGTCAACTCGAAGATTCGGCACTCGAAATTGCGACACTCACGGCGGAACGTGACTCCGCCCGCCAGCAATCAACGGTGAATGCACCAGCTCCATCACAAGCACCCGCAAATGCACCTGCGCAATCAGAAGAACCGATCGTCATCTCATCAGGCACACCGACGCAAAACGACAGCGTGGGACAGCGCTCAGGCGCAGCCAGTGATGGCGCCGCTCAATCGATGCCTGGCATGGAGAGAAATCGGGCCGCGCCAAGCCCGCGTGGGCCTCGCGAAGCTCGTCGGCACGTGGAGTTTGCAGCAACAAGTGGCGACCACGACATCATGGCACCAATGCCACTCAAGCCGCAGCGCCCGCCCTGTTTCGATCCAAGCCAACGTGGAGGTCCGACGGTTCAGTCGTGGGTCTTCACGATGAACGTTTTCTTCGACGCGAATTACGTCGAGTCGGACGCAGCGAAGATTCGCTATGCTGTTTCGCTGCTGAGGGGCCCCGCCATGGACTGGTGGCGAGTCATCGTGACGTCGCCACGCGCCTACGAGCCACTGTCGCAAGCGGAAGGGCCCACGGGACCAGCCGTCACCTGGAGTTCATTCTGCGAAACAGCCCAATATAGCACGTGGGATGCGTGGTGCGCAGGGCTTCGGGCGCGACTGCCGATCGCGGCTTCTATTTCGGCGCGTCAGAAACTGCGTACTTGGCGGCAGCTCGGATCGGTCCAAGACTACACGAGCGGTTTTCTCGCATTATGAGAGCAAGTCGGCTATATGCACGAAGCGGAGCGGGTGGACCGTTACGTCGGAGGGCTGAAGCCGGACATCTCGCACGAAATCATGCTACGCGGACTCTCAAATTTCAACGAGATTCTCGCGCTCGCCGAGAAAATCGACATATTACGCCGACCGAGACCGGGGTCCTACTACGGACATCGCCCTCGGGGACCAATCGAGCACGCCACTGTACACGCTGTTGCGACGAACGCAGCTGCCGCGCCGTTTAAGGGGCGCTGCTTCGCTTGCAATAGGCCGGGCCATCGTAAGAGTGAGTGCCCAGAGGAGCTGAGGCGCCGCGGAGCAGAGCAGGGGAGGGAGTCTCTAAGGCAGGGAAACGCCAGCAGTCAGTAGGAATCGGGCCAACTACTGACGAGACTGCCTGCTCGCCCAACCACACCGACCCTCACCGAGTCACAGTACCGATTCACGCTATCGATCGGGCTCGGATGAATAAGGAGGGTACAGCGACGGATTACCCAATACGGATCCACGGGAAAATACAGGGAGCAGCAGTGAAGATTTTTATAGACGGAGGAGCAAGCCACAGCTTAGTTAATACCGCAACCGCACGAAAGCTGCAACTGACACTTAGTCGGTGTTTACCGGAAATAGATGCACGCTTGGTGGACGGAACGCCACTGGCCATACGGGAGAAGGTGGAGAGAGTAAAGGTCCGCTGCGGGGGAATTTCTGGGTTTACACAGGAAATGCTCGCGACGACATTGGATGGGCACGACATTTTACTGGGACGTGATTGGCTGCGACGGTATAACCCGCGAATCGACTGGACGACGGGTAGCTGCACTGTGCGAAGTAGCGGTAACTGGGTCGTGCTACCTCGCTGGCAGTCGCCCGAGTCTTCAACGGTCCACGTCAACGCCATCACGATGAAACGGGCTGTCGCCGCTGGAGCTGACGTGTACGCAGTGGATATAGCATTGGTAGGAGAAGCGGAGCAGCCGAACGATTTTCAGAAACTGTTGGCAGCAGTACCGCCTGAACTACAGGAACTGTTGAAACGATACCCGGGGATTTTTCCGGACGATTTACCAGAGGGACTGCCACCTCAGCAGGCACATGACCACCGCATAGAGTTAGAACCGGGGGCACAGCCAACTGTACAGCGACAATTCCGCCTGACACAGCCAGAGCTCGACGAACTGAGGAAGCAGTTAGATTACCTGTTAGAGAAAAAATTCATCCGACCGAGCTCGTCGCCGTTCGCCGCACCGATACTGTTCGCACCGAAAAAAGACGGGGGTTTCCGCATGTGTATCGACTACAGAGCACTGAACAGGGTAACAGTCAAGTCGCGATACCCCATTCCCCGCGCCGACGAACTGATAGATCAACTGCGAACAGCACGGGTTTTTTTCGAAAATAGATTTACGGGGAGGTTACCATCAGATTCGGGTCGAACCATCAGACTGCGCCAAGACAGCATTTAGGACTAGGTACGGGTCATTCGAGTACACTGTGATGCCATTCGGGTTGACCAACGCACCGGCAACATTTCAGATGACCATGAACGAGGCGTTTAGGCCACTTTTAGATAAATGCGTGATAGTTTACCTCGACGACATCCTAGTCTACAGTCGTGATAAGCAGCAGCATTTAGCAGATCTGGAAGCAGTGTTTAACGTTTTAGACAAGCACCGACTACTGACCAAGGGTTCCAAGTGCGAGTTTTTTCAGGACAGGTTAGAATTTTTTGGGCACGTCATTTCGAAGGCTGGGGTTGAAATCGACCCAAAGAAGCTCGACACGGTCAAAGCATGGCACCCCCCGACAAATATCACGGAGCTGCAGAGTTTCTTAGGGTTCGTGAATTACGTGCGTCGGTTCGTCCCCGACATGGCGAAGTTAACAGCCCCACTGACGGATCTGCTGCGGAAAGGGGTCGCTTTTACGTGGGGGGAGAAAGAGCATGCTGCCTTCTCTGCCCTGAAAACTGTTCTCTGTTCACCACCCGTACTGCGCATCGCTGACCCACACCGCCCCTTCGAAGTAGTAACCGACGCAAGCGACATCGCCATTGGAGCCGTACTGCTACAGGATTTCGGCAACGGCCTACAGCCCATCGCATACGAATCACGAAAGCTGCATCCGCCCGAGAAAAATTACCCGATACACGACCGCGAAATGCTCGCGATCGTGCATGCGTTCAAAGTCTGGCGCTGTTACTTGACCGGCGCAGACGTGACAGTACGGACAGACCACCGATCCCTACAGTACCTCCGCGCACAGCCCCACCTCAACCCACGACAGATCCGCAGGCTCGATTTCCTCGAGTCAAATTTCCACTACACTGTCACCTACAAAAAGGGAGCATCCAACATCGCTGACGCACTGACCCGCCCCACTGCCCAAATCCACGCGATACTACTCGCCCAGACCAGCCCGCTACTGACAGGACTATTTACCCATGGGTACCAAACAGACCCATTCTTCACAGGAGGAAATTCGCAGCAGTTCGCAGCAGCCAAAGGCGTCTATTACGTAAAAGCCGGGACCGACCGCATCTGGGTACCAGGGTACACACTGCTACGGGAATTACTGTTACAGGAGGCACACGACGGAGTTACCTCGGGACATTTCGGGGTAGAGAAAATACGGCAGCAGCTGCAGCGGTATTATTACTGGCCCGAAATGTTGGCCGACGTTCAACGACACGTGGCATCGTGTCCCACTTGCCAGATCATGAAGTCATCACGGAAGCGGCCGGCAGGACAGTTGCAGCCGATACCACCCCCAGAGCGTGCTTGGCAGCAGGTGACGATGGACTTCGTCACGGGGTTACCGGCCGGAGCAAGTGGGAATGACGCGATCCTGGTCGTCGTCGACCGACTGACGAAAATGGCACACTTCGCAGTATGCAAAAAATCAATCACAGCCGAAGAAACAGCCCGCCTCTTCATCTCCACCATCGTTCGACTGCACGGGATACCAGCATCAATCATCAGTGACAGAGACACGAAATTCACCAGCAACTTCTGGCGGAACCTGTGGCAGCAATTCGGCACGCGACTGCAGTTCAGTTCATCATACCACCCCGAAACCGACGGACAGACAGAACGGACAAATCAGACCATGGAACAGCTCATCCGGGCCACGTGCGACGACCCGACCACGTGGGAACAGCAACTGCCACTCATCGAATTCGCGTACAACAACTCGCCATCCGCCACGACCCAACAGTCACCGTTCTACCTGAACTACGGACAAGACCCCACAGTACCCATGACCCCGAATCCCGACAACCCAGTCCCACGCGCGCAACAGTTCGCAGAAATACTGCAAGCAGCACGGACCCGAGCAGCCGAAGCAATCAAAAAATCAAACATCATCGCTAAACGCAACGCTGACCGCCACCGCCGACCTGTCACTTACCAGCCGGACGACCTAGTTCTACTCGACACTCAAAACCTCCGCCTGCCCATTACTCCAAAACTCCGCCCCCGATATTGCGGGCCATTTCGCATCAGCCACATGATCACACCCGTCACCGCCCATCTCCTCCTCCCTGCTGACTGGTACGTCAGCCCGTCATTCCACGTCAGCCTGCTTCGCCCATACGTGCCATCCACCAGCCAACTGCCTCGCAATCGCCCCGCCAGCATGACACGACCACCGACTGAGCCAATCATCACGCCTGAGAAAATACTGAGCCATCGAGTACGTGACCCACGGGGAGCCCGCAGAATCGAATTCCTGATCCGCTGGAAAGACCGCACGCCCACCGAAGACAACTGGGTCCCCTTGGATAGAATTGAGAATCACCCTGTCCTCACTGAGTATCTGCGCAGCCGAAACTTCCGAGAGGTACACGCGCTCTCATAAGAGGGGCCTCCTTGGGGAGGGGGGGTAGTGTAAGGAAAATTCCTTTTCCTTACTACGCGTCCCTGCTTACCGCGTACATGACCGTTCCCGCCATCAGCACCCATCCATGCACGTTACCCGTTCACGACACTCGCCCCGACCACAACTCCCGCCACTGTTCACGACGCGACCCAACCTAACGGTTCGGTTGGTAACCCGCGCTCCGGACCTCCGCCTCGACAATTCTCCAAACCTCGGCACTAGGCCCGTAGCGCACCTCAATTTCCCACTTTACCGTTACCACTATAGTTTCGCTATATATCCTTCGCTCATGATTTCGCTCAGTTTGTACTCTTGCTTCGATAGTGCAATTCTCACTCGTTCGCTCAATTGCACTCGTAACAGGAATGATACACAAGCCTGCATCATAATTTGCTTTTCATCATCCCAGTATATGATTTTGTCGTCAATGATTTGCATTTAAATTAAACGTTGCGAGGAGTGTTTAAATACATTATATATTTATAACGATAAGCTGAATCAAGTGGACAAGGTAATCATATGGAAAGCGATGAAGGGTATATCCTCTTTAGAAAACGAAGCTCTTTGTGTTGCGGTTGTGATTGTTCTGACATTCTGACATGCTGGTGGAGTCGCGATGAGCATTCTGCAATCGGCGTTCCAATTGGACGGGGAACTGGATTCGAACAACCCTCCTCCCAGTGTTCCGTTTCCAGGACAAGCACTTCAGGTGACACTGAATCACCGAATCAAAACGGACCTTAGGGCGTGTCCAGCGCGTACATTTACAGTTCATAAACCCATTCAGTTACCACATTTCCTATTGTAAACACTGCTATTACAAAAAGGTTGGACACGATCAGCTTCTGTTCACAAGACGGCACGCCCGCTGCGCGTACGACGAATCGTCTAACACACGTTACTGGAATCAGTGTGCGCGCGAACAAGGGTACAGCATTGCGTCCTGCCCGCTACAGTAATTTTCGTTCAAGCGTGGAATTTTCGCTTGTGCGTGAATTTCTGTGCGACGATAGACGAGGCAACCAGTTACCTCGTTTTCCACGAACTGTAGAAATTTGTGTGCAGAGGGTTGTGTCCGCGCGCTGGAAGGCCCAAGCCTTCGGACTCGACTCACCTTATATTCGTTTTTTGGTACAGTGAGATTTTTTGAGCCGGGAAACGTGTGAAGGTACTAATATTCCCAAAATGTACGCGCTGGACACGCCCTTAGCAAATGGGAAAGACCACGACGACGCGAGCCACGGCACTGCGAATGCCGATTTGCCCATTTCACGATGGACCAACATGAAAGCTCATCCCCAGTCAGTTGCTGGTTCCACGATCAGGGAAATTTTCGAGTTGAACAGGGGTCCTCTCACTATTACTACCCTAACATAAGATTGTAGTCGTACACTGCTATTTGTTCGTCATTCTGTCTGATTTCCGTTGATAAGGGAACCCTTAGCACCTTCCCTTATGCGACATACTTGCGTAGTCTAGTAGCCCTCCCCCCCCCCAAGGTGGTAGCGTTGTCGTATTCTGCGGCCAAGGTCTCACAGTGACGCTGACTCATTCTTTTCTTTATCTTATAATGAAACTGAGTATCGATGAAATGTCTTGCAATGGGTGCCACAAGGTGTGCTGATCGTGGTAGCTTCAGAAAGCCAGTCTACCTCCTCCTCGTCCGAGGTCTCAAACGAAACACACAGGAGAAAAATAGGAACTGGCAGCGCAGGTAGCGTGCACTTCTTATGCAGAAATACATCGATCCGCTCCTTAAGACCGTCTGCTACAATGTCCGCAAGACCGTCCAGACCCCTCACGTCAGGTCGCTCGCGAAGAAATCACTCGTACCAGCGCTCTCAGAACCTCCTATCATGCTTATTCGTCGCATTCCTACTAGGCTCATTGTGTCCCACAAGGATGATCACCACAGCGTCGCCCGTGCCCGTTCAAGAAACGTATAACATGCCTGGCACTAACGGGGATAGTACGTCTGAAGAACATTTCGGTGGTCTTTCAAGCTGCATGGTTGGAGCAACCTCCGAGGATTGCTCGGGACGCCGCGCCTCCGCTGGACCATTCCCCGAAATAACCGCCGGGAAAAGCGCGACGGACGGCCGGAAGGGTCCCCGTGCGTTCGCTGATCTCATCGACGGCGTACACGGGCTCCACGTTTTGCGGATCAACAGCCGATTGGCTGCTCATCCTTCCGTCGCCACCACCGCCGCTACGGCTTCCCCGCCGGACCATTCCCGTCCGGCGCCCGAGCCTCCCGCTGCCTCGTCCCTTCCCGTGCCCAGACCTGCCACGTCAGCGGCTTCTCGGGCTTCGTGGAGCTCGAAGGAGAATTCGTCCGCAAGGCACGCGTTTGGGCAGCATTATTTGTCGCTAGTGGAGAGTGACAAGGCTCGGCACAGGTCACGCATGTTGATGGTTCAGAGGCAGGAGGGCGGAATGGAGGGAGACGGAGGTGAATCAAGAGAAGGAGAAGGAGGAGAAGTCGGAGGTGCTGGTAACCATCATGGGAGGAAACTGGGCATAACGGCTACAGCAGGGCTGCTTGGCGCCACGTACCCTAATGGGTAGGCCCATCCCTTTTCCTTGAAAGCATCCTTAGAACTCACTCAATTGGCATATGCTGTACTGAGCTGTCTTCACACAAGAAGCAATCTGCTCTGGGTCATTTGCCTACATAATTTATGCCTCTCTCCTCACCCAACCATACTACCCATCTACCCCCCTACATCTCGTCTCCCCCACCCTTACTGCCCATCCTCCCCCCAAGCTTTCTTCTACCCCACTCTCACTCGTTATTCTCTCCATCTCCCCTTTCCTCCCCATCCTCCCCGGCTGGGCAATGGCACGCCGCCACAGACGTTCAATCTGGACATTGACACGGGCAGCAACCTGCTCTGGGTCAACTGCCTGCTTACTTACCCCCTCCCTCCCCCTTCTCCCTGCACATCCTCTCTTCCACCCCACAACCTGACTCCCCATGCTCCCTGCGTGCAGCATATACTACGTGCAGCTGGGCATCGGCACGCCGCCACAGACGTTCAATCTCGACATTGACACGGGCAGCAACCTGCTCTGGGTCAACTGCTTTCCTATCTAACTCCCAACTCTTTTCTCCCCCACCCTTGCTCCCCATTCTCTCAACCCCACCTCCACTCTTCCCCCCAACCTGACTCCCCATCCTCCCCGCGTGCAGCATATACTACGTGCAGCTGGGCATCGGCACGCCGCCACAGACGTTCAATCTGGACATTGACACGGGCAGCAAACTGCTCTGGGTCAACCGCTTGCCCTCTTACTCTCTGTCTCCCTCCCCCTCTCTTCCTCTCTCCCTCCCCACAACCTGACTCCCCATCCGCCCCGCGCCCAGCATATACTACGTGCAGCTGGGCATCGGCACGCCGCCACAGACGTTCAATCTTCCTCTCTTCCCCCCCCCAACCTGATTCCCCATCCTCCCCGTGCCCAGCATATACTACGTGCAGCTGGGCATCGGCACGCCGCCACAGACGTTCAATCTCGACATTGACACGGGCAGCAACCTGCTCTGGCTCAACTGCTTGCCCTGCAACCCCTGCACGCTCTCCAAGACTCTGGTGAGTCAACTCTTAGCGAGTCGACTGTCCCCTGTGACTTCTGGGTCGACTTGAACTCCCCTGCCCGCCTTCCTTTCCTCTTTCCCTCCTCCCTCATGCCCCCCCTCGCTCCCATTCTCCTCCTGCCCTCCTGGCCCCTCACCCTCTCGCCCGTTCTTCCTCCCTCATTCAAGTCTCTGCTCTCTCCCCCCCCCTGTGCGCAGCAAACCAACCCGCCCTTCGACCCTGCAAAACCAACCCGCCCTTCGACCCTGCAAAATCCCCCTCAGTAAAGCTCCTTCAGTGCTCCAACAAGGCATGCATCAACCCCGACCGAACCAGCCCCTGTGACTTCTGGGTCGACTCAGAATCCCCTGCCTGCCCTATGTCCTCCCGCTCTCCTCTTCTGTCCTTTCTCCGTTCCGCCCCTCTTCTGTGCAGCGAAGCAATCCCCCCTTCGACTCGGCCAAATCCTCTTCAGTCAAGCTCCTTCAGTGCTCCAACAAAGGCGGGCATCAACCCTTACCTGACATCAACCCCTCAATTCTCCCTCCCACCCCTCGTGCGCAGCAAACTAATCCGCCCTTCGACTCGGCCAAATCCTCTTCAGTCAAGCTCCTTCAATGCTCCAACAAGGCGTGCATCAACCCCGACCGAACCGTCAAGATCCGCAACTGCAACGTCACCAAGCCTCTGGTCAAAGGCTCGGCAGCAGGCTCGGCAGGAGGCTCGGAGGAGGATTTGGGGTGTATGTACTCGGTGGCGTATGGGGATGGGAGTGGGACGTCAGGGCGCCTGCTTGCTGACGTCATCCATCTGCCCATTTCCGGGTCTGCCCGAGCCTTCAAAGTTCCCATCACCTTTGGGTATGTGCCTGTGTAACATGTGCATGTGTCACATGCGCCTTGTTAACATGTGTCTCTGTAACATGTGCCTGTGGTTCCTGCACAATGATGGGCTTATCTGCCTGTCTGTATCCCTCAATCAACACCTGCCCACTGCCATCAACAGCTGTCGTAACTCGCAGCAGGGAAACTTTTACAACGGCCTGGGCTGGACCTATTACCAGGCTCTAGACGGTCTCATCATAGGGCTACCTCACCTCACCCCTCCTCACCGCTCTCCCATCCCTCCCCACCTGTCCCCATCCCTCTCCTCCCCTTCCAACCCTTCTCCACCTTCACATTCCTATCAACAGCTGTGGTAACTCGCAGCAGGGAAACTTTTACAACGGCCTGGGCTGGACCTACTACCAGGCTCTGGACGGGCTCATAGGGCTAACTCACCCCTCCTCATTGCTCTCCCATCACTCCCCACCTCTCCCCATCCCTCTCCACCTCTCTCGCACAGCTGTGGCAACTCGCAGCAGGGCAACTTTTACAATGGCCTGGGTTGGACCTACTACCAGGCTCTGGACGGGCTCATAGGGCTGGGCAGGGGGTCGCTCTCTCTGCTCACAGCCGTCGGAGCCTACAAGGAGTTCTTCCCCATTCGGTGAGACGTGGTTCAGTGCGGTGAAAGTAGGTGCAGTGCGGTGAAATATGGTTCAGTGCGGTGAAAGTAGGTGCAGTGCAGCTGGACCTACTACCAGGCTCTAGATGGGCTCATAGGGCTGGGCAGGGGATCACTTTCTCTGCTCACAGCCGTTGGAGCCTACAAGGAGTTCTTCCCCATTCGGTGAGATGCAATACAATATGGTGCAGTGCGGTGCCTTGTACTCATCGATTTGGTGTGCTCTAACAATCTTTTCCACTCTGCTTGCCCCGTAGCACTCCCGCTATATTGAAATCACTTTGCTTGCTCATCGTATCACTTTGCTTTGAAATCACTTTGCTTGCTCATCGTATCACTTTGCTTTGAAATCACTTCTTACTAACAATTCTCAAAAGTAATCTTTTCCACTCTGCTTGCCCCGTAGCACTCCCACATTTCCCCTTCAACCTCATTCTTCCATCACCCTCCCACCCCCTTTCCCTGGTCCTCGGCCATTTTCCCTATCCTCCACAATCCCGGATTTCCCCTCCAACCTTATTCTTCCATCACCCTCCCACCCCCTTTCCCTAGTCCTCTGCTATTTTCTCTATCCTCCCCTGTACATTCACCGTTCGTCCTCCGCAATTTGGTGACTTTTGAGTCGACTCAAAAGTCACTCAAAAGTCACTCAAAAGTCGACTCAAAAGCCACCCCCTTTCCCTAGTCCTCTGCTATTTTCTCTATCCTCCCCTGTACATTCACCGTTCGTCCTCCGCAATTTCCCTTTCTCCTTCTTTTACCTTCGTCCCATGCACTCGGGGGAGCAGGCGGGTGGTGCCGCTTGCGTGCTGTCTATGAGAACCCTCCCTCTGCTCACCACTGCTCCTCGTGTAGTGAGTCGATTTTTGAGTCGACTCAAAAATCGACTCGGGGGAGCAGGCGGGTGGTGCCGCTTGCGTGCTGTCTATGAGAACCCTCCCTCTGCTCACCACTGCTCCTGTTCCTCCTCCTCCTCCTTTCTCTTCCATCCGCTACCCCCTGGAGAGCAGGCAGGTGGTGGCGCACTGCTTTGGGGGCGACGGGGGGTGGATGACAGTATGGGACCTCCCCATCCCCCCTCTCACCACCTTCTCTCCTTCCTCTCCCCTTCCCCTCTCCGTTCTTCCGCCCTTGGAGACCAGGCAGGTGGTGGCGCACTGCTTGGGGGGCGACAGTGGGGGCGGGTGGATGACAGTAGGAGACCTCTCCATCACCCTTCTCACCACCTTCTTATCCCCCTCCCCCTCCCCTCTCCGTTCTTCCGCCCCTGGAGAGCAGGCAGGTGGTGGCGCACTGCCTGGGGGGCGACGGGGGGGGCGAGTGGATGACAGTGGGCGACCTCCCCATTCCCCCTCTCACCGCCTTCCTCTCCTTCCTCTCCTCCCTCTCCCCTTCCCCGCTCCGTTCTTCCGCCCTTGGAGAGCAGGCAGGTGGTGGCGCACTGTCTGGGGGGGGACAGCGGGGGCGGGTGGATGACAGTAGGGGACATCCCCATTCCCCCTCTCACAGCCTTCACTCCCCTGCGACCAGATGACACGTGAGTGATGGGGTTGAATGAATGTTCAATAGTTGCTTTCAGTTGCTGAAAGTTGCACCCAATCCCCCTCATGGGGTGGATGACAGTGGGGGATCTCCCCATCCCCCCTCTCACAGCCTTCACTCCCCTGCGACCACATGACACGTGACTGCTGCGTGCTATGAGGCATACTCTGGGGTTACGTTCTCATGGGGCTCTTTAGGTGCCTCATAGGACAGACCACCGTTTCCTCCCATCCCCCCTTTTACCGCCTTCACACCCCTGCGACCAGATGACACGTGAGTGCTGGGGTTGGTTTATTGTGGTTAAATGTGGTTGAATGTTCAATGGTTGCCTCTAGTTGTTGGAAGGTGGATTCAATCCCCCTTATGGGGTGGATGACAGTGGGTGGCTTTCCCATCCCCCCTCTCACCGCCTCCACGCCCCTGCAGCAGCCAGACGAAACGTGAGTGCAGCAATCTTGCTCTAGTTTTGTGTGTTTCACGGGTCTTTCCAGGCCCCTCAGAAGTCCACCCACGTTCCCCTTCTCTCACCGCCTTCACGCCCCTGCGGCCAGACAAAACGTGAGTGAAGTGACTTTGCCCTTGGGGTGTATATTCACGGATCCCTCTAGGTGCCTCACGGGTCCCTCTAGGTGCCTCACAGGTCCACAGTCCACCCCATCCCCTATCCAGACTCTTTTTTCACAGGTTGCTCCCACTCAACTAATAAGCCCACCCGTATTCCCTTCCTCTTACAGTCTTCACTCCCTTCTTACCTTGCACACTTATCAGCTTCTACTAACTGACTCTTTGCAAGACGTTCATGGGTGGGGTAGACCCAGTTTTGAGACGTCTCAAAACTTGCGCATTTATCAGCTTCCACAGTTTACTAAGTCACTCTTCGCACGATGTTCATGGGTGGAGTAGACCCAGCGAGGTGAACCCAGCCCACTTCGGCAACCCCTCCCTTGCTGCCCCCGTTCTCCGTTTACCTTCTCTCCTTCTATCTCCCGCTTCCCTCTTCTCTCCCTATTCCCCTGTCCTCATGTCCTCGCAGCTTCTACAAAGTGACACTGTGGAAGGTGTTCGTTGAGGGGTAGAGGTGGCAGTGAATCCAGCGCAGTACAGCAATCTCTCCCTTCCTTCCCTGCACCTTTCCGCCTTTCCCTACTCTCCCTTTCCGCTCCTCGCAGATTCTACAAAGTGACATTGAGGAAGGTGTTCGTTGGGGGAATAGAGGTGGCAGTGAATCCAGCGCAGTACAGCAATATCTCCTTTCCTTCCCTGCACCTATCCGCCTTTCCCTACTCTCCCTTTCCCCTCCTCTCAGCTTCTACAAAGTGACACTGAGGAAGGTGTTCGTGGGGGGAATAGAGGTGGCGGTGAATCCAGCCCAGTATGGCAACCTTTCCTCCCTACCTTGCCCATTCTCCTTCTACCCTTCGCTCCCCTGTCCCCCTCCTCAGCTTCTACAAAGTGACACTGAGGAAGGTGTTCGTGGGAGGGGTGGAGGTGGCAGCGAACAGTACGGCAACCTGATCTTCTTCTTCCTTTCACCCATCCCTCTTTCACCTTGTGCCTCATTCCCTGTCCCCCTGTGCTCTTCCCCTCAGCTTCTACAAAGTGACATTGAGGAAGGTGTTCGTGGGGGGAGTCGAGGTGGCGGTGAATCCAGCTCAGTACGGCAACCCGACCATTCTTTCCTTTCTCCTGACCCCCTGTCCCCCTGTCCCCCTCCTCTCAGTTTCTACAAAGTGACACTGAGGAAGGTGTTTGTGGCCGGGATAGAGGTGGCGGTGAACCCAGCACAGTACGGCAATCTCACCTTTCCTTCCTTTCACCTGTCCCCCCCTCCCACCTTCCCACAGATTCTACAAAGTGACATTGAGGAAGGTGTTCGTGGGCGGGATAGAGGTGGCGGTGAACCCAGCGCAGTACGGCATCCTGACCCATCCTTCCACCTATCCCCTCTTTCCCTTATCTCCTTCTCCCCGCCTCTCAGCTTCTACAAAGTGACACTGAGGAAGGTGTTCGTGGGGGGAATCGAGGTGGCGGTGAATCCAGCGCAGTACGGCAATCTGACCCACGGCAATGCCATCTTTGACAGCGGCACCACCTACTCCATCATGCCGCCTCTCTTTGTCCCTCCTCTCTTCCACCTCGTAAGTCCACCTCGCTCCTCTCCCGCTTAAGTCGAGTCAGAGGGCTGTATAGTACAGTATGGCAATCTGACTCACGGCAATGCCATCTTTGACAGCGGAACCACCTACTCCATCATGCCGCCTCTCTTCGTCCCGCCGCTCTTCCACCTTGTGAGTACACCTCGCTCCTCTCCCCCTTGAGTCGACTAAAAAGGGCAGTATGCCAACACTTCCTCTCAAAACAGCAAACCCAACACAGTGAGTCCATCTCGCTCCTCTCACGGCAATGCCATCTTTGACAGCGGCACCACCTACTCCATCATGCCGCCTCTCTTCGTCCCTCCCCTGTTCCACCTGGTGAGTCCATCTCACTCCTCTCCTCCTTGACTCAACTCAGAGACAGCACAGTACGGCAACCTGTCGCACTGCAATGCCATCTTTGACAGCGGCACCACCTACTCCATCATGCCGCCTCTCTTCGTCCCTCCCCTGTTCCACCTGGTGAGTCCATCTCACTCCTCTCCTCCTTGACTCAACTCAGAGACAGCATAGTACGGCAACCTGTCGCACTGCAATGCCATCTTTGACAGCGGCACCACCTACTCCATCATGCCGCCTCTCTTCGTCCCTCCCCTGTTCCACCTGGTGAGTCCATCTCACTCCTCTCCTCCTTGACTCAACTCAGAGACAGCACAGTACGGCAACCTGTCTCACGGCAATGCCATCTTTGACAGCGGCACCACCTACTCCATCATGCCGCCTCTCTTCGTCCCTCCCCTGTTCCACCTCGTGAGTCCATCTCACTCCTCTCCTCCTTGACTCAACTCAGAGACAGCACAGTACGGCAACCTGTCGCACGGCAATGCCATCTTTGACAGCGGCACCACCTACTCCATCATGCCGCCTCTCTTCGTCCCTCCCCTGTTCCACCTGGTGAGTCCATCTCACTCCTCTCCTCCTTGACTCAACTCAGAGACAGCACAGTACGGCAACCTGTCGCACGGCAATGCCATCTTTGACAGCGGCACCACCTACTCCATCATGCCGCCTCTCTTCGTCCCTCCCCTGTTCCACCTGGTGAGTCCATCTCACTCCTCTCCTCCTTGACTCAACTCAGAGACAGCACAGTACGGCAACCTGTCGCACGGCAATGCCATCTTTGACAGCGGCACCACCTACTCCATCATGCCACCCCTCTTCGTCCCGCCTCTCTTCCACCTCGTGAGTCCATCCAACGGTCACTAGTTTGGTAAAGACAGAACTCACGTGCGATGACAGTTTCCCTCATGGGTAGCATTTGAAATAACGCTATGAAATAACGTTCGTGTGGCATTTGAACGAGGTGAGCCCTGGGTTGTATCAAAAGGCTGTGCAGCAGTAGGATTGCCTCGCTATACCTTCTCCATCGCCCCATTCTTCACTCCTTTTGCTTGCCTCACGCCTCCCTCGAAGCCTCCTCAGATCCGGACAGCATGGGCTTTCAGCGCCTTCCCTTCTCCATCGCCGCACATTTCACTCCCTTGTGCTTTCCGTGCCTCGCGCCTTTCATTTCCTCTCTCTTTGGCTTCTCAGATCCAGACAGCCGTGGGACTGCCTCGCTACGCCTTTTCCATTGGCAAGGAGGGCTCGCTCTGCTTTTCCTCCACAGACGAGTGAGTGTGTGTGTGCATGAGTGTGTGCGAGAAGGGGTGTGTGTTTATATGCTCTGCTTTCCCCCACTCCCTGCTCTTTCAACCTGCACTGATCTGGCAAACCCCTTATCCCCCTGCCCTCCCCTCTCCCTCCTCTCCGCTTTCCCTTCACTCACTCCCCTCACCAGGCTGACAGCAGAGGACGTGAGGAACCGCTTCCCCCACATCAACCTGCAACGATCCGTCAAGCCCCTTTTTCCCCCTCATCTCTTCTTCTCCCGTCTCCCCTTTCCCTTCACTCTCCCCCTTCCCAGGCTGACAGCAGAGGACGTGAGGAACCGCTTCCCCCATATCAACCTGCAACTATCCGTCAAGCCCCTTTTTCCCCCTCATCTCTTCTTCTCCCGTCTCCCCTTTCCTTCACTCACTCCCCTCACCAGGCTGACAGCAGAGGACGTGAGGAACCGCTTCCCCCATATCAACCTGCAATTCGAAGGGAGAGGCGTGTTCATGAACCTGCCGCCCCACACGTACACATTCAAGGCTATGGTGAGCGCTGAGCCACCATGAGGAGCTTTTTGAGATATCTGTACTCGTACTAGCTGTATTTGGAAGGGAGGGGCGTGTTCATGAACCTGCCGCCCCACACGTACACATTCAAGGCTATGGTGAGCGCTGAGCCACCATGAGGAGCTTTTTGAGATATCTGTACTCGTACTAGCTGTATTTGGAAGGGAGGGGCGTGTTCATGAACCTGCCGCCCCACACGTACACGTTCAAAGCCATGGTGAGCACTGATATTTCTTGACATTTGACATCACGATGACGCTTGTGCTGCGGAAAATCTCGAAGTGCTAAACCATGATACCTAGGCTAGCTGCTTATAGTGCTACTACCATCCATGGCTTCAACAGTTTTGAGGTGAGTTTTGAGCCGATTTTGAGAATCTAGCTTCAACAGTTTTGGGGTGATTTTTGAGTCGACTGCCTGTTGAGTCGACTCAAAAGCCACCTTTCTTCAGTGTTCTAGGTCACGGTGCTGCCAAACCATGATACCCAGGCTGGCTGGTTATAGTGCTAACATGGCATCAACATTTTGAGACAGCTCGAAATTATTATCTCCATCCCTGCCTCCGTTTCCCCGCAACCCCTTCCAACAACAGGACGAGGGGGTGGAAATCGTTTGCACGCAGGTGGTGTTGGGGTCTGACACCATGAAGGCCCCCAACGGGTTTTGATATGGCTTGGCAGGCTAGAGACAACTAAAGGGTTGTGTGTCCTTCCTTCCCTCCCTCCGTCTCTCCCTCCCTCACCAGGACGAGGGGGTGGAGATCGTGTGCACGCAGGTGGTGTTGGGGTCAGACACCATGAAGGCTCCCAATGGACTGGCCTTCATCATTGGAGGTGAGAAGCGCACTGGGTGTGAAGGCAGCATAGTGGGCAGCTTTTTAGTCGACTCAAAAGTCACCTCGTTGCAGGTGGTGCTGGGTTCAGACACCATGAAGGCCCCCAATGGACTGGCCTTCATCATTGGAGGTAAGCAGCATGAGGGGTGCGTAGGGCGGCAAAATTTGCGGCAAGGCACAGTGGGCACACTAACCTCTCACAGGCATATCAAAACCAGCGTCTTCTCCAGTGTGAGGGTTTCCCTGAGCCAACTTCACCTCATCCTCCTCCTCTTCTCTCTCCCTTCCCTCCCTCAATTATCGCAGCTCTGTGGATGAGGGATTTCCTTGTGATTCACGATCAGGAGGAGAACCGGGTTGGATGGGCGGCAATGAAATGTGAGTCCCTTCTTTTGCTTGTTTGCTATGCAGCTCACCTTCGTGCGAATTACGATTAAAAGTGGTTTTGCAACGCCGTGTGAATGCAGGCACTTGAACACATAGTGCCCATGCACAAGGATACATGCTATCAACTGGAGCGACAGTGACACTGAATGCACAGCTTGCCTAACAGTTAAAACTCATAAGCCTACGCGGTGGCAATTCATAAGTACCATGGGAGATCCTTTTGGTATAAAGTAGGACAAATGTATATTGTTTCATGTTATATGAACAGTTTGGGCGTACACATGGAGCATAACACACAAATAATCATTACGGTATATCAGCAGTAAATTCAAGAAAATGTATTGAGAAAATATAACTTTATCCACTTTCTTAAATTCCAGAGTTTATAGCAGTTTCCGGCGAGACAGCTCGCAACCAGCCTAGCAGCAGCTGAGTAAAGCTGTCACGCCTATAGTGAACCTCTCAAGCCAAGCTGGCAAATGCACGCGTAAATCTGTCACGAACGGAATACACGGTAACAAGGTGCTGCGCTGGGGTGCCCCCTTGTCGCCAAGTGAAGTTTGCGACTAGTGCGCTACAGTGCTTTGTTCTAACGAGAATGCGAAAACAGTTCGACGGGATACCCCTTTACGTCGAGCAATCAAGAAGGTGCACTTTCCTTCGTTTGACTCGTGAATCCCTACCTATGCGATGTAACAGAAATTTTCGTCTAGTCGTGAATCTTTCTACGATACGGAGTCGGAGCTTTCTGTCGTGTCGTCGGGTTACACGACGACAGGACACCACCGTCGCTAGCTGTCCACAGCTGCTCTCCAGCTTGCGGTGGTTGCAGCGGTCGTTCTCCGTGTGGGCAGGACGGGAGCCCCCTTCATTCACACGCAAAAAAAAAATGGGTTTCGCAGATCGTACTGTACAGTCGAGTTTTCCTTGACAAAGACTTTTGCTCTTGTGTTTTCGGTTTCCCCTTCGTGACGAGAGTGAGCTGTGTGGACCATGCATTCACGCCTTGTATAGAACGTTTGTAAACGGTACCGTGCGTTACAGTTAGGTAGTGTGATAGCTTGGTAGAGTGGTTCGGTGGCGGTTCGAAATAGGGCAACTCGAAAACTTTGCCAATCGCCACAACCCCACACAAGCGAAGGGAGCTATGTTTTGGTACGATTCTGTGGAAGGGCGCACATGGGTTATTCAAGAGCGTCTATAACGCATCGCACCGTACCAAACATTTATACAACGTGTAAAACCTCTCTTAGAAGCTGGTTTGAATGGCATGTGTTTGAGCAGTGTAACATGGCATTAGGGTTTCTGTCCATGCCACCTGCAAAAGCAGTTGGCTACCACGAAGTACGCTATATTTCCCACCAGCCAGGACTGGCAATGGCTCGTGAGGACCGTAGGACGGCGTGCGATACAATGTAGGTCGATGCTGATGTATGGCTCGTGCGAAATGCGTTGGTCGTGCGAAATGCGCTAGCTTTTCAATCTAAAAAGCGGTTGTTCTACGCCTGAGCGAAAATCCAGCCATGGCTCTTGTCGACGATACGAAAATGTATCCGAATCTTGGCGATAACTGGCGAGAGGAAAGCGAAATGGATACCGACGAGGACGAAGCAGATGACGAACAGGAGGAGGGGGAGGAGGAGGAAGAAGAAGAGGAGGAAGAGGTGGATGATAAAACGGAAGAGACAGGCAATCAGGATGAGGCGGGTGAAAAGCGTGTCTTTAACGTGCCGACTCCAGCCCCCGGCACATGGACCCCCGTAACCTTGGGAACGCCGGGAGGAGACTCTTTCCGCGTGACGCTAATCGATGATGCTTGTAACGAGGTGTCGCCGTGGCACGACGTGCCGCTGCATTCATCCAACGGTACATTCAACGCCGTCTGCCTGACCCCCAAAGGCTGCCAAGACGACTACGAGGTCGCCGTTCGCGAACGCCTCGCGCCGCTGCGAATGCGGTTACGCAATAACAAACCCATGCGCTTCGCCGACCCGATCCCGTGGAACTTCGGCGTGTTCCCGCAAACCTGGGCCGACTCGTCAACGCGCTGCCCGGAATTCGGGAACCTGCCCTTAGACGATAGTCCCGTGGAGTTAATCGACATAGGTAGCCAGGTCCGGCAGTTAGGCGAGGCCTACGCGGTCGAGCCGCTAGCGGCGTTCGTGCTGGTGGATCCGCGCGGGTTCCAGCTTTCGTGGAAGGTGGTGGGGATTGCGACGGATGACCCGTCGGGGTTTCAGGATCTGAGCGACGAGAATGTGGCGGGGATCGTGCAGACGCTGCTGGACTGCATTCGCGATTGGCTGAGGGCCGGACGGCACTGCGGAGGTGAGAGGGCACTGCGGGAGTGAGATGGCGATGAAATGTGGGTGGGTGGTAGTAGAGTAAGATGGTTTCAGGATCTGAGCGACGAGAATGTGGCGGGGACTGTTCAGACGCTGCTGGACTGGCTGCGCGCCAGCCGGCATTGCAGAGGTGAGACGATGGCACATTGTGGGGTGAGGGAGAGTGGGATAATGGAAGAAGTTGGTTTCAGGATCCGAGCGACGAAAACGTGGCGAGTATCGTGCAGACGCTGTTGGACTGCATTCTCGGCCGGCTTTCGCGGATTCGCGACATATGTGGACTGCATACGCGACCTAATAATCCAATTTCTTGATGTTTCTTCCCCTCATACCTCCCAATGTCCCAGGTGAAAAGACCAAAGTGTTGACGCTAAGCCAGGGCAAAGCAGGGCAGGATAAGGTGATGGAAATCGTCGCTCAGGCGCATGCAGCGTGGCAGCTGCTGCGTAGCGGGGAAGCTGATAACGAGGATATGGGCGACCTGCTGCTCTCCCCGAACCTGCTGCACCGGAAGCCCCAGCCTGGGCCGGCGGTTCGGATCTTCGCCGAGTCGTACGCGACAGATTCGGCGAATAAAGACAAGGCTGTGATCGATGAGCAGGATATTAAGACGCTTGTTGCGCCGGTGTTTGGGAGTAGTTTCATGGTGGATTCATGGGATAGCCCGGATGAATTTGAAGGGGAGAACGCGGGTGCGGAGGGGGAGGATGGGGACGGGAAAGCGGAGGATTCGGATGAGGATTGGGGGATGGGAGGGGGTGGGGGAGGGGGAGTGGGAGAGGGAGGGGGAGGGGGAGCGGGGGTTAGGGGGAGGAGGCGCGGTGACAGTGGTCCGACCAGGGGCGGGGATAGTGATGATAGCGATGAGGAGGAGGGGGAAGAGGCAGCGCGAACCAGAGACAGGGGCGCAGGAGGAGGGGGAGGCGGAGGGGGAGGCGGAGGCGGAGGGGGAGGGGGAGGGTTCGGATTCGGCAGTGTGCGAGGCGGCGGGTCGAAGAAACCGGGCGGCAGCGGGCAGGCAGGGTTAAAGAAGCTGGGCGGCAGCCAGACGGTCAGCCGGTTCCTGGGGCGGCTGCGGCGGCCGTCCCAGGCGTTTGGTAGCGATGCCCTGGGGGGACTAGACCTCTCCGCTATTCAGCAGACTTTTTTTGACAATTCCCAAATCTCTCAAGTCTCTAAAACTTCTCCGAATTCTCAGAATTCAGATAAAAAGCGGCCGGCACAGGCGTTCGGGAGCGATGCGCTGGGCGGATTAGACCTGTCCGGTTTGCAGCAGCAGCAGCAGGTGGAAACCGGAGGTAATGCAGTAGCAGGGGCACCAGCGGCGGCTGCGGCAGGGAGGGGGAAAAGTGAGGCTGGGTTTGGCGATTGGGGAAGTGGTGAGGGGTGGAGTGGAGAAGCGGGGAACGGGGAGGATGAGGTTGAGGAGGGGGTGGCGCTGTCTCAGGGGGGGCTGAGGTCCAGGAGTTTCAACTCAGCGTATCCGCCCTCCTTTAATTCCGCGTATGCGCCCTCCTTTTCCGCCCAGGACCAGCTAAACATGCGCCTGGACGGGCAGGGGGGAGGGGGGTCGGCGCAAGGAAGGGCGCAGGGGGTGGCGCAGGGGGAGCCGCAGGGGGGGGCGCAGGGGGGCGCAAGCATGGCGTTTGGCCGGACCCGTAGTGCAGGGTCCGCGGAAGGGAGGGGGGGAGGAGAGGTGGTTATAGGAGGGGCGGGCGGGGCGGGCAGGGCGGAAGGGAATTCAGCAGGCCAGTCGCCGTCCGCGTTATCATCCTCCCAGTCCCGCTATAGGGCGTGGCGGAACCTTCTAGTGGACGTGCACCTGGGGGGGAGATCCGCCAAGGGGGGCGGAAACGAGGGGCGGGGGTTCCTGGCGGAAGGGGCAGGGGCGGGCGCAGGCATAGGGGCAGGCGCAGGGGCAGCAGGTGCAGCAGGGGGAGCCTTTGGTCCCCCGTCCTCCTCCTCCTCCGCCTCTACCCCCTCCCCCCTCCCCTTCCCCCCGCTGCCCCCTTCCGCCCCCCTCTCCGCGTCCTATAACGGGCGCCCCACCCCCCCCGCCTGTGGGGAATCCCTAGAGGAGGTTCCGCGGAGCAGGTCTACCCCCCCAGGCGCCCCCCTTTCCGCCTCTGGGGGGGCGGGCGGGGCGGGCGGGGCGGGCGGGGCGGGCGGGGCGGGCGGGGGGAGCGGGGGGAGCGGATGGGCGGTCAGACGGAGCTTGCGCCACAGCAGGAGTCACGGGGGGGGAGTGGGGGGAGGCGCGCAGAGGGAGGGGGGCAGGGGCGGGGGCGTCGGAGCGGGAGAGGGGGAGGGAGTTGGGAGGGCAGGGGGGAGAGCAGGGGGGAGCGTGCATGGGGCGTTTGGGGAAGGCCTCAGGGGGAATGGGGGAGGGTGGGGCGGAAGTGGGGGGTGGGGGGGAAGTGGGGGATGGGGTGTGAGCATTGGTTCTGCCCCTTATGGGAGCATAGGCGGAGATATTGGCAGCAACAGCGGGAGGAGCAGCAGCAGCAGCCTAAGCAGCAGAGACGGGGGGAGAGAGGGGCGCGAGGGGCGGGAGGGGAGGGAAGGGCGTGAGGGGAGGGAAGGGCGCGAGGGGAGGGACGGGAGGGAGGGGAGGGATGGGCGGGAGAGTAGGAGATCACTTAGTATGGTACTAGAGCCGATCCAAGGCACTCCTAACACAAGCCCTCTACCCGCGGACTCCCTTCCCCTCTCCGCCTTCGCTTCCGCCCTCCCCCCTCCGCCCCTTTCCGCCTTCGCCTCCCCCTCAGGGGCCACCACGCCCCCCTATGCCAACCGCTCCCCCCGATCCAGCCCCCTCTCCCGCTCCTCCCGCGCGCACTCCCACCTTCCCCCCATTCCCCCGCCCTCTCCCGGATTTTCCCCCGGGCTCACTTCAGGAAGTTCCCCCGGGCTTCCCCCTGTCATTCCGCCCACGCACAGCGGGAGCAGCGGGGGGAAGACCCCCCTGATGAGCCCCCGCGCGCTTCTCTGCGCCAGCAGCCCCCCTGGGTTCAGCCCTGGTGACGAGCTAAGCGCCGGTGGAAAGCTAAGCGCCGGTGGGAGCAGTGGTACGCGTGGTGGGAGCGGTGGGAGCAGCGGGAGCAGTGGGAGAAGCAGCAGAGCGGGATCCGTGAGGGGAAGCAGCAGTGGCGGAGGGGGGCTGTTCGGGGGACTGATAAGCGGGGGGAGGAGGCTAGGGGGGAGTGTGAGGGAGAGGAGTCGGCATGCGAGGCGGCACTCTGTGGGTGCTGTTGCTGCTATGCACCTCCTCTCCCCCATCAGAAGGGGTCTCTTCTCCATTCCTAAGCAGTCTGAGGCAGCAGCTGGGGATACAGCAGGGGAGGCAGCAGGGGAGGGAGCAGGGGAGACAGGCGGAGCAGGAGGAGGAGGAGGGGAAGGCGGAACGGCAGTGGTGGCGGAGGGGTGCAAGGGAGGGGCAGCAGGAGCAGCAGCTGCAGGAGCAGGAGTCGAACTGGTGGGAGGCGAGGAAGCAGAGGCGGAACGAGGAAGCCGAGGGGGGACAAGCGTCCCAGTCTCACCAAGAGGTTTCCCCAGGGCTTCAATCAGCGTGAGCAGCGGCATCAGTGGCGGCAGCAGCAGCAATACCGCTGCCGACAACAGCAGTAACAGCAGCGGCAGCGGCAATGGCGGCAGCGGCGGCGGCGGCGGCAGGAAGGAGAGCGGAGGAGGAGGAGGCGGGTCGGTGGCGGGGTTTGTTCGGCGAGCAGGTCTCTCGTTCCACCGTAGAAGCGCCTCTCACCACGACCTCGGCCTCCCCAAACGCTCCCCCGGCGCTGGGACAGCAGAGGCAGCAGGAGCAGCAGGAGGAGCAGGAGGGGTGGGAGAAGGAGGGGCTGTAGGAGGGGTAGGGGGGGGTACTGGTGGGAGCAGTGGAGGCCATCCCACACCATCCCCGTCCGCTGCTCCTCCCCCGCTGCCGCCCTCCGGGTCTCTCTCCTTCTCCTCCTCCCGCTTCCTCCGGAAAAACAAGACGCCGCCGCTCCACAACCACCACCGCCACCGCAGCACCACCAGCGAGGATTTCCGGTCCTTCCACCACTCGTTGCAGTCACCCTCGTTACAGTCAACCCCGTTACAGTCCCAGCCTCAGTCGCAGACCTCGTCTGCCGCCCATTCCCCTGCCGCCCGGTCCCCTGCCGCCCATTCCTCTGCCGCCCACTCTCCTGCTGCTCGTCCTGTGCCTGTGCGCTCTTTATCCGCACAGTCAATGTCGGTTGCTCGCTCCTTGTGCGCTCACTCCTCCACTGGCCCCTCCCCTGCTTCCAGCACTGGCTCTGCTGCATGCGGAGACGGTTTCGGGGTAGAACAGCCAGGTGGAGAGCGGTTGGAAGGGGTGCAGATGATTGATCACCCGTCAGATAAGCAGCAAGAGTCTGAGAACGTGTTTCAGCAGTTTCACCTGCAGTTGCAGCTAGAGCAGGTTCAGCAGCAACAGATGGAGCAGCAGCAGCAGCAGCAACAGCACCAGGAGCAGCAGCAGCAGCAACAGAATCCCCAGCAGCCCCAGCAGCAGCAGCAGGCAGAGCCAAAGCCGAGGCGGCACCGACGCCTCATGTCCCTTCCCAGCACTCCAGACATGAAAGGCCTTCGTATCCTCCCCCTTCCCTTCACCAAACACCGCTCCCCCTCCCCTCATCGCCGTTCCCCCTCCCCTCCGCCTGCCCACCCGCTACCCACCGCGCCTCACCCGCCCGTTTCCCCCTGTGGCGCCGACCCAAACCGCACTGGCTCGGACGCGTCAGGTGCGGAGCCAGGCTCGCACGGAGGTTCGGGTGCTGGATCAGGCTCGGGAGGCGGGGTGTGGCCGTGGTCCCGGCCGTCAGTGAAGCTTCGGCTCCCAACCATGCGGTCAGGTCGCAAGGGAAGGGATGGGCGGGGGGATGGGGTGGGAGAGGAGGGGGGAGCAAAGGCGGGAGATGGTGGGGGAGAGGTTGGGGGAGATGGTGGAAGCGAATGGGGGAGAGAAGGGATAGAAGGATGGGGTGAAGGAGGGGAGAGAAGGGGTTCTCTGGATGCTTTTCAGGCCACTGCCGGTGCTGTGGCTGCTGCTGCTGCTGCTGCTGCAGGTGCAGCTGCTACTGGTGCTGCTGCTGCTGCAGGTGCAGCTGCTGCTTCTGCTGCTGGAAGTGCTGTCGAATCTCCCACCCGAGTGCCATCTGCCGGACTGGCTGGGTCAGACTACACAACGCCAGAAGCCGAACCGAAAGTTGCTGCCACGGCTGTTACAGCTGCTACAGCTGACACTGCTGATACAGCTGCCACTGCTGCTACAGCCGCCACTGCTGCTACAACTGTTACAACTGCCACAGCTGCCAGTTCTTTTCCCGTCTCTTCCTCTGCCGTAACATTGCCCCGCTCATCCCCGCCTGATCACACCAGCACACTTCATGCCCCTCCTCCTCCCCTTGCCCCCTCCCCTTCCCGTCACCCCTCAAAGCCCCCCTCCCCTTCCCTTACCCGCTCCCTGTCCCCGCACCCGCCGCGTCCCCCCTCTCCCCTTCTCCCTCGCACTCCCTCTGCTCCTCTTAGCCTCAACCCCTCCCCCCCTCCTCACCACAGGCCGTCTCCTCCGCCCCACACCCCGTCTCCTCCTCCTCCTCCTCGCACCCCTTCTCCTCCTCCTCCTCACAACTCCTCTCCTCCTCTTCCCCATAGCGCCTCCCCTCCCCACAGCTCTTCTCCGCCCCTCAACCCCCCCCATCGCGCCCAGAGCGCCGCCCGATCCTTCCTGCTGCAGGAGCTCGGGGGTAGGCGCCCCCAAGGCTTCCTCCGAACCTCCAGCGTAGCCTCGGCACTGCCAGGCTCGGCGAGCCCAGGTTCGGGCGAAGCCTCACCTGAAAGGGTCAGGGGAAGAGGCAGTAACAGGGGTGGTGATGACAGTGGTTCTGGTGGTAACCAGATCAGTGGTAGCTCCCCTCCTCGCCCCCCGTCGTGTGAGAGAAATCAACGGTCCAAATCTCCTTTGAGTCGGCTTGATAGGAGCAGCAGCAGGGGGAGGGAGAGGGCTGGGAGTACAGAGGGGGGCAGCAAAGGGAGGGAGAGAGGTGGGGTTGCAGAGGGGAGCAGGGAGAGAGAGAGTGACACGAATCCCAATACTTCGGATAAGGATCAGACAGTAAAGGCAGCACATGGAAGAGAGCATAAGGTCTGTGGGGAAGAGGAGAACAGGGCAGAGAAGATCGGGGCTGGGAGTGGGGCAGCAGAGGGCAGAGGAGAGAGCAGAGAAGAAAGCAGAGGAGAGAGTGAATTTGAGGTCCCTTCTTCTCCCTCCCTCTCGGTTTCTCTCACGTTTTCCCGGAAGCTGCCTGTGGGGAGTTGCAGTGCTGCTGGCGAGGCTGGGAAGGGGGGTGAAGCAGCAGGTGTTGGCACAGCCACATTGCCAGCACCTGCTGCTGTTACAGTTGGATTGGTGGGAGGAGAAGGAGTAGGAGAAGAAGTGGAAGGAGTTGGGGGAGTAGAAGAGGCAGTAAAGGTGGTGGGAGAAGGGGAGATGGATCATCTCTTGTCGCGTTTCCACCATCAGGCACAGTGGGAGGGCAAAGAGGGGCAGAACTTAGGGGAACCTGAGCAGCAGCAGCAGCTGGAAGCTTCTTTTCTGGCTTCTTCTCATCCACCCTACAATCCTCATCACCATCATCATCACCGTCACCAGCACCAACACCAGCAGCACCACCAGCAGCACCAGCACCAGCACCAGCAGCACAAGCACCAGCACCAGCACCATAGGCGAACCATTTCTACACCTTCCAGCCCCAAAGGTCGCACCAGCGGCCATACTGAGGAGGCTACTAAAGGGGATAACAGGGAGTTCCCCTGGGTGCCAAAGGTGCAGAACAGAGTGTATGAACTACCCCATGCCAGGAAACTGGAGCTTAAGACCGGGCTCCTCCGAACCTCCTCTGACGCGCCGAAGCTCAACCCGAGCCAGAGGAGCCCCCGGGGCAAGGACGGAGGAGGCTCGGGAGGAGGTTCGGCGTCGAGGTTGATGCGCAGGTTCGGGAGCGACAAGGAGAGAGGGTCGGATGGAAAGGAGTGGATGGAAGGTGGGAGGGAGGATGGGGTGGGGAATTCAGAGGCGGGAAGTGAGGAGGAGGACGAGGAAGGTGGGGAGAACAAGGGCTGGAAGGATAAGGGTGAGCGAGAGGAGGAGGGCGAGGAGGAGGAGGAAGAGGAGGAGGATGAGGAGGAGGAGGAGGAGGCAGCGAGGGAGTGGAAGGGTCGCAGTCACACTCTAGACAGTGCCGATAGAAGGAAACCTCCTTTCCCGCTTGCACCTAACCACACAGACAACCGCCACCATCACCATCATCATCACCATCGTCACCACCATCACTCGAGCTCCACTCGCGATCGCGACGGTGACGGTTCCCCACCCCTCTCCCCGTTCCGCTCCCCGTCCCCGTCACCTCGGAACCGCTTCAAGTCTCCTCTGAAAGGCCGAGAGGGGAGAGACTGGTCGCCACAGATGGGCAGGGAGGGAAGGGACTGGTCCCCTCCTGCGCCGAGGCCGAGGAAAGAGCTCTCAGGCAGCAGTGTGGCACAGCGACGCGCTTCTCTCTTTGCCCTTCCCGGCGCTGCTGCTGCTGCTGCTGCTGCTGCTGCTTCTATGGACGACGGCCCGTCTTCTAAAGACCGAAAAGGCTCGTTCAGAAACCGGGGTGGTTCGTTCAAGGACCGAAGTGGGCGTTTGGAGGAGGATGGGGAAATGTCTAGAGACCTTAGTGGATCGAGCAGAGGCCGGAGCAGATCGTCTCGGGATCTCAGTGGCTCGCTTGCCGAACCTGCTGGCCCGTTCGGGGAGCGCAGCGGCTCGTTCAAGGACCGGGAGCGGTACGGCGAGGCGGGTCCCGCGGAGAGGAGGCGGTCGTTTCAAGAGCAAGGAGAGCAAAGGCCGTCGTTTAATGGCCGCACCCGCACCCCACCACGCGCCCCTGCCTCCGCTGCTGCCGCCGCTGCTGCGGCTGCTGCCGTCGCTGCTGTTGCTGCTGATGAAAGGGAATCTGGAGTTGCCAGGGAGAGGGCTGGCGAGAGAGGGGGAGTGGGATCGGGAGGTGGGTCAGGGTCAGGGTCAGGGAACTGGGGCGGGGATCGGGGGATGCGGTCTCGTTCCCCTTCCCCTGCTCCTGCTATTTCTCCTGCTCCTGCTATTGCTCCTGTTATTGCTCCTCCTTCTCTCCCCCATGCTAGAGTCAGGCCTCTCTCTGTTGACCTCTCGGGGTATCAGAACCTGGAATCTTCCAGGAACAAGGCGTGGCAGGTTGGAGAGGGGGAGAAGCAGCGGGTGGGTGAGAGAGGGTGGGAGAGAGAGGGTGTGAGGGGGGAGGGAGGGGGGAGGAGGGAGGGTGGTAGGCGAAGTGTTGATTGGGATCAGAGGGGATGGGATAGGGATCGCAGAGATGGGGATAGGGAGGTTGGGAATAGGGAGGGAGGGTGGCAGGGTGACAGGGATAGTGTGGAGAGAGGGGGTGAGAGGGAGGCGGGAGGTCGAGCTCATGTGGAGCTTTGGAACAGACCGGGCTCAAGGGAAGAAAAGAGGGAGAGTGGAGGGCGGGGTAGGCAGGGCGAGAGCAGTGCTACGCACCCACAGAGTGAAGGGAAGGAGTTGTGGGGTGTGTGGGGCGGTGAGCAGGGTGGAGAGAGGGGTGGAGAGGGATATGGGAAGAGAGAGGGGGTGGTTGTGAGTAGGCAGGGGGGTCGGATGGAGATGGAAGAAGAACGTAAGGAAGAAGCAGAGGAGGAGGATGAAGAGGAGGAGGATGAAGAGGAGGGAGGAGAGGAGGAAGAGGAAGAGGAGGAAGATGGGGAGGAGGAAGAGGAGGAAGAGGAGGAAGAGGGGGAGGAGGACGACGACGAGGAAGACGATGAGGAGGAGGAATATGATGAAGAGGAGGGGGAGGAGGAGGAGGAGGAGGATGATGAGGATGAGGAGGAAGATTATACTGAGGGGGAAGAGGAGGAAGAGGACGACGAGGAGGGTGACAGCGATGGTTCAAGAGTGGAGCGATGGAGGGGCAGAGGTGCGGCTAAGAAGCCAGAGCCCAGGCAGTATGTGTGGGATATAATCACACCTGATACAGCCTCCTTCGCTACCGCCCCCTCTTCATCCACCAACCAATCACAACCGCAAGGAGGGAAAGGGGGTAATCAGGGAGGCAGCAGGGAGAGGAGGGAGGGAGCGAGCCGGGAGTGGGGTAGGGGGGAGGAGGTGAGTGCTGGTGCTAGGCCTTGGCCCGGATCGCAACAGGCTCAAGCTTCAGGAGCCCATCAGAGCAGCAGCAAGACTGCTGGCAGTAGCAGCAGTCATGGCTACAATCGCAGCAGCTACAACCAGGGACAGCAAGGTGGTAGGAGATGGTAGTTGGTTATGATGTTCAATTATTTCTTTATGCTGCAAACATTCTCTTGCTTTGTTGTAAACTGCAGATCCGTGTTTCGGAACTCGTCCTTCATTCTTATCATGCGCTTTTCAGTAATGTATTTTATTTGCCTTGCTCAGCTCTAAGTGTGTGTATCATATGATATTGATTTCATTCAGGTGTTTTACAAAACTTGCTAAATTCCCTGGTGAGTACCATAACATCGAGTCTTCGTTGCGTAGTCGCCCTCCGACCACACGAAACACCGTACGAAACTTCGTATCAACAACGAAATGTCCCCGGATATTTCCGAGTCCACCCTGATGAAGATTTATCGATCTGCCCAGCTGGCGTAAAATTCCATTCGAGGGTGGATGAACGACCGACAGATACGCGCAACTGGAAAATGCGATCACGTAGCGGTGAAATACCATACCATGCTTGGCCAGTGTCGCAAACAAATTCTCGTACTGCCCAGGTCTGCAATGCCGGAAAAAATGTGCTCGGAGATGGGAAAGATCCAACGTGCCGAGTCGCGTGCGCACGGCGCAGACCAATGCATGAAAAGTTGGTAAAAGTACATAGGCGTTTAGCTCGGTGCGTTGTTTGTCTATCACGGTTTGAGCAGAAACCCACAGATTTTGCTGGTTTTAGCATTTTGCGGCCTTGTGATTCTGGCGATCGACATTGCATCGTTCCACCCATGTTCCAGCGAGGCAAGGGTGCAGTGGGTGGGAAGGGAACTGTTACGGAAGGGAGCAGCAAGAGCAGGAAGAGCACTGAGACAGACAAGTGCCCCCACGAGGAGCGAACTTTGCCAAAAACAACTGGGCGTGAGTGGACGGTCTGGTCCCCTAGCCTGACCTGATCGCTCGTTGGATCCTTACCTTCCAACCACCATTCTCCGCGAACACGTATAACTGCAACCACAACAACAATCAGGCTCTGCTCTCAGCTATATATCGTTCCCCAAGCTCTGCTCTCAGCTTTAGATCGTTCCCCGCTAAAATATTACCCCAGATAGCCGTGTGCCATCCTCGTAGCAGGAGTTTTTCGAGTCGACTCAAGAAGCCACTCATTCCCCCAAAGTCAGTGTCTGAGAACCAGGATTCAGAGTTTCTGAGAAGTGAGAGAGCTCGAGCCGCCCTATCATGGCGCCGCAGATCTACAACTTCACGCCGTGGCAGTCGCTGGTGGGCGGCGTGATCATCGGCATCGCCGCATCGCTGCACCTCCTCACCACGGGCCGCATCATGGGCGCTTCGGGCGTCGTCAACGGTAAGTGCATTTCTTCATACGCCACCTTGAGTCGAGTAAAAAAGCATCGCCGCGTCGCTGCATTTCCTCCGAGTCAAGCGCCACGTCGCTGCACCTCCTCACCACGGGCCGCATTATGGGCGCTTCGGGCGTCATCAACGGTAAGTTTCTCAGACGACAGTACGATACATGAGTCGCATCTCAAAACTTTGCCGCGTCGCTGCGTTTCCTCACCACCGGCCGCAAACTACGGCGTCGTCAAACGTACTAAGTTTCTCGAGACGCCTGAGTCGTCTCAAAGGGCATTGTCCGAGTCGCTGCATTTCCTCACCACCGGCCGCATCATGTGTGCGTGCGTCGGGCATCCTTTTCAGCATTCATGGTTTAACCATCTTGCTTCTCGCCCACCATCTCTGCGCTCCCGCAGGCGTTATCACCTCTCTCCCATCGATACTTGGTTCATCACTTGGTCCTCTCTTTGGATTATCGTTTTCATCGATCAAAGTTTAACCATCTTGCTTCTCGCCCAACATCTCTGCGCTCCGGCAGGCGTCATCACCGGCGTGCCAGACTGGGCTTGGCGCGTAGTGTTCCTCGCGTCGATGACAGCCGTCGGATCGTTCACGATGCTCATCGACAGCGGGCACGCGTTCGGATCCAAGCCCCCGTCGGTGGGCGATGATCCGGGTCTCGCGCTCATTCTGCCCATCGCCGCGGGGCTACTCTGCGGCTTCGGATCGCAGGTACAATTCCCTCCCATGGGCTTCGGAAACGCAGGTACAACCCGCTAACGTCCGTGTAAATTCTGCCCATCGCCGTCCACGGGCTTCCCTTTGTCACACAGCCGCCGCCCTCCGCGCTTATTGTGTCGACAAACAAATTCCTCCCCGTGGCCTTTTCTCATCAAACAGTCCGCCGTCATCCCTCTCTTCCCCTCCTCCTCCTCCCCTTTTCCCCCACTCGGTTGGGCAGCGAGTGCACGTCCGGCCACGGCGTGTGCGGCTTGCCGCGCTTCTCCCTTCCGCAGCTTCCCACTTCCCACCTATCAATCCCCTTTCCCCATTTACCCATCTCTTTCCCCCCGCCACCCACAGTTGGGCAGCGGGTGCACGTCTGGCCACGGCGTGTGCGGCTTGCCGCGCTTCTCTCTGCGCAGCGCAGTAGCTATCGCCACCTTTATGGCTACAGGCGCCGCTACATCCATGACCCTCGGCGCCATCGCCACAGGCACTACAGCCGCACCAACCATCCCTCCTGTTGCCCCGTTACTCCTTCCGCCTCTCCCAACCTCCCCGTCTCCATCCACTTCCCCCCCCTCTCCCCCCACTCCAATCAGCTCGGCAGCGGGTGCACGTCCGGTCACGGCGTGTGCGGCTTGCCGCGCTTCTCCCTGCGCAGCGCAGTAGCTGTCGCCACCTTCATGGCTACAGGTGCCGCTACATCCATGACCCTTGGCGCCATCGCCACAGGCACTACAGCCGCGAACCGCCCCCCCGGCGAGCCCATCCCAGCCACCAACACGTGGCTTCTCGTGCTGGCGGTCTGTGCTACAGCCATGGGAGCTATTATCGCGTACAGATGCCCGTTCTGTAACGAGTGTCTTGACACTGGTGCTGCTGCTGGTGCTGCTGGTGGGGCTGCTGGGGAGTCTGCATCGCTTTCCAAGGATGCTGGCAAGCTGGCCTGCTCCAGTGGGGTGAGCAACGGTGCAGGGATATTGAGCTCGGTATGATGGGATATCGGATAGAGGATTGGGGATTGGGATGGGTTGAGTGAGTTGGGATTACTGCTGCCAAGAGAGGATTGTATGCTCTGTGTGTTGTTTCACGGGCGGTTGCCATGCCTAAAGATGTGTGTGTGTGTGTGTGTGTGTGTGTGTGTGTGTGTGTGTGTGTGTGTGTGTGTGTGTGTGTGCGTGCGTGCGTGCGTGCGTGCGTGCGTGCGTGCGTGCGTGCGTGCGTGCGTGCGTGCGTGCGTGCGTGCGTGCGTGCGTGCGTGCGTGCGTGCGTGCGTGCGTGCGTGTGTGTGTGTGTGCTGCAAGCAACAAGCTCTCAACTATCCATGCCCTTCCTGTGTCCCCCTGTCTCCCTGTACTCTCCCTGTACGCTCCATGACTGCCCTCCTGATCCCCCTTCCCTTGCTCCTGCCCTCCCAGGCCTGCTCCCTCTCCTCTTCCGCGCCTGCCTCCTCCTCAGCACCCTCCTCCTCCTGCTGTTTTGTACTGCTCCATCCCATCAACGTGCTGCGAGCGTCGCTTGTCACGGGAGCCATCTTCGGCATCGGCCTCGCACTCAGTGGCATGTGAGCTCCCTCTCCCTTTCACCTCGCTCCCGCTTATCTTGAGTCGACTCACAAGTCACCCCGTGCTGCTCCATCCCATCAACGTGCTCCGAGCATCGCTTGTCACGTGAGCCATCTTCGGCATCGGCCTCGCACTCAGCGGCATGTAAGGCTCCCCCTTCCCTACGCCATGCTCTCTCTTCCCTTCAGCACCTACTTCCGAACTTCGCCCATGCTCTTTCCCTCTTCCTCCCCCCCCCCCCCTCCCACCCCTGAATTCGTTCTCCATTCGTCATATATGCCTTCCTGTATGTTTGTACCCCAAACCTTCTACCTGTAACCTCACGCCTCTGCCCTACTCATAGGTAGACTCCCTCCTACAAGGTACAGGGCTTTCTGGGAGGGACTGCACCGTTGCCTTTGCCACGGTTCTGGCCTCTTCCACCCCCTCTCATCCCCCATTCCACCCCCCTTACATCCCATCCCCCATACAGGTGCAACCCATACAAGGTGAAGGACTTTCTAGACCCAGTGCACAGGTGGGACCCCAGTCTGGCCTTTGTGATGGGTCTAACTGACCCCGTTCCATCCCACCCTTTTTAATATCCCCCATACAGGTGCAACCCCTACAAGGTAAAGGACTTTCTAGACCCAGTGCACGGGTGGGACCCCAGTCTCGCCTTCGTGATGGGCGGTGCCGTGGCAGTCAACGTCGTCACCTTCCGCTTCATACTCGCGCGCCCCAACCCGCTCTTCGAATCCAAGTTCTTCGTCCCGTCTCGGAAAGACATCACCTGGGAGCTTGTGGTCGGCTCAGCAATCTTTGGCATGGGTGAGTGTCATAGGATGTTTACCTGCGGCTTTTGAGTCGACTCAACAGTCACCCCAACCCGCTCTTCGAATCCAAGTTCTTCGTCCCCTCCCGGAGCGACATCACCTGGGAGCTCGTGGTTGGGTCGGCAATCTTTGGCATGGGTGAGCGTCAGGAGGGATAGAACTTCTCAAGCCACGTAGATTCACTTGTTTCTTTGTTTGTTTGCTGGTTTGTTGTTTTATTTTTGTTTGTTTGTTTCAGTGTCTCCTGCGTCACTTAGTTCGTTTGCCACTCCATTTGCACTGAGTCTCCACTTCTGTTGTACGGTATCTCCTCCCCACAACTATCTCCTCCCCACAACTATCTCCTCCCCACAACTATCTCATCCCCACAACTATCTCATCCCCGCAACTACCTTCATCCCAGGTTGGGGTCTAGCTGGATACTGCCCAGCTCCGGCGTTTGTCAGCCTATCCACTGGAAACGTGAGCCAGCCCCATCCTCCACCCCTTCAATTTATACTTCACCCTCTTTCGTTCTCTGCCTCTCCCCTTCCTCCCCACCCCTCTCTCATCTGTGCCTTCTTCATGCCCATTGTTTTCCATGTTTCCCACTCTGATTGATTCATCCTAGACAATATCCCTTCGTTTCCCTCTAAACTAGCATTGTTCGGGCATTCCTTGTTTCCCCACACTTGCAGGTGCCGGTGATTGCATGGGTTTCGGCTCTAGTTGCAGGAATGGGCTTGTATCAGCTGTTTATGAAGCTATTGAAGCGGTGGGCCCCTCATGCAATCAGCGGAAGTGGCTGCGTAAGAAACGAAGCTGCTGGATCAGGAGTAGCTCCACTTGCTAGCACCTCTTTGTCTCCAGAACGTGATCAAAAGGAGATTGTGTAACGGTGTGTCAGCATTATTTTTATTTGAGATATGAAGTTCCATTGAACACACTCCACAGGCATTCACATCCTTGGTATAGGGTGAAATCATATTAGAATCGAATAAGCATAATAGATGCAAAATGTTACACGCGCTACTGTAAACTCCAACATTCGGATTTCGATGCTATTTTACCGAGTCCGTTTCCCCTGGGAATGTCGCATGTGGGATAGAAATGTCGAGTTTCCACAACTGCGGTTTCAGGGCTACTGGTAGTCTGAAGATAATTCAGGGACTAGCGAAGGATAGACTGACTTCAGAACTACAGACAGTTACCGTATTCTCGCCTTAGCTGGCTGTACAGAAATAAACGGTTTAAAAAAGTGGCCAGATTCTTCCTCTGTTGGTAAAATTTGTCCGAGCGAACTAGGAACCGTCGCACGACGACGCCACGTACTTATGGCGACAGCCGGTCGTCGCGCGCGTGTGGCAGTGGACGTCGTATCTGACACCGTATGCCGTTGCACTATAACGAGTACAAATGTCTCGGAAGAAGAAACCTTAGGATTGGAAGGTCGGCGGGAATAAGCTTTGCGTCTGCTGACTCGGGTGTCCCTGTTACACCCGTGTGTCCCATCCTTCAGCTCAACCCCTGAGCAAGATCGACCTCTGCTGCTCCGTTACCGTGTTACATCTGTGTGTGTATGTTTCTCAACCGTCGTAACATCACAGGTTCGGTGGCACGCGTTTCAGCGCAACCCCAAGGCGTCTAAGGAAGGCGTGAGCAAGCTCGACCTCTACCGCTCTCTCTTCGGCGACCGAATGCCGGCCATATCCGCGCGCATGGCATCCGTGTTTGACGAGCTCGGTCTCAAATACAGCCTGGGTGGACTCACGTGAGTGCATCCATCTGGTTCTGGAGGTGGCTCGTGAGTTGGCTGCTGTGAGCATAAGGTGCTGGCTGGTGATGGCACAAGCTCGAACTCTACCGCTCTCTCTTCGGCAACCGAATGCCGGCCATATCCGCGCGCATGACATCCGTGTTTGAGGAGCTCGGGCTCAAATACAGCCTGGGCGGACTTACGTGAGTCCGTTAGCTAGTGGCTGCTGACTTGGTTGGTGAAAGCATATGGGGTTGTGATGAGAGCATAAGGTGCTGGCTGCTGAGTTGTCCCGAATGCCGGCCATATCCGCCCGCATGACATCCGTGTTTGACGAGCTCGGACTCAAATACAGCCTGGGCGGACTCACGTGAGTGTGTTAGCTGGTGGAATCAGGTGGTGGCTGGCTGGTGGGATGAACCGAATGCCGGCCATATCCGCGCGCATGACATCCGTGTTCGATGAGCTCGGGCTTAAATACAGCCTGGGCGGACTCACGTGAGTGCATCCATCTGGTTCTGGAGGTGGCTCGTGAGTTGGCTGCTGTGAGCATAAGGTGGTGGCTGGTGATAGCACAAGCTCGACCTCTACCGCTCTCTCTTCGGCGACCGAATGCCGGCCATCACTGCGCGTATGACATCCGTGTTCGAGGAGCTCGGGCTCAAATACAGCTTGGGCGGACTCACGTGAGTCCATCCACCAGGGTGTTGCCTGGTGCATTTGGTTAGGTTTGAGGTGTGTGTCTGTCAGGTTAATTTTCTCCGCCCTTCCCCCCTCTCTACCCTCTCTTCTCGTCTTCCCTTCTCCTCCCCTCTTTTCGCTCCCCTTGCTGCTCCTCTCACTCCCAGAGGAAACACGATGGACAGCCATCGACTGATCGCCCTGGCAGGGACGAAGGACAGGGAGAAGGGCGGTGAGCCGGCCGGCTTCTCTCTGCAGCACCGGGTGGTGGAGGAGCTGTTTCTGGACTACTTCACTCGGGAGAAGTTCATCGGCGACAGGTGAGGAGAGATAAAGCGGGTTACTGTGGAGTTTCGTGATGCTTCAAACTGTGTGCAAGTTGGTCAGTGCAGCAGCGAGTGGTGGAGGAGCTGTTTCTGGACTATTTCACTCGGGAGAAGTTCATCGGCGACAGGTGCGGATGGGGTCAATTAGGGAAGGTCCATTGCTGTTAAGTGGTGTCAAACACAAGGGGCACGAGAGAGGCAACACATTGTTCTGGAATCTGGCCCACGGGTTGAGTCAAATTTTTTTTTTGCCGGGAGGTGATGGTAACAAGCATCGGTATTGTTGCCCTGTTTTTGTTCCCTCCCGCACGCCCAATGAACCACCCAGACAAGTGCTGTTGGCCGCGGCGGAAAGGGCTGGGTTGCAAGGAGCAGCAGAGTGGCTTGACAACCCACAGTCAGGCTTGCAAGAGGTGAGGGGTGATCTCAAGGATGCATGGGTGCATGGATGGATGGATAAGTGTGTGGTGGGCGTGTGGTGGGCGTGTGGCGGGCGTGTGGTGGGCGTGTGACCGGTGATTGGTGGAGGGCGAGGATTTTGTATGTCTTTCAGTGATTCACAATTTCGTGAGAAAGCACCTATGTTGCCTGTGAGGCTGTGACACATGAATTGCGCGTCTGGAGGTGTGAGTGGCATGCACATGTTTTGTACATCATATTTGACATTTGAGACGTCTCAAAAGACATCATATTTGACTGAGATATGGATGTGATGTGGATGGTGTGAATGGCACGTGTATGCAAGTCATGTGAATGGCATGTGATTGGCACGTGAATTAATTACATCTTTATGGCACGTGCATGGCATATGGCATATGGGATGCATCACAGGTGGAGGCTGAATTGCAACGCTACCGACCACGGGTCTCAGGCGTCCCACATTTCATTGTAAGCTGCTTCAACACAAACTGTTTTTTTGCGTAAACGGTTGTATTGTATGCTGCTTGGAAGGTGATTCCCCACGTTCGATCTTCAGGCTCTACATTGTGCTGTTGTCTCCTCCTGTTTCTTTGCTCACACACACCCGCTTCGCTGCACTCCTGTCCCTATGTCTGCTTTTCCCACAAGTAGGCGGTCAAGCTGTTTCAGTGTGCCCAGCTTTTAGACTGAATCAAAATTATTCTCACACTCCCCCATCTCTGCTCTGCCCACAGATTGGCGGACAGGAGTTTTCAGGTGCTCAACCCCCTGCTGTTCTGCTGGAAGCTCTGAAATCTGCAGCATCTGTTGATTCTTGATTATTGCTGCCCGGCAACAAGGCAGGTCTCATTGTGTTCTGTCAGCATTGTGTTGGATCAAAACTTGAGTGGATCAATCATCTTCCAAGTACAGCATTAGTGTAGAGCATTTTACCATTGATATAACAATGTGCAGCAGTAAATTCACACAGCGGAAAAAGAAACAAGTTGTCTACAATGTTAAGACTTTGAAAGAAACAACCGCAAGCTATGCTCATTCTATATACGGGATGCATGCACAGCGGGCACTGCAGCAGTCACTCTATATATACCATCCAGCAACCTCACGACAGGCCCGCCACACACCCATCCACCCTGCCTTCCCCTCTTAAGATCCCTGCCGGGGCTTCAGTGGCAGAAGAAGAGGTGGTGCCAGTGCTGCTGTCCAGCACAGTCACAAACCGATCCGCATCCACATCAATAATTGCACTGTCTGTCGCCCTCCTTGATCTCCCAACAGCATGCATGCGCTCCGTCCATCCTCCCTCCTCACCCACCCATCTACGCTGTTCGCCCGCTTGACGAATGTGTATCACCGGTTTAAGAGATCCCAGCAGGGGCTTCAATAACCGTGGAGGTAGCAGTGCCAGTGCTGCCATTCAGCACAGTCACATTCCCATCAGCATCCACATCGATAATAGCACTGTCGCCCTCCTTGATCTCCCCTGATAGCATGCGCTCCGCCATGCTGTCCTCCAGCAGTCGCATGATGGCTCGGCGTAGGGGGCGGGCGCCATAGGAAGGGCTGTAACCCTCATCCACCACTCGATCCCTGAACCGCTCAGTCACCTGGGAAGTATGGAGAGAAAAGGGGGAAGGAAGGGAATAGGTACCAAATGAGAAAGTTCTTCAGTGCACCACGCAGCATGTGCTCTGCCATAATAGCACTGTCGCCCTCCTTGATCTCCCCTGACAGCATGCGCTCCGCCATGCTGTCTTCAAGAAGCCGCATGATGGCTCGGCGCAGCGGCCGTGCGCCGTAGGACGGGCTGTAGCCCTCATGCACCACCCTGTCCCTGAACCTCTCAGTCACCTGTGGGGACGGGGGTAAAGGTGGGGAAGGAGAGGAATACTAGTGAGAGGGTATCTATCTACAGAGTGCACCACACAGTGTGCAGCATCCACATCAATAATGGCACTGTCGCCCTCCTTGATCTCCCCTGATAGCATGCGCTCCGCCATGCTGTCCTCTAGGAGTCGCATGATGGCCCGGCGCAGCGGGCGGGCGCCGTATGACGGGCTGTAGCCCTCATCCACAACCCAGTCCCTAAACCGCTCAGTCACCTGAAGGATGTGTCGGGATAAGGGGTGAAGAGAGGGAAAACACGAATGAGGAGATTCTTTACAGTGCTTCACGCAGCATCCACATCAATAATCGCACTATCTCCCTCCTTGATCTCCCCTGATAGCATGCGCTCCGCCATGCTGTCCTCCAGGAGCCGCATGATGGCTCGCCGTAGGGGGCGAGCACCATACGAGGGGCTGTAGCCTTCATCCACGACTCGATCCCTGAACCGCTCGGTCACCTGTGGGGAAGGGGGTAAAAGTGGGAAAGCACAGGAATACAACAAGTGAGAGGGTATATTCAGAGTGCACCACACAGCGTGCCGCATCCACATCAATGATAGCACTGTCCCCCTCCTTGATCTCCTCTGACAGCATGCTGTCCTCTAGAAGCCGCATGGTGGCTCGCTGCAAAGGGCGGGCTCCGTACGACGGGCTGTAGCCCTCGTTCACAACCCTGTCCCTGAAGCGCTCGGTCACCTGTGGGGAAGGGGGTAAAAGTGGGAAAGCACAGGAATACAAGTGAGAGGGCTCCGTACGACGGGCTGTAGCCCTCGTTCACAACCCTGTCCCTGAAGCGCTCGGTCACCTGTGGGGAAGGGGGTAAAAGTGGGAAAGCACAGGAATACAAGTGAGAGGGCTCCGTACGACGGGCTGTAGCCCTCGTTCACAAACCCTGTCCCTGAAGCGCTCGGTCACCTGTGGGGAAGGGGGTAAAAGTGGGAAAGCACAGGAATACAAGTGAGAGGGCTCCGTTCGACGGGCTGTAGCCCTCGTTCACAACCCTGTCCCTGAAGCGCTCGGTCACCTGTGGGGAAGGGGGTAAAAGTGGGAAAGCACAGGAATACAAGTGATAGGGCTCCGTTCGACGGGCTGTAGCCCTCGTTCACAACCCGACCCACACACACACCTGCACACTCACCTGCAAATCAATGTCCTTCTTCTTGAAGCGGCCAAACACCTCTTTGAGCATGATGTCGCTGATCTCCTTCACCTCTCATGTACCACACACCCCTGTCCCATTCCTTCCCCACACCCACGCACTCACCCACCCACAATGCTTCCCCTCTCTCACCTGCAGGTCGATATCCTTCTTCTTGAGCCGGTCAAACACCTCTGTGAGCATGATATCGCTGATCTCCTTCACCTCCTGCTTCGTCAGCTGCCTAAACACGATGATCTCGTCCAGCCGGTTCAGAAACTCCGGCCTGAAGTACTGCTTCAGCTCCTCGTTCACGAGCGATTTGATTCGGTTGTAGCTGGTGTCCTTCTCGCCATAGTCCAGCTGAAAGCCGATGCCTCCGCCGCCCTTCTCGATCACTGACGAGCCCACATTGGAGGTCATGATGAGAAGGGTGTTCTTGAAGTCAACGGTCCGCCCCTTGCTGTCTGTCAACCGGCCATCCTCCAGAATCTGGTGTACAGCGATTCAGGGTTGGGAGCAGAAAGAGGAAAGGAAAGAGGAGCGGAAAGAGGAGAGGGACTTAGGGGACAATGGGAGGTGCAGGTGAGGCAGGGGATTCGGTTGTAGCTGGTGTCCTTCTCGCCATAGTCCAGCTGAAAGCCGATGCTTCCGCCGCCTTCTCGATGACCGATGAGCCCACGTTGGAGGTCATGATGAGAAGGGTGTTCTTGAAATCGACAGTTCGGCCCTTGCTATCCGTCAGATGACCACCGTGTACGGCCTCCGCCTACCTGTCCACCACTTCTATCCACCTCTATCTATCCCTCAATCCCCCACCCACCATACCACCATACCTTGAGCATCACCATACCGCCATACCTGCAGCATCATGTTGAAGACATCAGGGTGAGCCTTCTCAATCTCGTCAAACAGCACCACCGTGTACGGCCGCCTTCGCACCGCCTCCGTCAGCTGCCCGCCCTCACTGTACCCCACGTAACCGGGCGGCGAGCCAATCAGCTTCGAGACCGTATGCCTCTCCATGAACTCAGACATATCCAACCGAACCATAGCCTCCTCCGACCCGAAATAATACGCCGCGAGGGTCTTTGCCAGCTCAGATTTCCCCACTCCCGTCGGCCCGGAAAAGATGAAACTCGCAATCGGACGGTTGGGATTCTTCAGCCCGACGCGAGCGCGCCGGATCGCGCGGGAGATCGCCTTCACGGCCTCGTCCTGGCCAATCACCCGCTTGTGCAGCGTCCCCTCCATCTGCAGCAGTCTATTACTCTCATCGCTCGAAACCTTCTCCACCGGAATACCCGTCCACGCGGAGACAATATTATGGATATCTGCTTCGGTGACCATCGGGCCAATCGCGCCGCCCGAAGCCTCAATCTCTGCTTTGTTCGTCTCCTTGCTCTTCTCCATGATCGCGTTGATCTGCGTCTTCAGGTCCATTTCTTGGTCGCGCAGCTCGCCGGCCTTTTCAAAGTCCTGGTTGCGCACGGCCTTGTTCTTCTCCTTAGTGATCTGCCGCAGCTGCTTGTCCAGCTCCTTGGCCTCCTCTGGTAGCTGCGCGTGCTGCAGTCTCACACGCGAGCCCGCTTCATCAATCAGATCAATGGCTTTGTCTGGCAAAAAACGGTCACTGTTTGGGGGTTCAGGAGAGGGTAGGAGGAGGGGAAAGGGGAAGGGAAGGGAAAAAGGGAAGAGAGGAGGAAAAGGGGGAAAGTTGAGGGTCAAAGTATGTCCTGGTTGCGCACGGCCTCGTTCTTCTCCTTGGTGATCTGCCGCAGCTGCTTGTCCAGCTCCTTCGCCTCCTCTGGTAGCTGTGCGTGCTGCAGCCGCACCCTGGAACCTGCTTCATCGATCAGATCGATTGCCTTGTCGGGCAGGAAACGGTCACTGGTTGGGGGGTCAGGGGGAGGAAGGTAGGGAGGAGGAAGGGAAAGGGAGGGGGAGCGATGAGGAGGAAACGGTGAGAAGCTGGCAAAGCAGCTACTTGTCGAGCTCAGTGCCTACCTGATGCACTGGTAGGGCTTCTCAAGGTGCTCACGTTAACCCACCTGATGTACTGGTAGGAGAGCTGGGCGGCAGCAGCAAGCGCCTCATCAGTATATTTGAGCTTGTGGTGAATCTCATATCGCTCCCTCAGCCCCTTCAATCCAACTCACCTGCGCTGCACGCCCCAACCCAGTGCCTACCTGATGCACTGGTAGGGCTTCTCAAGGTGCTCATGTTAACCCACCTGATGTACTGGTAGGAGAGCTGGGCGGCAGCAGCCAGCGCCTCATCAGTATATTTGAGCTTGTGGTGAATCTCATACCGCTCCCTCAGCCCCTTGAGAATGAGAATCGTCTCCTCCACGGTCGGCTCCGGCACCTGCACCGGCTGAAACCGCCGCTCCAACGCCGGGTCCTTCTCAATGTGCTTCCTGTACTCGTCGATCGTTGTCGCACCGATGCACTGCAGCTCGCCGCGCGCCATGGCGGGCTTTAAGATGTTGGCCGCGTCGATCGCGCCCTCGGCGGCGCCGGCGCCGATGAGCGTGTGAACTTCATCGATGAAAAGGATGATGTCGTCCGCCTTCTTTATCTCGTCCATTAGCTTTTTTAGACGCTCCTCGAACTCGCCCCGGTACTTGGTCCCTGCCACCAGTAGACCCATGTCTAGCGTGACCACCTGCAGGAAAATAGGAGGGGGTGGGGCAGGGGGGCGGAGGGCAGGTGGCGCCGATGAGCGTGTGCACCTTGTCGATGAAGAGAATGATGTCGTCCGCCTGTTTCATCTCGTCCATCAGCTTTTCGAGCGGTTCAACGAATTCTCCGCGGTACTTTGTCCCCGCTACAAGCAGACCCATGTATAGGGTGACCACCTGTGGGACCAGAGGAGAAGGGGAATGTGATGTCACATCCATACAGTCAGAATAATCCACGAAACATTCCAATTCCCCGTGTAAATTTCACACTGAATAGAAACCACACTGATCTTATCCAAACAGCCTCACTCACCTTCTTCCCCTCCAGCGTCTCAGGCACGTCTCCAGAAGCAATTCTCTGTGCGAGGCCCTCAGCAATAGCAGTCTTGCCCACGCCCGGCTCCCCAATGAGGCACGGGTTGTTCTTCGTGCGGCGACCCAGAATCTGAGTCACTCGCTCACTCACTCACCTTCTTCCCCTCCAGCGTCTCAGGCACGTCTCCAGAAGCAATTCTCTGTGCGAGGCCCTCAGCAATGGCAGTCTTGCCCACGCCCGGCTCGCCAATGAGGCAGGGGTTGTTCTTGGTGCGGCGACCCAGGATTTGGGTGACTCGCTCGATCTGCGCCACTCGGCCCACCACCGGGTCTAGCTTGCCCTGCGGGGAGGGAGGGGAGAGGGAACGGAACAGGAGAGGAGGGGAGGGACCAAGAAGAGAGAGAAAAAGAAGGAATTGGCGCTGCTGCTAAGTGTGCATCAACCGTTTGACATTTCGACATACATCAGTCAGAATCCAACGCTTTACTCACATCCTCAGCGAGCTCGGTAAGGTTGTACTCCTCGAGCGAGGGCATCATGGAGTCGCCGCTGCTGCTGCCTAGGTGTGCTTCGAATTCGAATTCCCTTACAATACACCAGCAGAAGCACTACGCTACGCTACGCACAAGTGAATCAACTCACATCCTCAGCGAGCTTGGTGAGGTTGGTGCCGAGCTCCTCCAGAGTGGGCATCTTGGAGTTGCCGCTGCTGCCTAGGAGTGCTTCAAGCAATTAGCACTTTCAGCACTTTCCTCATCACATAAGCTCATCAGCACACAACACTATCAAACCCCACAGATCAACTCACGTCCTCAGCGAGCTTGGTGAGGTTGCTGCCAAACTCCTCAAGAGTGGGCATCTTGGAGTTACTGCTGCTGCCTCAATGCAAACCAAGTTCTCTCAAATTCACCAGCCTATAAGTACTAATTGAGATCGGATGAACTCACCTCCTCAGCGAGCTTGGTGAGGTTGGTGCCAAACTCCTCAAGAGTGGGCATTTTGGAGTTGCCATTGCTGCCGCCACCCACGCCGGCACCCACCGCCTCCGCGCTCTCACCCACCATGCGGATTACCTGCCACCAGAAATATCCGACTTCGTTAATATCACAATAATCAAATTCAGTGCAGCAAGTGGCTCAGATAGAAAACCATGCGGATCACCTGTGAAGCGAAGGGACTGCAGATTTTCCAGCTATATTCTATCAAACGCACACAAGAAACAGACACTCTCCTGTTTACCTGCGAGCGTATGTTCCCAGGGTCGGCGCCGAGATTCTCAAGCACGCGCGCAGACACCCCCTCGCCCTCGCGGAGCAGGCCCAGCAGCAGATGCTCCGTGCCGATGTAATTGTGGCCCAGCTGCCGCGCCTCCTCCAGCGCCAGCTCCAGCACGCGCTTCGCCCTTGGCGTGAACGGGATCTCAACGGCTACAAAGCCCGAGCCACGGCCGATGATCTTCTCCACCTCCACGCGCGCCTCCTTGAGATTCACGCCCAGCGACTTGAGCACCTTGGCGGCGATCCCCGTGCCCTCGCCGATGAGCCCCAGGAGGATCTGCTCCGTGCCCACGAAGTTGTGGCCCAGGCGACGCGCCTCCTCCTGCGCGAGCATGATCACCTTTATGGCCTGCAACGGACGAGGAGTAGTGGGATGGGGTAGCTTAGTGGCTGACTGACGACGGGTTCGAAAATAGTAAGCGGCTACCAGCTGCACGGGTCGAAACTCCAATATCTACGAAGAAAAGAGAGAATAGTCAAGAAACGTTTCCCCGGTGTGACTTCTCATTCAACGCCAAGTACGTTCTCCCTGAAGCACAAGGGAAAGCACTCATAAGTGGACTCATAAGGTGAAGCGCCTAATACCTTCTCTGTGAAGCGCTCGAACATGGCGACAGCCACGCCGCGTTTGGCGGCGCCAGACGAGCCGGCTTTAGTCTGCTTCGCGACTATCGCTGCCAACGACGGAGAGCCCCTGAGTGCCACGTCAGCTTGGCCGGGACGCCTCAGTCCCGAGAAGGATTGAAGCGAACGAGGAGCTGCGACGCTGGCGACAGTTGACGACGAGCGCCGCGACCGACGGTTAGACTTGTTACCACCATGAAGGACCACGCTCGCGGAGACGAGCGACGACTGAGCGATAGCTCCAGCCATTCCGACTGAGAAGCACGCAAGATGGGTCTGAAATTTGAGAACAAAAGAGAGCAAAAGGGGGTCCGAATTCAGAAAAAAAGGGAAAACAATTACAGTTTCACGAACCAAAACCCGAAATTCTGAACTACATGCAAGTACCTTGTCCGCGGTAAGCACGAATAGCTCCCTGAAACAGAGGTGACTTGTGAGTCGTAACTGAAAAGGTCCTTCGGCGGAAGGGAACCGTGCTAACGTTGAGAAGAACGAAGTAGAATGACAATGGCGGAGGAATTTGATTATGACAGATGCGCAAAGCTTTGTTCAGCTCAGCAGCAACTGACTTGTGTATGAATGCAGCGAAGCAAGACGATTTGTTGTTGTGGTTTCAAGAGCTGGTAACTTTCTCGTGAACTCTCTAGGAAACGGAAATTTATAGGGCAAGCTTGGGAGTTGCCACGGCTGCGATGACATCTTGCGATGCGACTGAAAATGCTTTCGTTCAGATGTGCCGTTTGGATGAATCTGGACGATCCCAGAAACGTCGTACAGTACACCGAAAACGGACATCCTAGACGATGTTTTTTACAGAATACGACCGCCGGCTAGCGGTTAACGAACTTCTTGAGCGGAATCGTGGATATCATTGATTGGTCAACGACGGCTTCGCTTCCTTCACAAACAAGTCACTGAAAAGTGGTTCAGCTGGCAGCACACGAAAAGCTCCGAAGGTCGCGGCGAGGTTCACTGATGTTTTTTAGCCAATCGGAGATCCTTCTCCCACAAATAGGGCATCGAGCCTACCAACCAGCGCTGGAGCCGGACATGCACGTGGCTGCATCGTAGATTGCCATGCCACAATTTGCGATGGAGAAACTACAGAACAGTATGAAGAATATTGTCACATTTCCAGGTGTATCTCTCACTGTGACAATAAAGAAGCGACATATATGCCGTATAGCCACGTGTCACTTGCTTTCAAACCCCTTATCTGGCATACCTATGTGTCGCGCAGCCAGTTGACGCTGACGTCAAAAGCGATACGGTCATCTAGAGTGAATGCCATGCCAGCTCAGCCAGCCCCCCTCCCCTAGAAGTTACCAGATGCCTCCTCTAGATTCCTGCTGGGCTGTGGTGGGATGGGGGGGGGAGGGAATCCTGTGACCTGTTGGTGACCTGATTCAGCTTCTTCTTTCACTGCACTTCCATTTCAGGGTGAAGATACTGACTAGGGTAGCCTTGAGTGCTACTGCAGCTGTCATATCTGCAGCACTGCATTAGGTCACTTATTTCGATCCCTTTGTCCGATCGACTCGACGTCGACTGCAGTTATCGTCGTTCGTCGGCGCCATGGATCGTGTCCTGCTGCATCCCGCACCGATGGCAGTTTCGACAGTACCTAGGGCCACGTTAGCCATGTCAGCATCTGGGCTTAGACTGCAAAGCTGCTGTCGTGGTCTAGGGCTTCACTTACGGCAATTACGCCCGTTGCAGTCACAGAAGCACGCGAGGCGATCCAGAAGCATTGTCACTAAAGCGGCCCTGGACCCCTCCGGTCTTGATGCCGTGATTTCCGCAGGATCGATCGCCGCACACAATCTGCTATTCGCGGTTGCGGACGCTGCTGCTGACGTGGCACCAGCTGCTGCTGAGGTGGTGCAGGATCGTGGATGGTTCTCAGGCCTCGCTGATCTCCTCGAAACATTTCTCAAGGTGCGATTTTGCGATCTTCATACGATGTTTCATTGCGGAAACGTAATCTCCATCATTCTGCTCGCAAGTGCATGAACTGGTATCACGCATCACACCTTGTAAGGCATTCAGAGATCACGGCTTCTCGGTTCTCTTCAAGGTCGCGATGTTCGCGCTGACGACGTGAATTTTGAGTCGACTCAGAAGGCATTCTGATCCCTAAGCACGGATTTTCAGTCGTCTTCAAGGTCGCGACGTTCCCGCTGACGATCATCTCGCATCCCCCCGCCACCGGTCCTCCTTACCCACCTTCCCCACCCTCATCACGCACCCCTGGCGTCTCTGAAAGTCGTGTACGCGTATGGCTTCTCTATCGGCCGTATCACCATTGTCGTCAATGTCGCGACGTTCCCCCTTCGTTCTCGCCACCCTCCCACTCGCCTTCATTCTTTCTCATCACACGGACTCCCGGCAGGTCTTAGACGAGGGCCTGGTGTCTCTCAAGGTCCCGTACGCGTACGGATTCTCCATCATCCTGCTGACGGTCATCGTGAACGTGGTGACGTTCCCGCTGACGATCATTTCTATGATGCCCCGCCCCTTCCCCTCCCATCACTCATCCTGGCAGGTCTTAGAGGAAGGCCTAGTATCTCTCAAGGTGCCGTACGCGTACGGATTCTCAATCATTCTTCTCACCATCATCGTGAAGGTGGTGACGTTCCCGCTGACGAAGAAGCAGGTGGAGTCGACTCTCGCCATGCAGAGCCTGGCGCCGCAGCTGAAGGCCATCCAGGCGCAGTTCGCGGGCGACCAGGAGCGCATTCAGATGGAGACCGCCAAGGTTTACCAACGCGCGGGCGTCAACCCTCTTGCAGGTAACCGTGAGGAAAATCTTCGGTAACAGGTCACCAATCTCGAAGCAGGGAGATTTCAACTGGGCGGGTAGGGAACACACGGGGAAGGATGGGGAAGCAGCACCCTGGAAGGTCGTGCCTTGATCCTATCAGCAGGGATTAGCAGAGCAGCGAGTGCAGGGCCTGGCGCCGCAGCTCAAGGCGATCCAGGCGCAGTTCGCGGGCGATCAGGAGCGCATTCAGATGGAAACCGCCGTGTACCAACGCGCGGGAGTCAACGCTCTTGCGGGTGAGACAGTTTGCTGCTTGACCTGACGAGGCCAGGAGGTTATACGGTCACAGTAAAGGTTCTACAGCCCGGTTCGACCAGGAGCGCATTCAGATGGAGACCGCCAAGGTGTAAAGGTGTAAACGAATACCAACATATTTGTATTCGTATTCGGTATTCGACAAATAGCAAATAAAAAACGAATTCAAAACCACTGGCTATTCGACTATTATTCGATTATTGACTATTCGACATATTCGGTATTCGCCAGCCGAATATTCGGATATTCGTATACGTATTCGACTATCTTAATCTGTATGCCCCTCTTATGTTTCACTCTAATCATGAGCGATGAAAGCACTGGTGGTGCTTAGGGCTATTAAGAACCATGGCCCAAAGTCGTGTGTATGGCAAAAACCGTATTCGTTTACGTATTCGACACAAAACCAGGTATTCGAACCGTATTCGTGAACCAGCTATTCGAACCGTATTCGGATTCGGTAGAAGAGGGCTATTCGGCCAAATACGAAATTGCCTACTATTCGTTAAATATTCGAATAAAAATCCGTATTCGAAACCGTATTCGTTTTTACACCTTTACCAAGGTGTACCAACGCGCGGGAGTCAACCCCCTCGCAGGTGAGCCGATTTGTTTCTTGACCTGACGAGGCCAGGAGGTTATATGGGCACAGTAAAGGTTCCACAGCCTGGTGCGACCAGGAGCGCGTTCAGATGGAGACCGCCAAGGTGTACCAACGCGCGGGAGTCAACCCTCTTGCAGGTGAGGCGATGCGTTCTTAAACCAGGGGAGGAGACTGAAACTTCAAAAATCTTAGCACCCGTGTCACGGCCAGAATAAGTAATCTAACTGATCTTGCGGAAGCTCGTGTCGTTTGTGTCGAGTATGAACTGGTAGAGCCGGGATACAGTTTTGAGACGTCTCAAAACGAGTATGAACTGGTAGAGCCGGGATACAGTTTTGAGACGTCTCAAAACGAGTATGAACTGGTAGAGCCGGGATACAGTTTTGAGACGTCTCAAAACGAGTATGAACTGGTAGAGCCGGGATACAGTTTTGAGACGTCTCAAAACGAGTATGAACTGGTAGAGCCGGGATACAGTTTTGAGACGTCTCAAAACGAGTATGAACTGGTAGAGCCGGGATACAGTTTTGAGACGTCTCAAAACGAGTATGAACTGGTAGAGCCGGGATACAGTTTTGAGACGTCTCAAAACGAGTATGAACTGGTAGAGCCGGGATACAGTTTTGAGACGTCTCAAAACGAGTATGAACTGGTAGAGCCGGGATACAGTTTTGAGACGTCTCAAAACGAGTATGAACTGGTAGAGCCGGGATACAGTTTTGAGACGTCTCAAAACGAGTATGAACTGGTAGAGCCGGGATTCAACATGGATTGCCCGACCGACACACATCATGAAAGAACAACAGCACAACCCTGAAATCTCGTATTGTCATCTCACATTCCCATTCCCATCCTCATTCCCACCCTCATCCCCATCCCCCCATCACAGGCTGCCTCCCCACGCTCGCTACTCTTCCTATCTTCATCGGCCTATACCAGGCCCTCAGTAACGTTGCTAAGGAGGTAAGAAAAGCCTATTTTTGAGGCGAATCAAGAAATGTCTCCTCACTCTCGCAACTCTTTTTTTTTCTTCATCGGCCTCTACCAGGCACTCAGTAACGTTGCTAAGGAGGTAAGTAATATGCTCCTTTTCATCTCCCACATCCCGAACTCCCCCATTTCCCGTCCTCTCTCCCCTCCCCCACAACCCCTCCTCCACATCTGTTTTTTACACAACTCTCGCTCCCCGCTACCTCATTTCCTCCCCTAACGCGTGCTCCCTACCCTGCCCCATCCCATCACCCCATCAACAACAGGGAGTGCTCACGGAGGGATTCTTCTGGATCCCCTCTCTCGCCCCACTCACGTCCACACGTCTCCCGCTCTCCACCACCTCATCCCCTCCCCTAACACGTACTCCCTGCCCCATCCCATCCCCCGTTAACAGGGCGTGCTCACGGAGGGATTCTTCTGGATCCCCTCTCTCGCCGGTCCCACGTCTATCGATCCCACCGTCGAAGGCTCTGGCATCTCCTGGCTCTTCCCCTTCATTGTAAGCACATTCAGCCGCGCTTTGCCTTTGTTGTAAGCACATGCTTCCACCCTTCCCCTTTGTTGTAAGCACATTCTGCCGCTCTTTGCCTTAGTTGTAAGCGCATACTGCTTGCTACCCTTCCCCTTCACTGTAAGCACCTGCTGTCACCCTTCCCCTTCATCGTAAGCACATGCTGCCGCTTCAGTGCGTCTCTTCTAAGGTCATTATTATTGTGTTTGCTTGTCATTCGACAGGATGGCGCCCCTCCGCTGGGCTGGGAGGCCACAGCAGCGTATCTCGTGCTGCCTATGCTGCTGCTGGTCGGTCCTCATCTCTCTGTCCCCCCTGTCCTCCACTCCCCTCAGCGGTCCTCCCCCCCACCCTCCCCCCGACCCTCCCCCACCCCCATTCCAACCCGCCACACTGCAGGATGGCGCCCCTCCGCTGGGCTGGGAGGCCACAGCAGCGTACCTTGTGCTGCCAGTGCTGCTTGTGGTCATGCGTTTCCCTCATTCCTCAATCTCCCCCTCCCCCACCCAACCCCTCTCTATTCCCCTTCCCCACTCTTATCCCAACCCTGATTCACACTGCAGGATGGCGCTCCTCCGCTGGGCTGGGAGGCCACAGCAGCGTATCTCGTGCTACCAGTGCTGCTGGTGGTGTCACAGGCCCTCTCCATGCAGATCATGCAGCCGCCGCAAACTGATGTAAGTGCCTCTGGTGCTGCCAATGGTGCTCGTGCTGGTGCCGCCAGTGCTTCTGAAAGCTTTCAGTGTCACCACCAGTGCTGCTGGTGGTGTCACAGGCGCCCTCCATGCAGATCATGCAGCCGCCACAGACAGATGTGAGTGTTGCCAATGGTGCTGGTGCGGGTGTTGCTGTTGCTGCCAGTGCCAGTGCTGCCAGTATTGCTCAAATATTTCAGCGTCACAGGCCCTCTCAATGCAGATCATGCAGTGTAAGTGCCGCCAGTGCTGCCAGTGTCACTGCTGCCAGTGCTGCCACTGCTGCCACTGCTGCCAGTACCACCAATGCTGCCAGTGCTTCTGAAAGCTTGCACTGTCACCAGTGCTGGTTGTCGCGTCACAGGCTCTCTCCATGCAGATCATGCAGTCGCCACAGACAGATGTAAGTGCCGCAGGTGCTGCCACTGCTGCCACTGCTGCCAGTGCCACTGCTGCTGGTGCTGTCACTGCCGCTACTGCTGCCAGTGCTGTGCATAGCTTTCAGTGTCACCAGTGCTGCTGGTGGCGTCACAGGCCCTCTCCATGCAGATCATGCAGCCACCCCAGACAGATGTTAGTGCCATTAGTGCCTTCTCTCCCCCCTCTCCCCCCTTTCCCCCCCTCCTCCCCGACACGCTCACATCCTGTCTCTTGGCGACACAGAAATCCACCCCCATTTCCCTTCTCCCCATCCTCACCACTCCCACGACCCTTTTCCCACTGCTTGACCCGCACTCACAGGACCCGGCAACGCAGCAGAGCCAGGCTATCCTCAAGTTCCTGCCGCTCATGATCGGCTGGTTCTCCCTCACGGTGCCCTCCGGCCTCTCCCTCTACTGGTGGGTTCACTGACCCACGTGCTGCTGACAGCACTGCACACCCATCCCTTTGCTGCTGCTGGGTGCAGCTTCAGCTCCTATACCCACACTGCACTGCCCTTGCTCCGGCCTCACGTGGACCTGGGTTCCTTTTACCCATCCTTAAGTTCCTGCTGCTCATGATCCGATGGTTCTCCCTCACGGTGCCCTCCGGTGGGTGGGTGCTGCTGGGTGGGTGCTGCTGGTGAATTTCAACCCATAGAAATCCGCGTCTATGGGGAGGAACAGAACCCAATGTAACAGACCCTTTGTTATGGGATCTTAATCCAAAGCCTTAGTGTGCTAACTCTCTCATCTTCCCCTCTTCGCTGTCCGCGCCTTCAGGTTTGTGCACAACGTGCTGAGCACAGCACAAACTGTCTACCTGCGCAAGATGGGAGGAGCCACGCTGCCAGTGCTGCTCCTAAGCTAAAACACCTTACTCTCCCCCCCCCCCCCCCCCCCCTCCCCCCGCCTCCCTGTCCTCCTTACCGCCAGGTTTGTGAACAATGTGCTGAGCACAGCACAGACGGTCTACCTGCGCAAGATGGCAAGAGCCACGCTCCCTGTGCTGCTCTCAAGCTAAAACCTCTCACCTGCTCTCCCAATCTTTACCGCCAGGTTTGTGAACAACGTGCTGAGTACAGCACAGACCGTCTACCTGCGCAAGATGGCGGGTGCTCTGACGCCGGTGCTGCTCTCGAGCTAGTCCCACTACTCTCCCCCCTCTCCCGCACCTCTGCCCTTCCATGCTCTCAGGTTTGTGAACAACGTGCTGAGCACAGCACAGACGGTCTACCTGCGCAAGATGGGAGGAGCGGCGATGCCAGCAGCAGCAGCAGCAGGGGTGGTGGGGGCCGACGGGGTCATTGACGTGGGACTCGTGGAGCCCTCTGCACCGCCCAGCACCACTGCGTCTGCTGTGTCTGCTGCTGTGGCGGCACCAGCAGTGCCGGCGCCGTCGTCGCCTGCTGGGGCTGCACCCAAGTTGCTGAGCAAGGAGGAGGAGGAGAAAGAGAGTGCCCGCGCTGAAAGGTGAGAGCCAGTTGCCGTGGGATGGATCTTAAGAGATTTCAGAGACATTCAGTGGAACCTGTAACAACTTGATTCTTCTGCTGCCTGTTTTAGGTTCCGGAAGCGCAAGGAGGCAGAGGCGGCAAAGCGGGCGGGAAAGGCAGTGGGGGATGAGGGGGGAGGAGCTGCTGCAGCAGTCGGTTTGGATGATGACAAGGAGAGGGAACGGGCAGAGAGGTGAGAAAATGTTTGAGGTAACTGCATGTATCATCAGGTTACTGGGTTGTTACTTGCAGCTGCGTTTTCTTGGCGCTCTGTCTTATTGGGTCGAGTCAAAGTTGTCTGGAAAAGTGACGGAGGAAACGAAGGTGGGGGAAGTGGGGCGGGGGGAAAGGAGCTGGCTGGCGGGAAGGGGATCGGCTGCACCAGCAGTGGGGGGTTTGAGATGTCAATGACAAGGAGCTTTTGAGAATTCTCAAAAGAATTCTGAAAATTCTCAAAATGCACCAGCATTGGGGTTGAGATGTCAAGGACAAGGATCTTGCAAGGAAAAAAATGTTTGAGTCGAGGCCAGAGGTGTGGCTTGTGGTTTAGCTGGTTGAGGAGAGGACACGTGCAGAGGAGTGATGTGATATGCAGGCAGGGAAGTCCCCAGTGCCTATTTTAATCACTTCCCCTGCTCCGCATGCCCCCTCCTCCCTTCCCCTCTTCCCCTTTCCCCCTGTCAACTCCGCTCTTTCCTTGCTTCCTGTTCGCCCCGCCTGTACCTCATCGTTTTGCCATGTTGATGGATCTGATCTGATCGACAGGTTTCGGAAGCGGAAGGAGGAAGAGAATGCAAGACGTGCAGCCAAGGCAGCAGCAGAGCAAGCGGTGAAACCAGCTGCATCTTTGCAGTCTGAGGCGCAAGTACCAGTTGTTGAGGCTGTTGTCTTGCCACCAAGTGAAAAAAGAGAAGAAAATGAATCGCGGAAGGAAGAGGTGAGCTTTTATGTTTGATGACGCTGTGTTGGGATGGACTGCATACGTGCTTTGTCTCGTTATTTAAGCCCCTTTCTTTTGTTGTTACAGGTCGTCATTGTTGAAGTCGTAGAGGAATCTTCAGTAAAACCTTCGTCTCCAGATGGTACCACAAGATAACCTGGAAAATATGGGGGTTGGAGGAATGAGGCCCTTCTCTATAGGCCATGTGCTCTAACGTTCATGTGAATGAATGTTTTGTATGCAACATGCTTAGACAGGATGTGTATTGTCGGTCACAGAAATTCTATCAAATCAGAGCCCACGACCAATGAATGTTATGTCTTCAGCACCCTTTGTTTCGACCACGTCGATTCCAGCACGAAGTCGCATGCTAGGTGGGTCGTCGCCCAATCAGGAACATTTGTCACGTTCGCAAGCAACCATTCTGTCACCACCACGATGACTGTTCTCCTTGTCCACAATGTCGCACGTCTCTCGCATTGCTTCCCCGAAGTTCGCACGGATATGGTGGCACAAGTATTAGCGAATCGTATGAGCCCCATGCACCCGTAAAGGGAGGCTGTCGAATGGAAGGAAGTCAGGCTCTAATGTCGCCCACATGTCATGTTCTTCGTGCAGGTTGTAACACCGTTCACGAGAAATCGCAAATGCCAGATGCCACTGGCTGGTTTACCCCAACAGGAAAACAAAACTGGCGGGAATGTCAGTGAAGCAGTTACTACGGTGCGGTGCGGTAGTCTACGGTTCGTTTCGTAACCACTGAGAATATCTCCAGCTTCGGTTCGTCTCTTTTCCTCTCCTGTGACCCGTCCTGCTCCTGCTGCCAGGTTTCTTGACCTCGGTCTTACCTCAGTCCAGTGGCCACCACAGTCCCTCTCACTCATTTCTCGGCCTCTATCTCGCATTCACTCGTTCCTATCCACTCCTTCCTCCACTCCTTCCTCCCTCTCGTTCCTTTCTTCCTTCCACTCTTCCTGTTTCTTCTGCTGCTTGGCTTCAACAGTCAGACTGCGTCATCCCTCTTCCTGTTGCATAGTCATTCCGTACTTGTCTGTCAAACAATGGAAGCGAGCGACGGGTGCAATGCACGGGGTAGCGCGTGACCGACTTTGGCGTAGAACGTTCGTCAAGAGCAAGTCGCAGGTTGCTGTTGTCCTCCTCTCCTCGCTTTTCTCCCACTAGGGCCAAAGCAGAGAGATTGCCGCAGGGGGAGTCGCAGAGGGAGTCGCAGGGGGATTGTCGTCGACGGATTGTCGCGGACAGATTGTCGCCGACGGATTATCGACGACCGTGAACCCTATCAATGCATCAACTCAATCCTATCACCGCCGTCAATGTCGTCAACGTCGTCAATGTCGCCAATGTCGCCAATGTCGCCAATGTCGGCAATCTGCCAGCCGTTCGAATCGCGTTCTACTCGTCGCCATGCGACCCGTCCCCTTCAGTCGTCGACGAGTTTATCCAATTCCTCTTCGCGGCTCTCCTCCTCGCTCGAGCTGCTTGCGGCGTCGCTGCAATCTGGCTGTTACACGTGGCGAGGCTCTCTTTCCGCCACGTGTCATTCGACCGCAAACCTTCCGATCCTCGCGCTACTGATGGACAAAGCGACTACTTGAGAGCAGAATCCGCGAAGGTGTCTTCTGTGCCTGCTGAACCGCCTCAAGATAAGCCGGTGGACGCGATAAGAACAACCAGCACTGATGACGTCACCATGATTGCTAATAAAGCGGATGACGTCACTTTCAGTCTGGAGATTCCCGTTGGTAGCAGGGAAGATGGCATCAGGCCGTGCTGCAGCAGCGAACGCGGGATGGCCTCTGAAGGGCAGGAGTTTCTCCAGGTGCTTTCAGCGGAGGTGATTCAGGTGGTTTCAGCAGAAGTGGTAAAGATGCGGGAGGAGCTGGTGGAGGTCGTATCTGGCGTGGTTGAGGGGAGGAGTGAAAATGCGGAGAGGAAAGGGAGAAGGGAGAGTACGGAGAATAAGACGATGGTAGAGGGGGACGACAAACAGGAGGAGGTGAGTGGAAAGGGAGAGGAGGACGAGGGGGAAAAACGCGACGGAATGGAGGAGATTAATAGGACAGCGGAATTGGCAAGGGAGAAGGAGGAAGAGGAGCGAAAGTTGGAGGAAGAGAGGAGGAAACGGGAGAGGGAGCAAGAGAGGGAGCGGCAAGAGAGGGCGGAAGAGAGGGCGGCGTTGGTGGGTGAGCTGGTTGAGAGACTCTCGGCGTTGTTGACGCAGAGCAAGCAGGGAGATTCGAAGCTGCAGCAGCGGGTGCCTCAGAAGCAGCCGGAGCAGGAGCAGGAGCAACGCACAGGAGCACGGCAGCAGCAACAGCAGCAATCGGAAGACGAGGTAAGAGAGGAAGGGGAGAAGGAGCAGGAAGAGGAGCAGCAGCAGAAGCAGCAGCAGCAGAAGGAAGCGGACGCGAAGGAGGAGCAGCAGCATCAACAGGAACAACAGGAGGAAGAGGAGGTAAAAGAGGTGAAGCAGAAGCAGGAGCAGGAGGATTTGGTCCAGAGAGTAATGCAGGAGTGGGGGAAGGAGAGAGAGGCGTGGCTGCAACGAGTGGAGCAGCTGGTGACTGTAACGAAGGTGACTGAACTGAGAGAACTCGGGCGGGAGTTGGCGCAGCAGGTTCTGGAGGGGAGAGAGGGGGAGAAGGAGAGAGGTGGGGAGAGAGAGAAGGAGAGGGAGAGGGAGAGGGAGAGGGAGAGGGAGAGGGAGAGGGAGGGGGAGAGGGAGAGGGTGGAGGAGAGGGAGGAGGAGTATGAGGGGTTGGCAAAGAGAGTGGTGGAGCATTTGAAGAGAGACGAGGAGGAGAGGAGAGGGGAGAGGAGGGAAGAGTTGGTAAGTGCGCTTCTGGGTGCGTGGGGGAAGGAGAGGAAGGAGATGGAAGGGGAGTGGAGGAGAGGCAGGGGGGAGAGGGCAGAGGAGGTTAGGCAAGAGGAGGGAGCGGCAGGGAGGAAATCAGGCTCGGGAGAAGGTTCGGTAGGAAGGTTAGCAGACCTGGGTGGGAATGGGAAGGTTGCTAGTGTTGGTGATGCTGGTGTTGTTGCCGCTGATAGTGGTGGTGATAAAGCTGGTGGTTTTGGTGATGCTGGCGCTGGTACTGCTGATGCTGCTGCTGCTGCCGGTGGTGGTGGTGTTGCCTCTGTTGTGAAGGATTCCAATAGAAACCTCCTTGCAGAAACGCAGGGGAGCGTTTCTGGACACCTACAGAGCGATGTTCAGGCAGATGGGGACAAAGAAGCCCAGTGGGCTGAACAGCAGACCGCGTCTGAAGGTGCTGAGGCGGATGTGATCATAGCGAGAGAAAAGGGAGGTGCGATTATAACGGAGGGAGGTATAGGAGGGGATTGCACGAGTACAGAAGGAGACGGAGCTGGTACACAGGATTGCGTGATTATAGAGGAAGGAGATGTATCAGGAGAGGTGGGTGACACTGCAGAAAGTGGGACTGTAGCGGAAGGATGTGTAGCAGAAACTGCAGAATCTGTGACTGTAACGGATGGTGCTACAGAACTAGAAGGCATGAGTGCTCGGCGCGGCCTTGTCCTTCCGACCCTCCACCTGCCACTAGAACGACGCAGGGTACCTGGGAGGACACCTGGGCGAACACCTGGGAGAACACCTGGGAAGGGGTCAGGGAGGGGAGGACAGTGGATGGGAGGAGCGGAGCTTATTTCACCTGGCGCTGCTGCTTCTTCTGCTGGCGGTGGTGCTGCTGCTGGTGCTGGTGCTGCCGGTGCTGCTGGTAGTGGTGGTGGGTTGAAGGGCGATAGGGGCGTGCGGTTGAGGGTGGCTGGACGGCGGTCGTTCAGGCACATGACTGAGGCCTCTCTCTTCAATCTGCTGGCTGGGTTCATGGCGAGACACGGGGGTAGCAGAGAAGAGCACGAAGAGGAGGAGGAGACGGAGGAGGTGGAAGAGGAGGAAAGCGGGCAGGGGAAGGAGAAGGGGGGGATGGTGAAGGGGGAAGGGGAGAGGAGGCGCAGTGGAGAGGAGGAGAGGAGGAGGAGAATGGTAAGGCAGATGAGCTCAGTGAGAGAGGAAGGGGAGGAAGAGAAGGGACACCAAGGGGAAGCGAGGTCGACTGGGGAACGGGGGACGAACGCTGGGAGTACGGAGGGCGAAGGCGGGACGCTGTGTGTAGGTTCTCCTGAGAATGCCAAAGGACGAGAGGGAGAAGATGGGGAAACAGAGGTGACGGCCCTGTCGACTTTGGAAGCAGCAGCAGCAACAGCATGTGGTGGTGGTGCTGCTGAGCATGGGGAAGGGGGGTTGGAGAGGAGAGGCAGCAAGGCGGGGGAGAAAGGGGAGGAGGAGGAAGAGGAGGAAGGGGGACAAAGGCGGAAACTGCAGTTTCTCGCATCGACTGAGAATGAGATTCCAGAGCCAGAGCGGGAGCAGGAGGAACAAGAGGAGCAGATGGGGCAGGAGGAGCAGGTGGGACAGGAGGAGCAGGCGGAGCAGGGGTTGCATTATGAGGTGAAGGACGAGAGAGAGAAGGGCAAGGGCATGGAGGGGGAGGAGAAGGAAGAGGAGGTGATTGATCGGGCAAATTTCCTCAAGATTCTCAAGCAGCATCAGCGGCAGCTGAAGCGACAGCTGCAGCAGCAGGCCGAGGAGAATCGCAGAGGCCACGGGAGGAGGGGAAGAAACGGGGATTTGGAGGGGGAGGGGGAGGGAGACGAGAGGGAAGCGGACGAGGAGGAGGAGGAAGGGGAAGAAAGGGACGAGTTTGAGGATGAGGATGATTTAGCTGTGTTGCGCCGGGCGCTGGAGAATGAAATGGAGTTGGTAGATTCTCTTAGAAGGGAGTTGGATCAGGAACGGGCGGCGGCTGTAACCTCGTCGTAACCTCGTCGTCGACGCCACATTCGTTGCGCACCTGTCGAGGAGATGCAGGACGGGAAGGGTGTTCCGTCGCCCACTAAGATTTTTTGATTTTTTTTTTGTGCTCAATTCTTGCATGGACCCAGACAACCACCATCGCTGCGGATACGACCACCATTCGCTCTCTCGACTGGGACCGCGACCGTTTTGATATGTACGTCACCCTGTATTATCTGTGTGTACGACCGTGGCCGTTTCCATGTCCGTCTGTGATTAGGCAGTCTGTATTCTTGTAGGTCACTCGTCATTGTCACACATGTGTGCCTGCGTATACAAGCACACATAGTACATTTGGACTTGCTCCAAGGCACACTATGTTTGAAGGAACTCAGTATGTACACATGTGCAACATGACTCACATGCACCGCTCCTCCGGTTTCATGTGTCTTCCTCTTCCCCCACCCCTCCATCCCGCTCCTCCCCTCTCCGTGCAGCGAATTCGGCCTTCTCAAGGGTACCACTTACAACTCCTTCCTGATGCGCGGCGACTTGTGAATCATCTGACTCAAATGCCACCTTCCCCACCCCCTCGTCCCCCCTCTCTCCCCTCTTCTCTCTCCGTGCAGCGAGTTCGGTCTCCTCAAGGGTACCACCTACAACTCCTTCCTAATCCGCGGCGCCTTGCGAATCAACGACTCAAATGTCAACCTCCCCCCCCAACACCCTCTCCTCTCTTCTCTCTCCGTGCAGCGAGTTCGGTCTCCTCAAGGGTACCACCTACAACTCCTTCCTAATCCGCGGCGCCAACAAGGTCGCTCTGATCGACGCGTCGCACGAGAAGTTCCGCGAGCTCTACCTCTCCGCGCTTAAAGCCGAGATCGACATCAAAGACATCGATTACGTCATCGCGAACCACACAGAACCGGACCACAGCGGTCTGATCCGAGACCTAATCGAACTGAACCCGAATATAACCGTCGTCGGGTCCAAAGTGTGCATTATGTTTCTGCAGAATCTAGTCTTAAAGCCGTTTAAGAGCCTCGTGGCGCAGCCGGGAAAGATTCTGGATCTGGGCGGCGGCCACGAGCTGGATTTTATCATGGCGCCGAACCTGCACTGGCCTGATACCATGTTCACATTCGATAAAGGCACGGGCGTTATGTTCACGTGCGACGCGTTCGGCAGCCACTACTGCTCCGAGAAGGTGCGCGGCTTCGCAGAGGGTGGGGAACGGTGGGGGAAATGGGGAAGGTTCAAGCGGGGAACGTGGGGGAAGGTGGGGGAAGGTGGGGAGAAGAGGGGAACGCGGTCACAGAGTGAGTCGCATTACTCCTATCATCTCCACATCCCTTCTCTCTGCATGGCCTTCCTCCCACTGCCGCAATCCCTTACCCCCTCCCTCCCGTTGTCCCCCCTTGCCTGCATGCGCGCGCATGAGTCACTGAGCGAGCTGGAGCCGCACTGCTGATTCTATAAACTCCACATCCCTTCTCTCTGCTTAGCCTACTGTTTATGTGCGACTCACTCCCCCCACATCCCCCCTCACCTTCCCTCTACCCCCCTGTGCTGGCATGCGCGCCGTCGCCAGGTGTACGACGAGGATTTGAGCGAGCTGGAGCAGCACTACCGCTTCTATCACCGCACTACCGCTTCTATCACCTCTCTGCATCACCTTCTTCTTACCGTGGCTGCTTCGTTCCTTACTGTGCCTGCTTCTCCCCTCCCCTTACCTCCCCCCCTCCCTGCTTGCATGCCAGGTGTACGACGAGGATCTGAGCGAGTTGGAGCCGCACTACCGCTTCTACTACGACTGCCTCATGAAGCCCAACTCGCGCTCCGTCCTCACTGCGCTCCGCAAGGTGCGTGCCTCCACCGCTACGCACCGCTCTGCATCGTTCTCGGTTGACAATCACATACCACTTCCTCCCTCTCTCTCCCCTCACCTCCATCCCCTCTTTCCCACCTATTAAGGAACAGATCGTTCGACACAGCCCTACAACGTGTCCCCACTGCCCCATATGCGCACCCCCGTGTCCCCTTCCCCTTTCCATGCCCATCTCATTGCTATCCCCATCCTGATCCCCATCCTCCTCCCCCTCCCCACCCATTCTCCTGGCTCTTTTCCTCAACATTCCCTTTTCTCATCCCCCTATCCCTCCCCTTCCTTATCTTCCCCCTCTACATACCAATTTCTTCCAACCCCGTACGCTTGGCCGCCCGGCAGGTCGCCAGTGCGGGGTGGGAGTTCTCGGAGATAGCAGTGGGGCACAGCCCTCTGCTGCGCTACAACGTGCCTGACTGACCACGCATGCCCTTCCCATACCTGTTCCCTTCCCTTCACTTCCTACTCCTCCACGCAGGTCGCCAGTGCGGGGTGGGAGTTCTCGGAGATCGCAGTGGGGCACGGCCCTCTGCTGCGCTACAACGTGCCAGAGCTCACGCTCAAGTACGAGCAGTGGAGCAAGGCCGCCATCGAGAAGCAGAAGGTACGATACAAACTCACTGCATGTGGGCACTCCCTTCCCCCCTCCTCCCTGCCTCTTCCTCCCACTGTGCCCCTCTCCCCTTCCCCCCCTCCTTCCCGCGCCCTGCCTTTTCCCCTTGCCCTGTCTTCCACCCACCCACCCCATCTCAAAGCGTCATCTGTTTTCCCCACCTGCAACTCCCTTCACCCCGTCCATAGCGGTGCTGTACGTGAGCGACTACGGGTACAGCGACCGCCTGTCGCAGAGCGTGGCGAGGGGCATCACCATTTTTCTCCTCGTCTGTGCACCCTCTCTTCCCCCGCCCTCCTCCCCCCTCTTCCCAGTCGTCCATAGCAGTGCTGTACGTGAGCGACTACGGGTACAGTGACCGTCTCTCTCAGAGCATCACCTGTTTCCCCTATCTGCAACTCCCTTCACCCGCCCCCAACCCAACCCCGCCCCCGCCTACCCTCTCAGTCGTCCATAGCGGTGCTGTATGTGAGCGACTACGGGTACAGCGACCGCCTCTCACAGTGCATCGCGCGCGGCATCACCAAGGCGGGGGCGGGCGTGGAGATGATGGACCTCAAGGCCTCCGACACACAGGAGCTCGTGGAGTGCATCGGCCGCAACGTCGCTGTCGTGCTCATGATGCCCCCCACCTCCGGTCCTGCTGCCGCTGCTGTCGCACCCCTGGTTGCTGGGATCAAGACGAAGCAGGTGGGTGTGAGAGGGGGAGGAGGCGGGGGGGGTGGGGGGGGGTGGAAGAGGGGAGAGGGAGGGGGAAACAGGTGGGTGGGAGGGGAAGAGGGGCGGGCGTGGAGATGATGGACCTCAAGGCCTCCGACACACAGGAGCTCGTGGAGTGCATCGGCCGCAACGCCGCTGTCGTGCTCATGATGCCCCCCACCTCCGGTCCTGCTGCCGCTGCTGTCGCACCCCTGGTTGCTGGGATCAAGACGAAGCAGGTGGGTGTGAGAGGGGGAGGAGGCGGGGGGGGTGGGGGGGGGTGGAAGAGGGGAGAGGGAGGGGGAAACAGGTGGGTGGGAGGGGAAGAGGGGCGGGCGTGGAGATGATGGACCTCAAGGCCTCCGACACGCAGGAGCTCGTGGAGTGCATCGGCCGCAACGCCGCTGTCGTGCTCATGATGCCCCCCACCTCCGGCCCTGCCTCCGCTGCCGTCGCGCCTCTTGTCGCTGGCATCAAAACCAAGCAGGTGGGTGCGAGAGGAGGAGGGGGGGAGGCGGTGGTTGGAAAAGGGGAGAGGGAGGGGAAAAACAGGTGGGCGGGAGGGAAAAGGGGGCGGGCGTGGAGATGATGGACCTCAAGGCCTCCGACACTCAGGAGCTCGTGGAGTGCATCGGCCGCAACGCCGCTGTCGTGCTCATGATGCCCCCCACCTCCGGCCCTGCCGCTGCTGCTGTCGCACCCCTGCTGGCTGGGATCAAGACCAAGCAGGTAAGCAGGGGGGATGGGTGGGTGACATGACATGGTGCACATGGGGAGGAGGGCGGAGATGAGCCGCTGTGGTGCTCATGATGACCCTCACCATGTCCCGCTGCTGCACCTGTCGTCCTGCTACTGTCCTGCTACGGGGTGGGGAGGTGTGAACTCCCGTGGTGCTCGTGATGGGATGCCTCACATCACCTGGTAACGGAGATGTCCAGTGCAAGAATCTGCTCCCCCTCCCACCAGTCCGCGCTCCTGTGCGAGCCGTACGGAGGGGACGATGAGCCGGTGGACACGCTGCTGCGCAAGTTTCCCGACTGCTGTGAATCCTTTCGCTCATTTTGCCCCGTTATCCCCTTGTGCCCTTGTTGTCCCCACTCAGTCCGTGCTCCTGTGTGAGTCGTACGGAGGGGATGATGAGCCGATCGACACGCTCATGTACAAGTTCAACGACCGCGGAGTCAAGATGCCCCTTGAGCCCCTTCGCATCAAGGAGCCGCCCACTGAAGCTGTGTGAGTAACATGACTGGGGTAAGGAGGGGCTGTGGTATGGTGAGGGAATGTGACACGGTCTCTCAAATGCCTCTGACTGCGGAGTCAAGATGCCTCTTGAGCCCCTTCGCATCGAGGAGCCGCCCACTGAAGCTGTGTGAGTGATCAGAGAGACGGAGTGCGGTGTGGTTCTAGTGTAGTGATCGGATGGAGTTTATGACCTTTCAGTTTCGGATGGGATGGGCTGTAGTTGTAGTGTCCTTTCAGGCTCTTCAAAAGTTTCCGACCGTTGTGTCAAGATGCCTCTGGAGCCGAAAGCCCTTCCATGTGAGTGAGAGAAGAGGGACTGTAGTGCAGTGGGGGGCTGTAGAGCAGTGAGGGGATGTATTACTGTGGGTGGTTGCATTACAGTGCGTGGGTTGAGAGGGCAGGCATGCCACTAAACGCTTCCATCCAACGAGGTGACTTTTGAGTCGACTCAAAAGTCATCTGTGGGTGGTTGTATTACAGTGCGTGGGCTGAGAAGGCAGGGCAGGCATGCCCCTAAACCCTTCCATCCCCTCCCCTGTCGCAACACCCACCCCCCCTCCTCCCCTCTCTTGTAACCCACTCGCATCGCAGCTACCAGCTGTTTGGGGAGGCGGGCACCGACTTGGGGCAGGGGCTGACACAAGAGGTGGTGAGGGATGAGACGAGGCACAGCATGCCTCTGGCCGTCTTGAAAGTCCCCCCTACCGCTCTCCCCCCTCCCTCCGATACCCTCTGGCTCCCTGTGTTCACAGCTACCAGCTGTTTGAGGAGGCAGGCACGGATCTGGGGCAGGGGCTGACGCAGAAGGCGGTGAGGGATGAGACGAGGCGCAGCATGCCCCTGGCCGTCTCATAAGTCCCTGTCCCTCCCTCCCCCCCGTTCACAGCTACCAGCTGTTTGAGGAGGCGGGCACTGACTTGGGGCAGGGGCTGACACAGAAGGCGGTGAGGGATGAGACGAGGCGCAGCATGCCCCTGGCGGTGGCGAAGGCCATTGCACGCGTGTCAGGAGGGCTGTACGTGGTGACTGCAATCAAAGGGGCGTCCAAGGGTGCTATGATCGCCTCCTGGGTCTCCCAGGTGCGTGGGTGTGCATGTGGTTGGATATGTGTCTGCCTGTGGGGTTGCATGTGTGGGTGTGTGTATCAGGGGGGCTGTACGTGGTGACTGCAATCAAAGGGGCGTCCAAGGGTGCTATGATCGCCTCCTGGGTCTCCCAGCTGCGTGCTGTTTGTGTGTGTCACGGCTACCAAGGGGGTCCTCCAAGGGTGCTATGCTCACCTCCTGGGTCTCGCAGGTATGCTCGTGTGTGTGTTTGTGTGTGCGCGCGCGTTGGTGCGGGTTGGAGTGAGCGGGAAAATTTGGAACGGGGGAAGGGGAGGGGGAAATGTACATGTGCCTGTGTGGTGCCTGTGTGGTAAGTTGGCTGTGTGTATTGCATTCGTGTGTGTGTGCATGTGTGCCTGCGTGTGTCTTAGTATCCACCCACCCAACCTCACCTATCTATCTCCAATGTGCTTCCACTTCTCCCTTCTCCCTGCTATCTCTCCCCACCCACAGGCGAGCTTCAAGCCATTGGGTATCACCATAGCTGTGGCCAAGGATAGAGCCATTGAGTCGCTCATGCAGGTGAGGGTTGCAGTGGGGTGGTGGACTGGGCTGGGCTGGGTTGAATGAAGTTGCTAGGTATCACCATCGCTGTTGCCAAGGACAGAGCCATTGAGTCGCTCATGCAGGTGAGGGTTGCAGTGGGGTGGTGGACTGGGCTGGGCTGGGTTGAATGAAGTTGCTAGGTATCACCATCGCTGTTGCCAAGGACAGAGCCATTGAGTCGCTCATGCAGGTGAGGATGCATCGCAAAGGTGTGGGTTGAATGGGGATGCAGTAGGGTGGGCTAGGTTGGGTTTGGCTGGGCTGTGATGGGGTGGGGTGCGGTTGGCTCCGGTGGGAAGCGGTCTCCTTCCTCAATCTCAGTGAATCTTGCTCCCACTTCACCATCCTGTTTCCCATTACCCATTTATACACCGCTCTCTACCTCCTCCCTCTGCACGCAGGTGGGCGACTCCTTTGTGCTCAACTGCCTGGAGGAGGGCAACTTCGCTCCTCTTATGAAGCACTTCCTCAAGCGCTTCCCCCCTGGCGGTGAGTGTCACTGCTCTTAACCAAAACCTTATCTTCCTTTTCTCCCCTTCCCCGTCCCACTCTTTCCCCATGGTAAAGAGTGTTTTTTTGTGTGGGTAGCCAATGTCGTACATGATTCGAAATATTTGTTAGCAGTGCAAGCACTGAAAGTGCGCCATGTTCATCCTTGTCCATCTGCCCGTGCCATGTCTCTACTCTACTCCCTTTCCATGTCATCCCTTTCTGATTGTCCAGCTGATCGCTTCGAGGGCGTTGACTGGGACCCAGCCAGCAACGGGTCGCCTGTGCTGGCAGGATCCCTGGCATTCCTGGAGTGCACTGTGGTGAGCCGCATGGAGACCAACGACCACTGGATCACGTATGCCGAGGTCACTGCAGGGAAGGTGTCCAAGCCTGAGGGTCGCACTGCTTCTCACCACCGCAAGTTGGGTGATTATTATTAAACAAGTCTAGGAGATATGAGGTTGACACCTGAGATATGTAAATTGCCGTGTGAAGTTGGTTTGTACATGTTTGAGGAACCGGTGTATTGTTGCAATGTGCAGACTGTGAATGTGCATTACGGTAATAATTACATGTTTATCACAAGCTGAAAGTTACCACTTAATGCACACCAAAAAACGATAATGGACAATCTTAGCTAATTACACGCACGGTAAGCACACATAACGTCTAAATTGCACAAAACACACATGAAACTTCCTATGCACAACACACAAACAAACCAAAAAACCCTAACCTACGTCCCAAAAGCACCTAAATTTCTGCTCAGGAGCTTGTGCTACGCCGACATCCAAGAATCGTATGTACAGCGGCGGAGTCTGGCGAAGCACATGCTGTCTGAATTTCCAGTAGCGTTCAACCCTATGCCTATGTGCATCGGCTGTTACGTTAGCTCCTGTCCGTGATCGACGCGTCAGTCACTCCTTGTAGCTTCTTCGGCGTCGTTTACCGAATCAGGAAATTCGCCACAGCTCCAGACATTGGAGTACTTTGCCAGCGCACTCCTCTTCGGCGGCTATTCTCCTCTGACGACTCGCCATTCTCGCTGCTGGAGAAAACGCCTTTCTATTGTACTCTCGGAAAAAAACGGGATTTTCTTTCTCAAGAGCATTCCACACTGCAAGAACAAGAAAGGCACAGACGACGATATCGTGAGCCATGGTACGCATCAAAATGCAGACTCGTTCGAGCTCGTTGCGAAATACTTACCAGCAAGGGTTATGGCCGGCTTGATCCTCGCACTTCTGGCGAGACTCACAACGCACTCGGCTTGACTCAGTTCCAGAACCAGACACCGCTCTATTAAGTGCTGAATCTGTGACACAAGTTCGAAGACGACAGCTGTCAGGGCCGAGCATTGAGAAACTATAAAGCGTGGCTTCAGAAACGTAACTGTAATGAAACCGAGCGTACCATAAGGACGTATGTGCCAAAGTCCTCTTTGGGGGAGGGAAAGGCGTTAGAAGGCACGGCATTCTCAACAACTACATCCATTGAGTAGGATTACAGCACAGCAGGCAGTGTCTGAACAATTGAGGTACGGATGAAACTGAAGTCGAAGGAGTCAAAACTATCTACAAGCCTGGTTCAGCACGAAACGCTGCTTTGATGTGAGGGATAGTGTTGCTGGTGTTGCTTCCCTTCCCATCCCATTCCACCCACTCAGAGGGCGAGTCGTTGTGACGAGGAAGAAAGTTCAAGCAGATCGCCCTTTTTCACGCATTGCTGCCGCAATATCTGCAAATTGGATCTGACGAATGAGAGAGCAGCCCTCCAATCGCGTGGATAAGAGGTTCAAGGGAGTTCACCAACAGTTGTTTCCACGGAGTGAATCTTTTGCTCGGGTGACCCCTCCCATTTGTTGAAAGAGATGGGGTGGTGGCGACGTGGTCAGCCAGTCACTATCCAGGTGTCCACGTTGGACACTACGGTGTCACGCTGTGTCACAGCAAGTGCCTGCTAGGGTGTCACGAAGGGCCACCACCAACCAACCAGGCCTCCCCTGAATTTCTGGGCCATCGTGGAATTCCTGGGTTCCCCTTTTTCACGCAGCCTGGCCTTGGCTGCTGGTGCAAGGAACATGGTAGATGAGTAGGACACCCTTTTAGGTGAGAGTAAAACAGTGTATGAAGTACAGTGCTCGCCAAGAGGCACAGACACAAGGGAAGGAACAACACAGGGGTAGAAGAAAGTTGGACCCATGACCTCTGGGAGACTGTGGTTTCACATACCTCTTCTCTGGCCACTCTAGCACTTAATGAATCCTAAACGAAGTGCGTAACATATGTCAATAATCAGCCTGTAAATAAGGGCTGAGATTGCATTGTAGTAGGGTCGACCTTCGTGCATTGGTGGGGTGTTTGCGCAAAGCAGCAGCTGGACTAGACCACACTCTACTGCACACATACAAAAAGGTTTGCAAACGTCCCGAGGGTGGCGGTTTTAACGGATTCTAGTATTTTCTTCAGACTATTCTCTTTTACTCCCATAATAAGACATTTCACAAGCCTTCTCACCCTCTGCCTGCAATACTCTACTACCCAGTCTCCAGAAGGAATTGTACTTTCGAATGTCCACGTTGTCCACAGTGAGGCGTACACGCGTGCCTTCGTGGATCTGGATGGACGGCGTCAACTCACCTCACCCCCCCACCCTCACCACGTTCCTCCGTTCCGTTCAAACGAGAAACGGAAGAAGCATCCAGAGAACAGTCGTCCACGAGCAACTGCTGGGCTGAAAGATTTGCTTCACAACCAAGTTGGAGCTTGCACAGTGCAGTATCTAATGCACATTTAATGCTGGCGCCAAAGTGGGGTTGCGCACACACCAAGTGGGGACTTATGGGGACTGTTCCGTTCTGTCATAATGGAAATATCAGGGGTGTGTAGGATGTAACACGTGGCTAATTGAGGGCTAGGATGTAACTTGAACAATAACTGTCCGGACAATTCGAACTGCGATCTCATTTTCCCAGTGCGGATTTGCAAATGCAATCTTTTCGGGCAGAACCATGCGGCTGCCCGTGTTTAGGGTTGGGGCTCCCCTAATCGCATGCCATCCATTAGGGGTTTAGTTTTTTCTGACCGCGGGCAGATTACGACCCATCAGCTTCTTCCAGGCGGACTGTTAGGGATCGCATTTGCGAACCGCGCTGGCTTAATTAGATTGCAGCTGAAGTTGTCCCATAACTGTCCCCCCCTAGCCCACTGTTTTGCGGAAACTGTGCGCAGAAAGCGCTGCTCGTCCCCTGAAAGCGGATGAGTTCAGGTACCTGTCCCCGCTAAGCTGAAAACCCAAATATCAGCTTCACTTCAAGCCCGTACACTGAAAATGTTGCTGACTTGCGGACTAGGTGGCGGGTAGCTATTGGCTAAACAATTTAGCAAAGGCATTACCTCACGAGTCAGAAAGGCCAATTTCTTATTTGCAACCATTGAAAATACCACAAATAGAAAATTATATGTTAAATGTAATCCGCAAGCTGCTCAGGACAAATGTATCTCACTAGCTCTTTGGGGGCCAATGGGCAGATGGCCTTGGGATAACCCATGTGCATGTGTCATGCTAACTCCATACGTCACGCTATGTTTCTGGGACATGCCGATCCCTAAACCCTTTCCTTCAACCCGTCTGCCTCCCCTTCCCCTTCCCCTCCCCCCTCCTCTCCCTTCCAGCACCCCTTCCACTTCCATCCCATTCTCTTGCTCTACACTCTGCTTACGTTGCCATACACTCGGCGCTCCATTATAAGTTTTTCCTGGATTTGATAAAGGATGGCCACCAGCAGTAGCACACCTCCTGATGCTGCCCTCTCTTGGGCTGAAATTCCCGTCACTGGCAGCTCGTTCCTTAGCACTGCCGCTGGGGCTGCTGCCGAGGCTGCTGCCGAAGCTGCTGGCGATGCTGCTGCTGCTGGCAATGCTGCCGCTCCCATACCTGATACTTGCATTGTTGCCGATGTTACTGGTGTGCACCATCCCTACCAACCCCCTGCTCCTGCTGCTGCTGCCTATGCTCTTGCTCTTTACCATCCTGCCCGGAGCAGCAGCACTGGGCACATCAGCAGCAGCAGCAGCAGCAGCAGCAGCAGCAGCAGCAGAATTAACAGAACAAGAGCCATAACCGCCAGATGCGCCAGCTGCACCAGAAGCAGAGGTAGCAGCATCCGCAGCACCAGCACCGGCAGCACTAGCAGCAGCAGCAACAGGTTTGCCACTCATTGGAACACCGCCCATTGAATTGCCACCCATTAGGTTGCCCCCCATTAAACTGCCTCCACTCAAAACGCCCATCACTAGATTCCCCCCAACTGGTTTGCCACCCATCAGTTTGCCGCCCGTAAAATCGCCGCCCATAAAGTCGACGCTCACTATCTCGCCGCCCGTTCGATCGCCACGAGTGGCACTATTACCCACACACTGCGTCCTGGTAACAGTGCTGCTGCTGTTGCTGCTGCTGCTGGATAACTGGTCAAGCCAAGCAGCAGCGTGGGTCATCGAAGGCAGTGCCCCCATCGGGGATCTTTGAGACGTCTCAAAAGCACCATGGCTCACCATGGAAGGCAGTGCCCCCATGGACGGGCTCTTCCTGTGCCCCCCCCCACGCACCTTCCCTGCTGCTCCCCACCTCCCTGCTGCTCCCCACCTCCCTGCTGCCCCTCCGCGCCCTGATGCTCCTTCCCCCCCTGCCACTCCCCCCTTCCTTGCTGTTCCTGCTCCTGCTCCATCCTCCTTTCCACCAACAGCACGTGACCCGCACGCCTCTCTCCCACCCACAGCCCCAACCCTAGATTCCCCACCAGCACATTCTCTCCCAGCTCTAAACGGCACAACTCTAGATACACCTGCACCAGATACAGCCTGTTTTGGAGACGTCTCAAAAGCATACAAGTTTCCTCCAGTCCCTCCTCCCATCCTGGCAGCACCAGCAGAAAACAAAGTCCCTGCGGCCGTGTTACAGCTAGTAGGGCTGCTGCTGCTGCTTCTGCTGTTACCGCTTCTGCTGGTGCTGCTGGTGCCGCTGTGGCTGTTGCTGGTGGTGGTGCTGTTGCTTGAAGTGAGAGGTCGGCTGCGTGCGTTGGTTGTACGGCTGCGAGTGATGGTTCCAGGGGATTCCAGAGCGGTGCAGCTCGGTTGGAGGGGTAGGGGTGCCGAAGGGGTGGAAGAGAAGGAGCGGTGGAGAGGCGAGGGGTAGTGTGGGGGGCGGAACGGGGAGCGGTGGAGTGAGGGCGAGGAGGAATGAGGGGAGGAGTGAGCAGAGGATGAGGTAGAGTGAGGGGAAGAGGACTGGGCATGAGGGGAATTGTGCGGGGAGGAATGAGGGGTGGCATTTGGTGCAGTGTGGTGCAAAGCGGCACGATGGAAGGCGGAGAGTGAGGGATTGGGAGAGGGGGAGGGACAGCCGGGCATGCGAACAGGAGGAAGGGGAGAAGACTGATAAGAACCTGCAGCTACACCGGCAGCGGCAGCGGGAGCAGCAGCAGCAGCGGTACCAGCAGCGGCAGCGGGAGTAGCAGCAGCCGCTGCACCAGCAGTGGAAGTAGCAGCAGCAGTGACACCAGCAGCAGCAGCAGTGGCAGGGGCCGAAGTGCTGGCAGAGTGAGAAACACTCTTACTAGTGCTCGCAGCCTTGTGAGGCGACACACTCTTCCAAGGGGTGGCAGGGGTAGGAGGTGCGGAAATGCTAACAGGTGCGGCAGGAGTGGCAGGAGTGGCAGGGGTGGCAGGAGTGGCAGGGGTGGGAGGTACAGCAGGTGCAACAAGTGCAGCATCTCGCCCTGTGTGGTTCGGGTCAGCAGCAGGAGGAGGAGCAGTGCGAGTGCCGACAGCAGTGCTGGTTCCAACAGGACTCTCATCAGCCTGAGACGCCCACACCGTTTCCCTGAGATCCAGAGACAGAGACATGCGCCGCCGCACCTTCTCCCTCCCCTGCTGCCGCGGCTGCTGCCAACGCTGCTGCTGCTGCTGCTGCTGCTGCTGCTGCAGCCAATGCTGCTGCTGGCGTTGCTGTTGTTGCTGCCCCAGCTGCCCCTGCTGCTGTCCCTGCTGCTGATGCTGCTGCTGATGCTGCTGCTGCTGCTGTCCCTGCTGCTGCTGTCGTTGCTGCTGCCATTGCTGTTGCTGCTGCTGACGGTACTGTTGATGCTGCGAGGTTGGTAGCTGCTGTGCAGGTCGGTGCGGTGAGGTTGAGTGCGGTGAGACTAACCGCGAAAAGGTTGAGTGTGGTGAGGTTGAGTGCGGTGCAGTGAGGTCACTGCCAGCAGACCCTTCTGGTTCGGTTGCCCACATCGTTTCTCTCAGGTCCAGAGACAGGGACAAGAGACGTCGCACCCTGGGGTTAAGACGCTGCTGCTGTGGCTGCTGCTGCTGCTGCTGCTGCTGCTGCTGCTGCTGCTGCTGCTGCTGCTGCTGCTGCTGCTGCTGCCGCTGGTTCTGCTGTTGTGAAAGCTGTTGACGCTGCAGGATTGGCGCTTGTTGCGGGTTCACCTGTTGTTGCACGTAGCCCTGCCCCTGCGGGGACACCTGCGGGTTCACCTGGGGGTTCACCTGCGGGTTCACCTGGGGGTTCACCTGCGGGTTCACCTGCGGGTTCACCTGCGGGTTCACCTGCGGGTTCACCTGTCTCACCTGCTGTTTCAGGCACCGCTTCTCACCAATCCCAACAGCTGCAGCTGCTCCTGAACTGGCCTTAAAGCCATGCTTCGGCGACGGAATAATGGCGGAACGAGGGGAAGGAGAGGGAGGCTGAGAGGAGCGGGAGAGAGAAGCGGGGGTAACGGGGAGCGATGAGGAGGAGGGGAAGGGGGACGAGGGGAGGGAGGGGGAGTGGGAGGAGGACAGGGGCTTGCAGGAGAAGGGGGGAAGCAGTGCGGAAGAGGAGTGGGAGCGGAGGGCCATGTGAGGCATGTGAGGCATGTGAGGCATGTGAGGCATGTGAGGCGAGTCGAAGGTCCTTAGGGGGGACGTTTGCGGTGTGGAGAGGGGGGACCTTAGAGAAGGATTCTGAGGAGTGTCGAAGGGAGAGGAGTGGGATTGGAGGGATGGGAGACAGGACGAGTCAAAGGACGTGAGGGGGGAACGGGAGGGTTTGCGTGCGGTGCGAGGGGATTTTTGCGCTGCGTCACGTGGGGCGCGGGGGGACTTCGGGGGCGCGCCAGAGGTGGCGCGGGGGGAGGGGGGGAGGAGAGCGGAGGACTGGGGAGAGGGGGGTTGAGAAGTGGGGGGTTGAGGGGAGGTGGGGGACGGACACGGGGGTTGAGGTGAAGGGGGTTGAGTAAAAAGGGGATGGGGCGAGGGGACGCGGGGAGAGCGCGGTTGGGATGACAAGGGGCGCGGGGAGCGGACGTGTGGAGAGGAGGAGCGGTTGTCAAAGGTAAGGGGCTGGGAGGACGTGGTTGAAGGGTGTGGAGAGCGGTGCAAAGGGGAGCGCTGTGTAGCGGAGCGGGGAGAGAACTGCGCACTGGCGGAAAGGGCAGAACTCGCCCCCTGTGCTTCCGCGCTGCCTCTGGCGCATGCCCCCTGCGCCTTATCTGCCCCCCCCGCTCTTCCCCTGGGCGCTACTTGCGCACTGGCAGGATAGGGGGAGTTCGCCCCCCCTGCTTCCGCGGTGCCCCTGGGGTAATCCCACTGCGCCCTACCCGTCCCCCCCCCTGGCCGGGGGGAAATCGCCCCCCCTGCTTCTGCGCTGCCCCTGGGGTAATCCCACTGCGCCCTGTCCGCTCGCCCCCATCCCCTGGGAGACGCCTGCGCGCTGGCGGAACGGGGGGATCTTATGGCGGGGGGCGCGCAGCTGGGGGGAGAGGGGCGGGGGGAGGTAAGCGGGGAGGCGGAAGGACAGGGGCGGGGAGAAGGGAGAGGAGAGGAGAGAGGAGAGGAGAAAGGAGGGGATGCCGCTGCTACTGCCGCTGCTGCTGTTGAAGCAGCTGCTGGTGCTGGTGGCGGTGCTGGCGGCGGTGCTGCTGGTGGTGGTGCTGCAGCTGCTGCTGCTTCACGCGTTTCAGCAGAGGAACCCTCGAGGCCTGACGCAGCAGCATCAACGGTGCTAGCAGCAGCAGGCGAAGCAAGAGCAGCAGCGGGGGCAGCAAGAGAAGCAGCAGGAGCAGCGCGATTGGTAGACGGGGAGAGGGAAGGGGAGTGCGGGGGAGAGTCCGGAGGAGAGTGTGACCCCAGCACAATCCCACCCAGCCTCGACTCAAAGCTCTCCAAGGCTCGACAAACCACCTCCTGGCAATCCTGCAGCACCCCTGCCAAGCCTGACGGACAGGCTCGGGCAGGTGACGAGGCTCGGGGAGAGGAGGCGGATTGGGAGGACGGGGGAGGATGGGAAGAGGTGACGTGCTGGGTCGGGAGAGAGAGGGGTGTGTACGATCGGATCGGGTTGGTTCGGAAGGCGTTGGGTGTGGCATTGGAACGGGGTGAGAGATTAGGAGCAGGAACAGGCGAAGCAGCAGGAGCAGGAGCAGCAGAAGGAGCGGTTGGAGGAGAAGGAGAAGGAGCAAGTGCGTTGGCGGCAGTAGTAGCAGCAGTGGCAGTAGCGGCAGTTGCAGCGTTGGTTTTGGCAGAGAGAGAAGGGGGGGAAGAGGGGCAGGGGGAGCGCGGGGAGGAGGGGTTGGTGGAGGGGGAGGAGGCGGAGAAAGGAGAGGTGGGGGCGGAAGAGAAGGAGAAGGGGGAGGAGGCGGAGGAGGAGGGGAGAGAGTGGGGGGAGAAACCCATAGAGGGGGAGAGGGGGAGGGAGAGGGGCAGGGAGAGGGGGAAGGAGAGAGGGCTTTTGGGCGGCAGACATGACACTCGGCCAGCCTGGCATTTGTTTGTTGCGCCGCTGGTGCTGCCGCTAGTGCTGCTGCTGCCGCCGGTGCTGACGGTACTAACGGTGCTCCTGCTGCTGTTACTTGTGATCGTGATGGCGGTGGTGGTGGTGGTGGTGGTGATGCCGCTCCTGCTCTTGCTTTTGCTGCTGCTAGCACTGCTGCCACTGTTGCTGCCGCTGCTGCTGCTCGTGCTGCTGCGGGTGGTGCAGCTGCTGCCGCCCATCCCGTTGCTGGTGATGCTTGTAGCGCTGCCCGCGCTGCTGGTGCGGTTGAACAGCTGCGCGCATTCCGCCCACTCTCCCCCGCCGCCCGCACCTTCCCCGCCCGCTGCTCCCTTCGTTAAAATACTCAAAGCACCTCGCGTTCCTGTCCCTCCTCTCGCCACATCGACACCGCTCGCCACGTCGACGGCTCTAGCCACGTCGTCACCGTTCGCCACGTTTGCGACATTCCCGAAACCATGGCCTCTCCGATTGTCTGCCGCATTCCCAGCCAACGCTACAAGAGCAGAATCAGCACTACCAGCACCCCCACTGGCAACGGCACCAGCAGCAGCACCAGCAGCAGCACCATCGGCACCCCTTGCACGGCTCCCGTTGCCGCCTCGCTTGCTGCTCCACCTACTGCTGCCGCTGCCACTGCCGCTGCCGCTGCTACTACCGCCCCCGTTACTGTCACTCCCGCTTGTAGACCTACAGACGCGCATTTCCGCGTCGCTTTTCCCCGCCACCCCTCCCTCCCCCTCACCCACGCCATCTTGCGCACCGTCTCTCCTCTCCTTCCCTCCTCTTCCCCCGCCTCTCCCTCCCCTCTCCCCTCTGAATCCTCGTCCCCCTCGTCCTTTCCGCCCGCCTCCCCGTCCTCCGCCGCACCCTCCGCCAAACCCTCCGCTTCCGCCTCTTTCACCCGCATTGATTCCGCTGCCCACGTGTCCTCTGCGCCGCCGCCCTTCCTCTCCTTCCGCTCCCTCCGTGCTGCGCCGGCCGCTCTCCTCAACCTGAAACGCGCTCCGCACGTCGCGCATCTCCCGCGCATCCCGCTCCCCCGAATGTACCTCAGGTCGCGCCGATGACGTCTCCCCATCCCCCCCTCGTGCCGGCGCATGTGCGGAGAACGAGTCAGCGGACAGCATCGAACCTGGCGGCGCACGTGCGGAAAATTCCAACTCTGTGTTTGCACATGCGGACAAATCTGAATCTGCCAGCGCACGTGAGGATGGCTCCAACGAGCCGGCCGTCCTTGTCGCGTTGCTCAAATACAGGCTATTCGGAACGACGCGACGCGAATTATGGGTGTAATCGTTCAGAGTCCCCATGTCGCCTCGCTAAAAAACCATCGCACGCAGGTTCCGTCGATGCGATGCCGTAGGCTGATGAGATTCGAGTCTGCTTAAAACAAATCTCGACGGCGGCGACAAGTGCTTTTCAATATTCACGATATCCGGTTGAGCCGTCTCGTAAGCACCCGCGGCAGTGCAGTGAATTTCGGATTCTCGGGAGTCGCGGTTCCAATAAACGCGGTCTTGCGAATCGCTAACGCCCGGAGACCCGAGCGGAGTAAAATCCATCGGCAGGGAAGTACTGGGGGCGGAAAATTACTCCCGGCCGGAAGAAATTACCGGTCTTAAGTCAGCAAACGTCGCAGCGCGTTCTGGCGGACGATTCTTTATGAAATGTTCCGCTTTCTTTATGAAATGGGCATTTGACGCTAGAGGAGCCGACTAAGTCTGACGATATTTGATAGATTAGGACGATCGAAGCAGGCTAGAGGACTCGTCAAACCCTAAATGTCTGATACAGTACGTAGTGAACGAGAGGCAAGAAGATGTCCCCGAGGCTTGCGAGGTAAGTTAGAGGGATGCTCGCGACACGACAACTGAATGACGGCAGCGCGCACCATTGTGGCGGGGGCGCGGGCAGGACACTGGCATTGTCTCCACTGCTCTCACTCTCATCTCATTCTGTTGCTGCTGCCTTTGCTGCGGGTGATGCTGCTGCTCGTGCTGCTTTTCCTGCTGGTGATGCTGCTGCTCCTGCTGCTTTTGCTGGCTAGGTGGATGAACAGCAGATTCATGCGAGTGTGCTTGCCAGCAGTGCAAGGACGACGGAGAGAAAGGGGCGGAGGTGGGGGGTGTAAGAGAGGGAGGAAGGAGAAGCGAGTGGGAAGGAGAGAGGGGGTGGGGGGAACAGGGGGAGGAGGAGGGGGGAGGTGCGGAGCGGGAAGGGTGTGCGGTGCTGCTGTGAAGCAGGAGCTTAGTGAGGGAGTAATATGGTTTTAAAGGTTTCCAGAGATGTTCTGAGGTTTTCCTAGAATACGTTTGCGGTTATTCCTGACCTTATGTGGAAATGGCTTGTTCATCTTGTCAACGCCCACCGATTGGTCCAGAGCATTTTGTTTGCTGCCCCTCCAACTCGCAGGCGGTAGCGCGTGAGACATGTGGTGCACGCGGGGCCAGGGGTTGCGAGTAGGGACCCAAATTTCGTCGAGATCTTCTTCGCGCAGCGGAAAGGGGCCGAGTTGAGAAGAGGGCAAAACTTTCAACAGATTCCCCCCCCTGCATTCGCCAAGGTTATCCAGTTGCACAACCTCGGCAAGGCGCCGCCTCTTCGAAAACGACAATTTCGACACCCCCTGTGTCAGACTGGCACTCCTGAGATGTGAACAGACCTTGCTATTCAGGTCAAACAATGCCGGAGCAACGTCAAGCTTATACACCTTATAAAGGAATTTATACATCCTCTAACCAAACTGTCAATGTCAAATCATCCATCTTATCATCATCTAGCTCTATCTTGGCACACCTTTGCCTCCTCAGGTTTGGGCCTGGCCATCCCATGTGATTAGGCCCCCTACCCATTAGCATGGGCCCTTGATATCTGATGATGCGCGCCGACATCACCTTTGATATGGCGATTGGGTAGTGGGAACGATCGAGCTTGCGTAGGAATGATGTGCGATTGTAGACACTGACCACGCCAGCAGGTGCGTCCTTGTTAGAAGTGGTCGTGTTGGTGCCCAGTTTTCCCACATATGTTGCATACATTGTAAAGGGCAGGGCGCATATCTCGTGGGGGGGAGCATCATCCTGCGAGAAGGTGAGTTGGGACAAATCAAGGAGAAAAGATAAAGGAATGGAGCGTCGCCCTAAACCCTAAACCCTCTCCCTCTACCTCAACCCCTCCTGCGGTACACACTCATGCACCTCCTTGTTTCCCCGACCCTTAGGACCAACCCATATACACGTGCACATCTCTATCCCTCCCCCCCAACCCCCCCACCACACACACACACACACACACACACACACACACACGCATGCACGCACGCACGCACGCACGCACACACGCACACACCCACACACCCACACACCCACACACACACACACACACACACACACACACACACACACACACACACACACACACACACACACACACACACACACACACACACACACACACACACACACACACACACACACACACACACACACACACACACACACACACACACACACACACACACACACACACACACACACACACACACACACACACACACACACACACACACACACACACACACACACACACACACACACACACACACACACACACACACACACACACACACACACACACACACACACACACACACACACACACACACACACACACACACACACACACACACACACACACACACACACACACACACACACACACACACACACACACACACACCACACACACACACACACACACACACACACACACACACACACACACACACACACACACACACACACACACACACACACACACACACACACACACACACACACACACACACACACACACACACACACACACACACACACACACACACACACACACACACACACACACACACACACACACACACACACACACACACACACACACACACACACACACACACACACACACACACACACACACACACACACACACACACACACACACACACACACACACACACACACACACACACACACACACACACACACACACACACACACACACACACACACACACACACACACACACACACACACACACACACACACACACACACACACACACACACACACACACACACACACACACACACACACACCTCCGGGAGCCTGGTATCAAATGTGAACGTAGTGGGGTCCGCACTCCCCACAAAGGAGTAGAAAGTTCGCTCCGCCCTCACCAGCTCTGATAGCAGCCGCGCCTGGCGTGGGGAGAATTAGTGGCAATACAGTGAAGACACATTCTGGTTCGTGGTATTTATATTTAAGGCGCCTCAAAACTGTACTCAACCCGAAGGAGTAGAACGTTCGCTCCGCCCTCACCAGCTCTAGCGGCCACTAGACTGAACGTTCGCTCCCCTACCAGCTCGTAGCACAGGGCGTTACGACCATTATCGAGGTGCCTGGAAAACCGTTTCGTCTCAATCAACCCCAGCTTTGAGACGTGCCAATCAACCCCAATCAAAGAACTACCCTAGCCTCGGTGTTTCACTAAAGCTGATGTATCAAGAGAGTGACCAGCCTCAGTACCACTGATCTAAACGTACCCCAGAGTAGATCTTGATAGCAAAGCCCCATGAGATGGCTGCCGTCCACTGGGAGCTGCAAGGGAGGGAGGTGCATGGATCACGGAGCGAAAAACGGGGTGGAAGGGGTCAGGAGGGGTGGTGAGTAGGGATGCAGCACGAGGTGACACAGAAGGACATGGGCACACAGTTCGATGACGGAGAGAAGTAGGCTTGTGCATGCACATATCCCACCCACCCACTCCTCCCACCCACCTACCCGTCGCCGCACACTGCCAGCTGTGCAAACCCTACTGGGTCCGGCCTCATCCTCTCCGCCAGCGCGGCGAGCCCCTCCGCCCGGTCAGCGGTGCCAGCTGGCAGCAGCAGCGGGTCAACAAAGTCAAGATGGTGCAGGGACAGCAGCGGCTGTAGCAGGTGCGCCATGAGGAGCCCGAAGAGACTGCCGCCCAGATCTACCTGGTGGAAGCCCGGGGTTGGTGTGAGGGACACCTGGGGGAGGGGGGGGAGCAGAGGGGGAATGGAGTCAAGGTGTGGGGCTGGGGGGAAAGCAGCGGGTGCAGGGGGTGCGCCATGAGGAGCCCAAAGAGACTCCCGCCCAGATCTATCTGGTGGAAGCCTGGGGTTGAAGTGAGGGACACCTGGGGGAGGGCGGGAGGGCAGGGAGGTGGAGAGAAGAGACTGTCGTCCCCCAGGTGTCTCTCTGCCTGCCCGCCCTCCCCCAGATCGACCCGACAAGAGACTGTCGTCCAGGTCGATCTGGTGGAAGCCCGGTGAGGTATGCCGCCCCACATGAGATATGCCCCCTGTCTCTGCAATGCAAGCACTCACCCACAATTCTCGCCACACAGGGGCGTGTCGCTCCAAGCACACGTCCATGGACCCATCTGTACTCAGCATGCGCGCCAGCGCTACCGAGATGGCGAACCCGCCCCCTCCAATCTATCATGCAAGCACGCACTCACCCCCAACTCGCCAACACAGCTTGCGACCCGCTCGTCGCTCCCCCACACAGTGGCGTGTCGCTCCAATCACGCGTCTATCGCCCCATCTGTACTCACCATGCGCGCCAGTGCTGCCGAGATTGTATCCCCCCAGATGGGCTAAAGGGAATAGGCAATGCAAGCTCTCTCACTCACCCCTAGCTCCCCCACGCAGCTGGCGACACGTTCATCGCTCCCCCAGACTGCAGCGTGTCGCTCCAAGCACGCGTCCATGGCCCCATCTGTACTCAGCATGCGCGCCAGCGCTGCCGAGATGGGCTAAAGGGAACAGGAAAAATGCAAGCACTCACTCACCCCCAGCTCCCCCACGCAGCTTGCGACCTGTTCATCGCTCCCCCACACTGCTGCATGTCGCTCCAAACACGCGTCCATGGACCCCCCCTCACTAAGCATGCGAGTAATGCCACACAGCGTGCATTTATACATAGTGCAACGTGTACTCACCCCCAGCTCGCCCACGCAGCTCGCCACGCGTTCATCGCTCCCCCACACAGCTGCATGCCGCTCCAAGCACGCGTCCATGGCCCCGCCGTCACTCAGCATGCGGGCGAGTGCTGCAGAGATGGGCTAAAGGGAACGGGAAAATGCAAGCACTCACTCACCCCAAGCTCGCCCACGCAGCTGGCGACCCGTTCATCGCTCCCCCACACGGTGGCATGCCGCTCCAAGCACGCGTCCATGGCCCCGCCCTCACTCAGCATGCGTGCCAGCGCTGCAGAAATGGCGAAACCTCCGCCACCAAACGCCATGCCATGCGTGTTGGCCACGTTCTGGTAGTGCGTCTCAGAAGGTGCTCCAAGGTAGAGGGGTGTGCGGTGGTCGTATTGCCCAAGGAATGCTGTGATGGCATGCGGGCTGAAGAACGTGTCGTCGTCTCCCATCACGTACCTGGTGGTCGTTAGGGGGGTTGGGGGGTGGGAGGGGGAGGGAAGTGGGGGTGTGTGATATCAGTTGGTGGAGTGCGGTGGCTGTAATGATGGGAAAAGGCTGCTATGGCCAGGGGGCTAAACAATGTGCCATCGTCGCCCATCAGGTACCTACAGGTGGGGGTGAAAGGAGAGCGGGGAGAGAGAGGGGGGGATGGTATGGGGTACAGCATTTTGGCGGCATTCTCGAATGAAAGCAGTGCCCTGGAAGCTCAGGTGGCGCCACCCACAATTGAACACTCCAAGCATACGATATGAACTCACCATCGCACGCCCTTCTCCCCGAGCCTATACGCGTCCACCACGATTCTCGCTAACCGCAAATATTCCCTCAGACCCATGCCCCGATAACTCAGGTGACTTGTGTTGCTGCTGGCCCTCACAGGTGGGTCCAATGCCACGTCATGCGGGACCGCTTCCACGTCATCCACCCACACGTAGCCTCAGATCTTCTCATCCTGCCCGCCCGGTGACTTTTTGTTGTAGAGGACTCTCCTCTACTTTGCAGGAACTGGGAGTTGTTCTAAACGATAGAGCTCTGTCTTAGCTTTCCAACGAGCCGTCAAACACGTCGATCGCCTAAGTATTCTCCGAGATATAGGCGTTCACGTGCTAGGTGGTGCTCTTGAATGCAAGTAAAGAAGCTCTCTGGAATTTGTGTTCGAATGTACCTTGTACAAAGAACTCTGAGTTTCACTATGATGGCATGCAATACAAAGAAAACAGATTTATAGCATGCAAACAAGATCGAATCGCACAAGTAACCTCGAACCGCTACACTCGCGAATGTTCGAGTAACATCGAAAGGGTGAAATTCGACTCTCGAATTTCACCGATCCGAATTCTCCTTGGGTCTCGAATGTTCCTGGTGCTGCCATGTGGCACCGAATCGAATGGGTCTTCCGAAGTCAATCCTCAACCCCACGCAAACCTGCAACTCACTCGAAGGTGAGCACAAGTCACACATTCGGTGGGTTGGGGGCATACAAACGCCCCACCACCACCTTGCTTCCAACACATGTAATCTCCAACACTCCCCCTTGCACCCAACCCACTAGGTGTGCAAACCAACATGCTCATAGCATGCACGGGATGAATCTTTAGGGGGTGGTTCCATGAGAGATTTCGCGTGTTCATCATCACCCTTGGTTGCGAAGCAAAATGCCGCGCCCTCCTTATCCGTCTCCCCAACGGCTACCGTAGCGTAGTCGTTGTACTTGGAGGGAGGACGAACCTCACGACGCTCGCGGGTCAAGGCCAATGGTAGGGAGGAAGGTGTGGAGGTAGTTGCCGCCTCGGTTGGTGACACCTCCACGACATCATCAATGCTCTCCTCGTTGTTCGCTCCCCCTCCATCGGCTTCCTTCTCCACTTGAGGTGGAGTCTCACTCTCTTCAACCTCCTCTCGTGGCGGAAGGATGAAGGTGAGTTGTTGAGTGGGTTTCTCCTTCGACGGGAACTTGTCTTCATCGAAGACCACGTCCCGAGACGTGACGACGCACTTGTCGCCCAAGTCCCACACTCGCCACGCACGCTCGTTCGCCGCAATTCCCAAGTAGATCGCCGCACGAGCCTTCGGTTGCAACTTGTGGCGAAGGGGATCCGGTACATGGTAGTAGCAAAGGCACCCAAAGGTGCGAAGGCGGGATAGGTTCGGCTTCGTTCCGGTCCATGCTTCGAACGGATTCATTCCCGGTAGCACCTTTGTCGGCACACGATTACGAATCCATGCCGCTAGCGCACTCGCCTCTCCCCACCACTCGTTCCCAAGCTTGGAGTGTTGAAGTAGTGAACAAACGGCTTCCACCAACGTGCGATTAAGCCGCTCCGCCGCTCCATTTTGTTGGGGTGTGTAGGGTGTCGTGACGTCGTGCTTTATGCCCTTGCTCTTCATCCATTTCTCAAGCTCTGCGTTCACGAATTCGCCCCCACCGTCGGTGCGAATACACTTGATCCGCTTCTTCTCGTCGTCGCAAACATCGAGCGCCCACTCTTGAATCGCCTTGGCCGCATCTCCCTTAGCCTTCAAGAGTCGGGTCCAACACATCCGCGTCGCGTCGTCGAGCATCACCAAGAGGAACCGCGCTCCTCCCTTTGATGCATGTCGCATCGGTCCACACACGTCCATGTGAACAAGCGCAAGCGGGTCCTTAGCGAGGGGTGACGTTCGGCTACCAAATGGCTTGCGAGCCATTTTTCCTTCGACACACGCCGCGCACACGCCCTTCTCGTCGCCGCCGGCGATCACGTCAAGTCCCTTCGCAAGTCCTTTGTTGGCCAACTCCTTGACCGAGTCGTAATTGGCGTGCGCAAGTCGATCATGCCACGCCTTAAGAGTTGCCTTGGAGCCTTGCGCCACGTTCGATGAAGCCACTCTTGGGTACGTCTTGAGTTGGTAGATATCTCCATTGAGAACCCCTTGCGCGAATTGCTCCCCCTTCCAAAAGAGGTTCATCTTCGCACCGTCAATCGTGGCGATCACTCCCTTCTTCGCAAGTTGCGGGACGGATAGAAGGTTCACCTTCACCCCCGGGACGTGAAACACGTTCGTCACGTCCACCGGACCGCTATCGACGATGAGGCGCGTACTCCCAACTCCGACCACCGGTAGCGATTCGTTGTTTCCGAACACGATGCTCGTGACGTCTCCCGGAGCGCCAATGTTGTTGAGGAGCGACGCCGAGTGCGTCATCTGTTGCGTTGCGCCGGTATCGAGGAACCACGCGTCGCTTGGAGTTTTGTTCCCGTTGCCGGCCACTAACACGAGCGACTCCTTTGAATCATCGGCCTCGCCGGATGCCGTGTTCGCGTTGCCCTCTTGGTCCCGCGCCATCGATGGAGTCCAATTGCTCGGCCGCTTTCGACACTCACGCCAAAAGTGTCCCGGTTTGCGGCAATAGTGACACTTGCCGCGATGCTCGCTCCCACCCGACGATTCATTCGTCGCACCCTTGCTCCACTTGGACTTCTTTCCGGAACTCCCTCCGGAGTACATGGCGGCACCCTCGCTCTCATTAGCGAATTGTCGGCGACGCGATTCTTCATGGAGAAGCCGACCAACCACCATTTCCTTCGTCCAAGTGTCTTGCACGCTATCGAGTGTCGTAATCACCGTCGACCACTCTTCCGGAAGGCCGCAAAGCAAGGTGAGAATCCAATCCTCCTCCGTGACCGTTCCACCGAGGTCCATGAACGTTTCCCCGAGTTCCTCCACACGAGTCGCAAACTTGTGCATCGATTCGCCCGCGCGCATCTTCACCGTGTAGAACGCATTCCGGGCTAGGATCTTGCCGTGGAGAGTCTTGTTCACGTGGATGGTCTCGAGCCGCTTCCACGCTTCATCGCCGACGCTTCGAGCTTGATGCACATGCGCACCGAGCTCACGAGATTGATGCCGATGCGCGAAATCAACGTAGCGAACGCCTTTTGGTCCTTCTTCTTCCATGCCGCGATGCCGCTCTCATCGTCCGGCTTCTTCTCCGTTCCATCGAAGAAAACCCAAAGTCCCCGCTCCATCATGAGCACTTGGAACTTAAACTTCCACGAGGAGTAGTTTTGTCCCGTGAAAATCGGTACCGCCGACGTGTCGAACATCGTCGCGGTTGCCCAGGGTTCGCCGGAATTTACAACGACACCATCCAAGGAAGTGCGGGAGGCCTCGCTTGAAGTCATCATGCGTGCTCCTTGTCGCGCGCGTAGACTCCTCCGACCAGCTCTGATACCACTGTTGTAGAGGACTCTCCTCTACTTTGCAGGAACTGGGAGTTGTTCTAAACGATAGAGCTCTGTCTTAGCTTTCCAACGAGCCGTCAAACACGTCGATCGCCTAAGTATTCTCCGAGATATAGGCGTTCACGTGCTAGGTGGTGCTCTTGAATGCAAGTAAAGAAGCTCTCTGGAATTTGTGTTCGAATGTACCTTGTACAAAGAACTCTGAGTTTCACTATGATGGCATGCAATACAAAGAAAACAGATTTATAGCATGCAAACAAGATCGAATCGCACAAGTAACCTCGAACCGCTACACTCGCGAATGTTCGAGTAACATCGAAAGGGTGAAATTCGACTCTCGAATTTCACCGATCCGAATTCTCCTTGGGTCTCGAATGTTCCTGGTGCTGCCATGTGGCACCGAATCGAATGGGTCTTCCGAAGTCAATCCTCAACCCCACGCAAACCTGCAACTCACTCGAAGGTGAGCACAAGTCACACATTCGGTGGGTTGGGGGCATACAAACGCCCCACCACCACCTTGCTTCCAACACACGTAATCTCCAACACTTTTGAGTCGAATTTAAATTTTCCTCCTGCCGGCCCGGGTGCCACCAGCTGCGCAGGTAGGCTCGGCGGTACGGAAAGGTGGCTCGGGACGAGGCTATGTTGAACATGACGTGATGCAGCTGCGTCTCCTGCTCCTCCCCGCCTTCTCCCTTCTCCTCTTGCTCCCTTTCGACCTCCTCAGTCATCTGCACCTTCTCCTCCTGCGATCCTGCAACAGCCTCCTCCTTCCCAACCCTGTCACCACCGCCATCACCATCACTCATAGGATCCGAGCCATCAGCAGCATCGATCATCCCCCGCCCTTCTCGTCTCGAGCCCAAGGAGCCCGTGGGGCCTTGACCAGACGCCAACACAATCTGTTCAGCACGGTACGGCGCCCTCAGGTCGCTGAAAGCTCCCAGAGGGCTTGCAAAAGCCCCCAGCACCCACTCATACCACCTATAACCACTCTTCTCCAATTTGCCGGAAATTTCCTCCTTCTCTTTCTCAGGAGCATTGTTCTCCTTTTCTCCACCCGACAGGGACGTCGCATCTCCTGAGAGGATCTCCACGCCTGAGCCGTCCATGCCTCCAAGAATCTCCGAATTACCCAGAATATATCCGCTGATAACTGAATCTGCAGCTGTGATGTGACGCGGGTGCGGCAAGGGGCCATGAGGAGCGGTGCTAGGCGAGGCAGGGGTTGGAGCAGAGCGGATGAAAGAGGAGGCGAGGAGGGAGGCGCTGAGGGCGATGCATGTGAGGGAGAGCGAGACTATGGCGAGGGCGAGCGTGCTGCGCGGGATGAGCGCGTGGTTGGGCCACGACAGCCTCGTCCACAGGCTGACAGGAAGCCCTCGCGACCTCATGAGGCAACGCCGAAAAGTAACTAGTAGTATGACAGGTAACGACGACCTCAAACTTTTCCAAGCAGTGCTTCAGGGCTGCTAGTGAAGGGAAAACAAAAGAAAGCGGAAAGGAGTTGAAAAATGGCTATATGATAAGGTGGGTCGATACTAATCGAGGAATCAGGTCGGAAGGACACAACGGAGGAACATATGGAAAGGAGCTTCAGAGGGGGATGAACAAGAAACTAACTGGAAGACTGACCTTGGAATTTCCGAATTCCAATTTCCGAATTGCGAAGCGCACATCGCGGTTCGATGTTCCGAGATTGGGACGGAATCCAGCTTTGCACGAGGTGGTTCGAAATTTCTGATTGGACGCGAATCGTGTCCCTTTCGCAGAGGCATGGCGTGGAGGTCAGACGAAGGACGACAGCTGGCGAACAAAACTCGTAACCCCAATCTCTCCGAACTTCACTCAAGACCCGCTATTGTTTCTCCTCATACACGTTAGACGATGTTGTTCAAAAAGAATCCTTCAGGAACGTTTCATTCTTATATGGACACAATCACACACAGACGAGCAGACAGCCTCAACCTCCGAAAGGTCAGGCAGTATCTTCAGAATGGAATCAGCACGTTGCCATATTGCACACCAAATCGATTCCAGTTATACGGCCCTGACGGGCCCACAACAACCCCACCCGGCCGCGACTGGTACTGCTGTTGCTGATACACCTGCATCTGCTTCTGCTGCACCATCCAGCTCGCCGCAAACATCGCATCTGCCCCTCCCGCAGACCTCGCAGCCGCAAAGAACCGCGCGTGCTGACTCAGCATGCGCCTCTGAAGCTCCATAGCCAGCTGCTGCTGCGCTCTAAGTGCCATCTGGACATACGGCGGCGGCGGGACTGCAGCAGAAGCCGCAAAAGGATCCCCATTCGCACCACCACTTCCACCAGCACCAGCAGCACTAGCGCCTACACCACTGCCTCCTGCTCCTCCCAATCTGGCTGCAGTGGCATCAGAGGCGTGTTTCTGTGCCTGTGCCGCCTCATACAGACTGTCCAGTAACAACTGGTCCCAGCCCCCAGAAAAGGCGGTCATGGGTGGTTGATCCAATGGGCTGCTGCCAGCTGTACCGCTTCCACCATTTAGCCTGGGAACGGCTAGTGCCCACTGCTGCTGCTGATGATGATGCTGATGATAAAGATGGGGTGCCTGTTGTCCTCCTTGCCCTTGCTGGCTTGGAGGCATGGATCAAGGAGGTACGAGCGACCTCCATGACCAAGCCAATGCGGCGCTCAGCAACCCCATTCTGCTGTGGAGAGGCCAGAAGCGTGAACGACTGGCGGATGCCATGCTCCGCACAGTAGGCTGCCAAGAGGTCGGAGGAGAACTCACCACCTCTGTCAGAGTGCAGACGCAGGACAGGAAAGTCCGAGTGGAACCGCTCGCTGAGCTGGAGACGAGAAGCGCGGATCCAAGGGATCAAAACATCAGGGACCTCACCCTTGGTGCGCAAGGGGAAGACCGTGGTGTAGCGCGAGTAGTCGTCAACAACGATCAGAAAGTACCTCTCCTGACCCTGTCCACGGACGCGGGCTGGGCCCCACACGTCCATGTGGAGCGTCTGCAAGGGAGCAGTCGTCGGGGGAAACGAGGAGGAGTGAGGAGCGGCGCGCTGCCGCCCCTCGACACAGGGAAGACAGGGAGGAGCAGGAGAGGGTGGGAGGGGAGGGAGTACCCGGAGAAGACCAGAGACAAGGTACCGTTTGTGCATGCCACGAAGGCGCTGCACTGACGGGTGACCAAGGCGGTGGTGCTAGAGGACGGTCTCGTGTGCTAGAGAGCGACACGAGCAGGGGGCAGACAGCTGACCTGAAGCAGACGCAGACGCAGCTACCTGAGGGGACTCAGTGGTCAGTGTGTACAGGTCCGACCCCGGCTGCCGAGTGAAGGTAGCCAGGTGACGACCCGTCCGAGCACACGTGCAGTGTGTCACGCGCTCGTAGGCAGGGGTGAACTGGTGGACACCACCGTCCTGGAGCGCACAACCCGCCACCAAGTTCGTAGAGAACGAGGGGAGGTGGAGTCCTGACAGTGTGCCCGACGGAACCGCAGGACAAGGAAGGACAGTGGAGGAGGTCGCAATGACCGGACCCCCAGAGGGGTCAGCAAGGGAGACAGCAACTGGCCGAGCAAGCTGCTCAAGGGCAGTGCGGTCACGAAAGAAACAGCGAGAAGCACCTGAGTCCAGTGTGAAGGTGTGCAGTGCCTCAGTAGACTCAGTACCAGGGGGGGCAGACTCACTAGCACCTAGAGCAGCAGCCTCACCAGCACCTAGGGCAACAGACGCACTAGCACCTAGAGCGGCAGCCTCACTGGTCCGAATGCCCGGGTCGGGCGGAACACGCAGGTACTGATCACCCTCTCCACTAGTAGACAACACATACATGGCAGTGAGAATAGCATCAAAGTCAAGAGCATAGATATCAATGTTCTTCTTCATCAGGTCAGCCCAGCGGGGCTGCTCAGTGGCAGTAGGGAACTGAGTGCGCCAAGCGTCGTCAAGGCGGGAGAAGCAGCGCTGCGTGGTGTGCGCCCTCCCACACGTCTGGCCAGTGCGGTCACCAGTGCGGATGACGTACGTGCAGCTAAGGCCACCCCCCCCCCCCCCCCCCCCCCGTGCTGAGAGTACCACTCACGAAGCTCCTGGGACGACGGAGAGTGCTGCTGGCTCTGGCCACCGCCAGCGCCTCCACGACCACCACCGCCGCCGCCACCACCTCGACCACCACCGCCCCTGCCACCTCCGCGTCCACCGCCACCCCAACCACCGCCCCCACCCCGGCCACCTCCTCCGCTGCTGCCGCCACCACCCCCACCGCTGCCACTAGCCCCTCCAGCCCCGCCACCGCCCCCACCGCCGCCACCGCCCCCACCACCGCCTCCCCCGTCGTCACCTCCACCTCCCTTGCCCCCTTTGCCCTTGCCGCTGCGGCGCCAGCTCGGAGCGGACGCAGTCCCGACCTGCTCAGTACCAACGAGGTCGACAGCAGCAGCAGAGGCGACAGAGGGGAGAAGGGGGGAAGGGGAACACCCCTCGAAGAAAGGGGTGCGGGGGTCGCCACGAGAGGCAGCTACAGCGACTATGCTAGTCTCAGCTGCAAGCAGTTCCTTCTCGAGCAGGTCAACGGTGAGCTCAGTGGGGCAGCGAGTGAGGAAGTGGTCCCTGACCGCACGAAGAGAGTCAAGGAGACGGGTGACCAGGTGGTAGAGAGTGAGCCAGAGCGGGGGGGGGTGGGTGGCAAGAAACTCAGCGGGCATAGCGGCACGGAAGCGGGCCTCACTAGTGCAGAGGTGCGTGATGAGGTCAGCGACTGTGGAGAAAGCGGACAGGTCGGGGAACAGGTAGGGGAGCGAGAGACGGCCTAGCGCAGCAGAGGCCGGTGAGGAGTAGCGTGCCACTACAGCAGTGTACAGTGCCTGCGCAGTCTTGTGCTGGCTAAAGTGCTCACGCTCATCTATCGGCAGGGAGTTGCGAATAGCGAAGCGTGTGTGGGCGTCACGAGTCTGCCACTGTGAACGGGCAAAACTGTCAGCAGTAGCAGCAGGGGCAGCAGCATGGCCTAGCGCGTGATCATAGAGTGAGATATCCTCCTTGGCAGTGAGCTGGAGGAATAGATGCAGGTCATCGAGCCAGGTCTCAAACTTCAGTGGGCGGCCCTCAGCATCAAAAGCTAGCACAGCAGGGCTAGCCATAGTAGCAGTAGGAGCAGTAGCAGCAGTAGCAGTAGTAGCAGTAGCAGTAGCAGTAGTAGCAGTAGTAGTTGGTGGGGCACAGTAGGGTGGCGTGGCTCGGTTCGGGCGGCGCGGCTCGGGCCGGGCGGCGCGGCTCGGTTCGGGCGGCGCGACTCGGTCGGGCGGCGCGGCTCGGTTCGGGCTACGCGGCACGGCGCGACTGTGGGCCTGCGTGTGGGTGGGTGTAGCGGGCGGGTCGCGGCCGTGCATGAACTGTAGTCGCGCGCGGGCGCCTAAGAGGGCGTCGCGGCGGTCTACGGGCGGGGCTGCAACGCTCCCGTGACCTGTATTATTAGTTCATAAACATAATATATATATATATATAAATAATATATATTCGAAATAGTGCGTGCTACCCATCGCTTATACTTCGTCCCTAGCCTCCCCATCATTCATGAAGAACATCATTAGCGGATCAAGGGTGGAGATTCCACCTCCAGTCGCATTTTCCTCCAAATGCTGCTTATCTCCTGCATATGCCGACCCTGCCGCATCCACAGTCTCTCCCCCAACCTCCATTCCCACTCCTGCTCCTCTCGAAAGCTCCATAAAGGGGACGGAACATCCATAATTCTCAAAACTGAAGCATGCTGTCCTGTCGATGTGAGAGAACGAGGTGGCAAGGTCCCCGACAGCAGCAGCTGCAGTGGGGTGTGTGTCTTGAGCCTTTGAAAGCAACCGATCCGCTGAGCAGTCAGGCAGAGGAAGGTCGAAACCTGCCGTGGTGTAATGCTAGAGAGCACACAGCTCGTCAACACAGAGACTTTCCAGAATAGGATGGTCAGAACTTGGCTGGTCCGACGAACTAGGCTGTTCCGCACTAGACTTGTCCAGACTAGGCTGGTCCGAACTAGGCTGCTCCTCCTCACTAGGCTGTTCCACCATAGAGTGCTCCGCTATAGAATGATCCGCACCACCGCTACTGTATACAGCCCCAGAGCCTGCTGCTGTGACTTCCTGCATCAATACATCTCCATTGCTGCTGCCAGCACCACCATTCTCAGTACTGTGAATTGTTGCTCTACCAGAGGCGTCACCATCCGAGGCTTTAAAACCGCCTTGCTCTGAGTGATTGGATCGAGGAAATCTGGCAGTACTGTGGAAGATGGTGGTAGGAGAGGCGAGGGGAGTGAGGACTGCAACACCAGCAGCATTGCGACCAGCAGCGCCAGCAGCGGCAGAAGAGCCGGCAGCAGCGCCAACAGCAATGCGAGCAGCAGCGGCTACAGAGGCGGAGGTGATAGCAGCAGGTGGTATGGGGGGAAGAAACGGACTGCAAGGTGCGACTCGGGTCGTCTCAAAAGGTGTTTTGATGGGGGGGAGAGACCGTATACAGATTGGGTGAGCTGGCTGGAAGGGTGTGAGTGGGACTTGCTGATGCTGCTGCAGCTGCTCTTGTTGCTGCATAAACTGCAACTGCTGCTGTAACTCTGACTGCTGCTGCTGCTGCTGCTGTGGCTGCGCCATCTGCTGTTCGACCAGCCGCAGCCTCTGCTGCCCTTCCACCTCTTTCCACCGCATCTGCTGATGCTGCTGGTGAGGGGAAACATGGCCATACCTGCTAGGCTGCTTGTGAGGCAAATCGTAAGGTACGTGTCTGAACCTGCTAGTATGGACCACCCGTGGTTGCTCTTCCAGATAATTCTGTAACCCTTGGGCGTAATTTCTGGCTGCCATTCCTGGTTGGTACATTCTCGCACCCGAAATTCCCGTGTCCAGCTGTCCCGCTCCAATTCGTCCCTGATCATGCGACCGAGATCGTCTGAACCTGTGCAGGAGGGAATGTGATTCTGTTGTGAGAGAATGGGGTGGGTTGGATGGAAGCCCAGCCACACCAGCAACGCCAACAGGTCTGGCAAATCCTGCAGCACTTGTAACATGAGCACCACCAGCAGCACCAGAACCACCTGCCACAGCAGGAGCACTGGCAACACCAGCAACAGAAGCGCTGATAACACCAGCACCAGCAACGTCAGCAACACACGCAGCACCAGGAGCACCAAGAACACCAACAGCACCAGCGGCACCGACATCGCACGCAGCACCAGAAGCAACGGCATCACCGGCTGCACCGGCAGCACCAGCAGCACAGGTAACACGTCCACTACCCACACTTGCACCTGCGGGAGAGACGCCACCCATAGGACCCACAACACCGGAATCACAAGCAACGTCAGCACCACTTGCGCCACTCACGCCACCAACACCACCTGTGCTGTGCACACAGGGCTGGGAATCAGGGGTTGAAGCACTGAGGACGGGTGGCTTCAGGGGGAAAGAAACACTGTGGCTCCGAGAAATAAGCGGCGAAGGTTTGGACTGAGGCTTCTGATGAGGCTTGAGTAGAGGCTCGCACCAAGGAGGGCTGGAAAGCTTGGAGATTGGATTGTCATTTTCCAAGGCTGGGGTGTGCCTCCTGAATGTCTGCAGCTCTGTACTGCCCTCCATGAACAGAGGTTTCTGAACGAGGCCTGCAGAAGCACACCGTGCAGCCGCCTTGCCCCTCCTGCGAGACGCCAGATCGAGAGAGTTGTGTCGCTGTAACCTTGGCGTGAGGTGCTGCTGCTGCTGCTGCTGCGCGTAAGGAATCAAAACATCAGAAGACCCAAGGGACATGGTAGAAGCATTCTGCATGCCATGACCGTATCTACCCAGCGGCATAAATGGGGGCATCATGACAGGCGGATACCGCATCGTTTCAGCATGCCAGCTAGGAAGCATGCTTGAAGCTGAACCTGCCATGTTGGGTACCTCCACCCCCGCCACCCCCGCCACCCCCACCACCCCCGCCACCCCCGCCACCCCCGCCACCCCCGCCACCCCCGCCACCCCCTCCACCCCCTCCACCCCCTCCACCCCCTCCACTGCCTCCTCTGCTTCCTCTGCCTCCTCTGCCTCCTCTGCTTCTTGAAAGGATGCGTCCCCACCAGCCATCACCACTTCCTCAGGCACCCCAATAATGAACCCCCTATAGCCTGCAGGTTCTCTTGTCGCTGCATGTTGCGCTGCTGCCAATGCTTGTTCCCCTGTCACTGCGTGCTGCACTGCTCCCATCGCCTGCTGCCCTGCTGCCATTGCTTGCTGCCCTGCTGCCAGTGCCAAGAGTCCTACAGCAGTTCCAGTCTGCTCCACACCCGAAAAAACGGACGGATCCGCTGCCGCACCTACCACCACACCTGCCCCTTGGTCCTGTTGACACTGTTGACTCTGTTGACCCTGTTGACCCCGTTGTCCCCGTTGACCCTGTTGACCCTGTTGACTCTGTGGACCCCATTGACGTTGTTGACCTGGCTGATGCTGTTGTGAGGATGGACCAGATTCTACAGACTGCCCCTGAAGTGACATGCTCTGTTGGTTTGCCTGCATTCCTGGAAACCTTGCCATCATGTAGTTTTCGTTACCACCCTTAGGTCGTATCCCTGGCTAGTGTCAAGATACTGTTGGTGTCAAGCGGGAAATTCGCTTGACACCAGGTGGAGCCGCGCCCGCACGCGGCTCCAGCCTGGTGTCAATGTTGGACACATTGGGCAATTTCCCGCGATCAGATTGGTCGGTTTAGCTGACACCAGGAGGACTAGTCCTCCATGCGTTTTCCGAGATAGTGTCATGACACTAACCACTCTTGACACTAGCCAGGGATACGACCTTAGTACAAAATATCTGCTGCTGACGCTTCTGAAACACCAAGTTACCTGTACTATCAGATATGCTTTGCATTATGCAGTTACCACTACCATTTTTACCTTCAAAACCCATAATACCTCCTTGCTCCGTCTCTATTGTTCTCTGATTCGACAAGCCTTGGTTTGAAGGACTGGTTTCATTACCCTCAGTTTCAGGAAGAAGTGTAGTAGCTGTGGATTTCTGGAGTTGTGTGGAGTCGGGAATTGCATGAGCTGAATCTCGCTGATGCAACCGGTGCTCCTGCTGGTGTTGTGGCGGCGACAGTGGCAACGGCAGCGGCAGAGGCAGGGGGAACGGCAACAACAAACGTTTTGTCTGCTCTTCTTGCTGCTGTGGCGGCAGTGGCAGTGGCAGTGGCAGTGGCAGCGGCAGCGGCAGCTGCGGCGGCAGTGGCAGCGGCAGCGGCAGCGGCAGCGGCGGCGGCAGTGGCAACAACAAGCGTTCTGTCGGTTGGTACTGCTGCTGCTGAGAATGGTGGATATGAGGCAGCTGATAGTAGTGCTCACTTGCCACCCATTCATCACAAGAAGCAAGGCCATCAAAATGCTCATCTATTCCTGGAGGCCCCCGTATACCGGCTCCATTCCTCATCTGCATTGCACCCTCCTCCTCCATCACCCCTTTCTTGCCGGTAATCCCTCTGCTTCCACCCATGTTTTCCTCTGCAGACATCTCCCATTCTTCCGCTTCCTCCTTGTCTTTCACCGCACCGAACCGACTTCCACCAATTGCCGTGCCTTCTTCAACCCCCACGGGCTGGTGAGAGTACCTCTCCGCAGACACGTAGGACTGCCCCCCTTCACCTGCTGTCACAGTGGTGAATCCCAACCCTCCAAACCTGCCTGAATCTTCTCCTGGCACATAAAATCCCGGAAACCCACTTCCGTCTACTCCAGCACACCATAAATCCTGCTGCTGGCTGGAGCAACATTCCATCGTAGCACCACCAAGGGTTGGTGTGACAACAGAGGTATGCAGTACACCAGAACGTGACCTGGAGCGGAAGGGTGGTGAGTGCATTTTCACCGGCATATGTAGCAGGAAGGGTGGAGTGTAGAAAAGAGGCAGATGTGAAAGGGGCCGAGTTGACAGGAAGGGTGGGGTGTAGGAAAGAGGCAGTGGCGGAAGCGGCAGAGGTAGACGGATGAGTGGAGTGAAAGAAAAGGGCAGATGTTGAAGGAGCAGACGTAGCAGGAAGGGTAGAGTGTAGGAGCGAGGACGAGGTGGAAGAGGAGGTGGATGGGGCAGAGGAGAAAGGAGCGGCTCTGCTTGAGCTGCTGCAGTTGACAGTGGAGCTTCCTTCAGGGGTGTTTGCTGGTCCCTCAGGGGTGTATGCTGGTCCTTCGGGGGTGTATGCTGGTCCTTCGGGGGTGTATGCTGGTCCTTCGGGGGTGTATGCTGGTCCTTCGGGGGTGTATGCTGGTCCTGCTCTACTGACTGCTGAAGCCTCTGCTGCAACACATACCCCTCCTACTCTTGCTACTGCTCCTCCTCCTGATCCTCCTCCTCCTCCTCCTCCTCCTCCTCCTCCTCCTCCTCCTCCTCCTCCTCCTCCTCCCCATCCTCCTCGTCCTTCCTCCCCTCCTCCTTTTCCTCCCCCTACACATGTTTCTGTAGCAGCCGCTGACACTGACCTACTTGTTCCCTCGCCAAACAAGTTCATCTCGGACTCGTCCACTACCAGCCATCCCCGCTTAGCACCTTCATCACGTGATGCTTCTTTCCCTTTCCCTCCAGCGTTACTAGAACCGCCCTCTCCAGCCCCTCCTAGTAGGGATTCCCCATCCTTCTGCATCCCCGGGCCACTACGCTCACCACCAGCCTCCCTTCCCGCCGTTTCCATCCTAGCCGCCGCCTCGCGCGCTGCAGGATTGGAATCGAGAATTCCTCCATCTTCCTTGATAAATTCTTCTGGAAAGTTAAGCTTCGCCGTTGATCCCCGGATGTTGAAAGCAGCTTCATCAAACGCCCGAGCAGCCTCCTCTGCAGATGAAAACGTGCCCAGCCACCTGCGGACCCCATGAGTGGTGTCTTTAATCTCTGCAATGTAGCTTGACGCGCCACGCTTCCTCACTCCCCTATACTTCCCTTGCTGGTTGTAGTTTCGGTTGCGTGTCAGTATTGTGCGCCTGACTCCAGACCCCGATGGGCTTGCAGCAGTGGCAGCCTCATCTTGTTCTAGTGGTTGGTGTAAGTGTGGCTGTAGCAGTGTAGGTGCAAACTGCTGTGGCATTAGCTGTTGCTGCATCTGCTTCTGTCGCCGTGTCTCAATCCTTGACTGTGTCAGCTTCCCCTGTTGCATCTGCTGCTTTTCCATTTGCCGCTGTTGGCTGTGCTGCCTTCGCACCTGCTGTGGTTGCATCTTCTGATTTTCAATCTGCTGCTGTTCCATCTGCTGCTGTTGTATCTGCTGCCGCGGCATCTGCTGCTTTGGTGACTGCTGCTGTGGTGGCATAATTTGCCCCTTTTGTAACTGCTCTCTCGGCATCCGTTCAAGTCCTGATGCATCCCCTAACCCACCCTGCCTGATTTCGTGTACTTGTCCATCATGTTCCATGGCTCCATCATATTCCATGCGTCTCGAAAATTGGGAGGAGACCCAACTCACCCCCAATGCAGGTACATCGGGCTATCTACACCAGCTTCACGCAAAGTCGCCCCAATCACGGCCCAAAGTTACCACTGCAAAGTGCAGAGCAAATATCACAGAGTAATCCAACGATTTTTTTGTCCCTTTTCCCGAATAGATTATCTTATTAGATTCCACTGGAATGAGGAAGTGTTTGTTCCCAGATTCAGCAAAAACAAAGATCCTTTTTGAGAAGAAAAAAATGATGCGTCTTAGACGTTAGTCTGACTCGAGCACATTCGAAGGGCTAACAAGTCTGAGCGTAATCTCATTTTGCAGCCATAGTCGGCAGAAGGGGTGATAACTTGTGTGGTTCATCGTTAAGTTGTTGTTACTGGTGGCAGCATCATCCACGCGCTCAGAGTCCGAAAAGAGGAGCTTTGTCTGCTATTGTAGCAGCAGATGTGTAGGTGGCATTTCCTGCCGGAGAATTTTCTGTACTATAGTAGTACGACTGTTATGGGGTATTGAGATCATTGCGCGTTCGGATATGCTCTGTTGCTCCAGTGGAGCTTCTCAGCCGGGAAGAGAGCATGTGCTGGATCTGTGGCTGTCTGTGCCTCGGTTCGATACGCTTAGTTGCAAGATTGTGGAACTCCAGGGTTTCCTAAAGTATACCCCCCTCTTTAATATGAAGCGTCCGAAACCACCTTTGGTTTCGGAAAAAACATAATAGTTTGCCCGGGGGTGTGTAAGTGGTGGTAGTGAAATTAGCTAGGGAGTGATCAAGGTGCTGTGCTGTGCACTGCAAGGTGTGTGGAGTGCACTCATCCAGGTGTTGTGATCTGACGCCTCCTTCCTCACAGTTTGGAGGATAAGCTCACTCGTGTTGCGTGTGGTTGGAGCATAATGAACAGTATTTTCTCAACGAGCTCGTCCAACAATCCCCACAGTCTGAGGATGTTGGGTAAGTAGCTTCGGCGGGGGTACTACTAGCGACCCTGCGCTTTCCAGGGAACTACAGTGCTAGTTGCGGGCACTTTCGGCCCCTCTGACCCTCAGACAGGTAAGTTATGGCAACAGCACAGAACTCGGTCCCACATTCACCCACGTGTCACAAATTCGAGAAAATTAGAGAACGCAGGGCAGAAAAAAATAAAACCCATAGGGAACCTGGACTCATTTTCGGGAGGGATCAACCCTAAATACGGGAACTCACATTTTTTAAAGGGTTGATGCCTCCCCGAGACGCATCCCTTTCCGATTGGGTTTTAGTTTTGTTTTGGTCAGGTTTTTCTAGTGGCTTGCAAATTTGTGACAGGCAGGTCGATTGCTAATGCAGCAAGTCGGCGGCCCACCATCGCAGCAAGTCAGCGGCCCACCAGCGCAGCAAGTCGGTGGCGTACCAACGTAGATCGATGGCGGCTTGCCAGCACTGCAAGTCGGCGACCTGCCAGCGATGCACCAAGGCGGCTCGCCAACGCTGTAGCAAGGCGGCTTGCCAGCGTTGCAACCGCGTGTAACCATAGCGCATGTGCGCACTCACTTCGCAGGTACGTATAGGCGGTTGAGCACATTGCCCATCGCCCCTGACATTGCGCGAGCGCCAAGTCAGTCACGTGCTGACTGTTGCGCCTGATGAGCCATGTCAACCTCGGGATACCAGCCCGAGGTCAGCTTCGCGAAAACTCATGGGTGACGTCCGCACTCCTCCGAAGAACCTCGTCGCCCGGGTTACTTGGTCGACTGGGAAACTGCCAAGTCGGTACCGACTTGGGCGATAGGAGCTCGCAACCTGATGTACATGCGGGTCGATTGCCCAGGTCGATGCCACCTGTCGACTTTACCAAGTCGTTGTCACCGCAGGTCGACGAACCCCTTCGTTGACCACACTAGTCGAATTCTGCCGCCGACTTCCCCTCGTCGGTGGCTTTGCAGTGGTTCCGCGCAGGTCGACCAAGTCCGTCGACTTGCTCACCCAAGTCGGCGTCGACCACTGCAGGTAGTCGGCTGCATCTCCCGTGCACCCGACCACGAAGCCGGCTTCGCCCAAACGAGGGCGGGGCCAACTCCTGTCAACATGGTGAAGGGCTTCACGAAGGTCTACAACGTTGACTACGAAAAGACGTACGCGTCGGTCGGGAGCTACGACACGCGTATACGTCCTCAAGCAGAGCCTGCTGCTGTGGCACTTGGCGTTCGATGGCGTGCTGACTGGCGCCGGCTAGAGCAAGATCCAGGTAGACGAGGCTCTCTACTTCAAGGTCGGGGAGTGGCGTGCTGGGTGCTCGTCTACGTCGACGATCTGCTTGCCTCCAGCACCATCATCGCGATGCTGAAGGAGTTGCGCAAGCTACTGGAGAATGCCTTTGAGCTACGCGAGATCTTCCTGGTCGATAAGTACATTGGGCTGGAGATTATGGGGGGCCAACCTGCACAGAAGCTGTGCCTGCACTAGCAGTACCACATCGACAAGTTGTGGAGGCGTTTCATTAACGACGAGCTGACTGGTCGGCATCCCAAGACGCCGGTCTCTGTCGACGCCTACGCCGAGCTGACATTCGACGACGAGGACTTCCAGGAGCGCGATGAAGAGGAGTACATATAGAAGGCCAGCTCGCTGCAGTTTGCTGCCACGACAACTCGGCCTGGCATCGCCTTCGCGTGCAGCAACCTATGGTCCGGCCTGACGGTGAGGAGCGACCAGCACTTGCGGGAGGTCGACTGCTGCCTCTCCTACATCGCCGACATGCAAGATGTTGCCCTGGAGTTTGAAAGGGGACCTGAGTCGCTGAATCTGGTCAGCTTTGTTGACTGGAGTTGGCCCTGGCCTCGCTTGGGCGAAGTTGACTAGTGGTCGGGTGCGCGAGAGGTGCAGCCGACCGATTTCTGTTGTCAACGCCGACTTACGGAGACTAAGTCGACGGGTTTGGTTGACTTCCACGAGATTACTGCGGAGCTGCCGACGACGGGAATTCGGCGGCCGACTTCGACCAAAGTGGTCGACGAAGGAGTTTGTGCATCAGTTGGCGGGCTCCTACCGCCCAAGTCGGCGTCGAATTGGTGGTTGCCGACCTGGGTGGTCGACGAGAGGGGTTCGTCTACCAGGGTGGGCACTGACTTCAATGGTGGTCGATGATGGATGTCGCCAACCAGGAGGGCGCCGGGAACTGTACCTAGTCGGCCAAGTTACCCGTCGACGAGGCTCTGCGAGGTAGCGCGAACGTCGTCGAGGTTGCTGTGGCGAAGTCGACCGACGTGGCAGCACGTGGTCGACGTGGCTCATCAGGCGCAAACGTCGGCATGTGGCCGACTTGGCTGTTGCGCGATGTGCGCGACGGTGCGTGTCGTGCACAACCGCCTACAACCACCTGCGAAGTAGGTGCGTGCACATGCGCATACGGTCACCTGCAGTTGCAACGCTGGCAGACCGCTCTACTGCAGCGTTGGCAAGCCGCTCTGGTGCAGCGCTAGCAGGCCGCCGACTTGCTACGTTGACAAGCCGCTCTTCTGCAGCATTGGCATGTGGCTGAATTGCTGTGATGTCAGGTCGACAATTTCGCTGCGTTGGCGGTCGACCTGCCTGTGTGCTCGGCAAACCTTGCATTTGATGTAGTTTTTCTTGCAATTGCTTGTTCAATAATTGTTTCTTTACTTTTGCTATTGAAACTCTTGCTGTTTTGCCTCGTGAACGCACAAGTGCTAAAGAATACAGGGAAGGCTACGATCACTCCTACCATCGTGCTTCCCCGGAGTCTAGCTCCCACCGATATAGAGTGACTCTCCGCAGGCTTCGCAGATGCCGACATCGCCGGCGACAAGAAGACGCATAGCACCACGAACGGTTGCGTCTTTGTCTTTGGCGGCGCCGCTGACTCCTGCCAGTGCATCAAGTGCGTAACCCTTTCCTTGACAGAGTCGGATTACATCGCGGCCACCGAAGTAGGCAAGGAGGCTCGTGGTCTCCGTTTTCTCCTCGCCGAATTTCAGAATCTCGATGTTGAGGCGCCAATTGTCCTGAACGTGGACAACCAGTTGCCTATCGCGGTCGCTGAAGGCTTGGGTCTCAAAGGCAACCTCAAGCACAACGAGCGACTTCCTCACGAAGGCGTTAACCTTTCCAGCCTTAAACTGGTGCTCCGTCGCAGTCAGCCAAGTAAGTCTGGCCGATGTCGGCGATGGTGACGACGATGTGCAGCACTATGTGCCATGTCTTTCAACATGGCTAGTGCGGTGACCGGGGTGCTGGGTGTACACGCGGACGAATATCCTCCTGTATTCTACTACGTAGGTACTCGGCAGACTTGCGTGTGTGTGGGTGCCCAAGCTTGAGCTGGGAAAGGGAGTGTTGACGAGAAATGGCCCTGCCCTCGCTTGGGCAAAGTCGACTTCGTTGTCCAGCCTGCAAGATGTGCAGCAAGCTAGGCTTCCTGGTCGGCACCGCCTTGGAGGAGCAAGTCGGCTTGGTTGGCCAACCTCAGTGGAGCTGACTCCTGCGCAGCCGACTTCGACGGTTAGCTGACTTTGGTGAAGCCGACCACTGCGAAGCCAACTTCAACGAATGGCGAAGCCGATTTCGTGGTCGATGTCGACTTGGAGGAGCAATTTGGCTTGGGTAGCGGAAGCCATTGCTATGCTAGTTGGCATCGACTTGGAGGAGCAAGTTGGCTACGCTCAAGCCAACTTGTTTGGCATCGAGTTGGAGGACCAAACCAATGCTACGCTCAAGCCAACTTGCTCCAACTTCGTCGAAGACGCCTGGGATGTCTTGGGCGCTGCCTCCGTCCATGGGCCATGCCGGGAGCGCTTCTTCCTAGTCAGTGTGGACGACTACTCTCACTACACCACGGCGTTTCCTTTGGAGTGGAAGGCCGACGTGCCTGACATTCTCCTCCCGTGGCTAGTAGCCATCCGCACCCAGCGCGCCCAGCATGTGCCCTGCCTACGGTTCGACCGTAGTGGCAAATTCGCCTCCGGTCGCCTTGGCCAGTTCTGTCGTGCAGAGGGCATCACCCATGCGTACTTGCTCCCGGACTCGCCACAACAGAATGAGGTGGCTAAGCGTAGCATTGGCTTGGTCACGGAGATCGGCCGTACCTCCATGATTCATGTCAGTGGCCGTTTGCAGTCTGCTACGCTGCGCACCAGCTTAACATGTGGCCTCGTTTCCCACGACCGCATGTTTCGACGACCCTCCTCTGGAATGCGTCCCCTAGTGTTGCATCCCCGCTTCGTGTCTAGGGTTTCCTTGCTCACGTCCGCGACCCTCTCGCAGACAAGCTCTCAACCTACACTCTCCTGTGTGTCTTCCTTGGTTTCCCCCTTGACGCCCCTGGCTGACTGTTCTACCACCCTTAGTTTCATTGCTTCCTCCGCTCTCGTGACGTCACTTTTGACAAGTCCGTCTGCTTTTACACTCGCTTCCCTCACCGACGTACTTCAGTCCCCCCACCCCTCCTCTCCTTCGCACTCCCACTCCTCCACTCGCTCCCCTAGCCCAGCGTCCTGCCCCATCTGGTTTGTCGCACGTCACCCCCTTCCCTCGGTTAGGCCTGTGGGGAAGTTTGCTAACTTTGGAGGCCCTGTACGCGAGGGTGAGCCTCTTGTGTTCGCACCTACGCCGCCTCTCCCCTATCCCCCACCCCTGCTACAACCATTGCGCAGTCTCTGCCGTCACCGCATTGTCCTTGTAGTTGTCGCAGGAGCCTTCAATGTCATGGCGCCATCATTGCCGCCACAATTGGTCCCTGTGGACTTAGGGGGTGATGCCGTTGGGGATGTTGTTTCTTGGGGTGCTGCCGCTGTGGGTGCTGGCTCTGGGGGTGCTGGAACCGGTGTTGCTGGCACTGGGAGTGCTGAATCTGGGGGTGCTGCCAAATTTTGTACTGGGAGTGCTGTGGGCGCGGGAAGTCCGATTCCACAACAGCAGCAGCCATGCCGCCGCCGCCCGTGTCTGCACTTCGCCTTCTTCGTCCTTTTTCTGTATCGGCTGACCAACCACCTGCCCATCCTCTGTCCTAGAGGACTGGCAGTATGAGCTGGATTTCCTTGCGGCCACTGCTCCTCATCTCTCCGCCAAGCTGCTAACCCTTGAGGGTGACCCAAACTCTCTTTATGTCCCGACCCCCCCACACCTATGATGAGGTAGTCTCGGGGCCCTACGCCTCTTAGTGGATGGCATCCATGGACGTAGAGATGTCATCTTGGAGGTCCACACACACCTATGTCGATGCCATGGTTTTCCTATGTCAAGAGCCTAGACTAGAGGGCGGAGCAAAGCTCATCCAACCGTGGTAGTTCCTGCTGCATAAGTTGCATCAGCATGGCCAGGCAGGCGTAGTATACTTGGCCTCAGCGGGCAATGATACTTGCACAAAGGCCCGCCTCGTATTCATTACCACTTGGCCTTGTCCCAGCGGTACCTCACTTGTTAAACTCTTGATCCTGTACACTTACTGGGTATGATTTCGTTTAGTTAGACCCACTGACTGGCCTTATGGTCTTTGTCTCAAAGGGCTAGGCTAGTAGTACCGCCCTGAGTTGTACATCAAACACTTTGTGGTTCTTGCTAACTGGCCTTGTGAATCCTTCCCTCAGAGGCTGGACTAGTAGACCTCCCTGAGTTGTTTCTCATTTTCTAGGCAATGTCACTTACCTAGCCCAGAGGGTGTGTCAACGTATACATATACATGTGCATGTGTACCTTGTAGCCAGGTTGGGTCGCATTATAGAGAGTATGGGATGCTAGATATACCCACGTTTGTACACCCCTCACCATTCATTTCTGTGTCTGACAGGTTTTTCGTAGCCCACACACTATTGAGCACGAGGGAAGACACAATTTTACATTGCACCCTGGACATGCATCACCATTCTCCGCATTGATTGAAGTCCACACACTTGTAACCTAGCCCATCAAGAGCCAGTAGATTTATCGTCCGTTCCCCATGCTTCCTCTCCTGTCTCTTGCCACATGTCTTCTCTACCCGTATCGTGTCCCATTTCTACAGCCCTGGTTTGTTTGTTTGTTTGTTTGTTTGTTTGTTTGTTTGTTGTTGTTGTTGTTGTTGTTGTTGTTTTTTTTTTTTTTTTTTTTTTTTTTGTGGATAAGTGAAATAATATTCCTATCCTAAAACATGATGTCTTTATCACCACAATGATTATTCCCCATTATCCATTAACAACATTTCAAGCGGATCAATGGTGCAGATTCCAGCATCAGCGGCACTCACAGTCAGATGCTGAAAATCTTCTGCATATCCCATCCCTCCCACATCCATAGCCTCCCCCCCAACATCCAATCCTACACCTGTTGCTCCCATAAAATGGACAGAGCATGCAGAATTCTCAAAGGCGCAACAAGCTGTTTTCTCAATGTGAGAAAACGGTGTAGTGAGATCCATTGCAGAAAATGCAGCGTGCTGCTCATCTTCAAGAAGCAGCAGATCCACTGAGGAGTGAGGGAGACGAAGGTCCAAATCTGCCATGATATGCTGCTGGGCAGAACACAGTTCGCCAGAAGTAGGCTGGGCAGCGAACAGTTTCTCGGCACAGAGCATTTCCAGATTAGGCTGGGCTGCGCACGCCTGGTGCTTGCCATCCTGTTCCCCACCGGGCTGGTCCACACTAGGCTGGTCCACACTAGGCTGTTTTGCACTAGGCTGGTCCAAACTAGGCTGTTCTGCACTAGGCTGATCCGCAGTAGGCTGGTGCAGACCAGTCTGCTCCCCACTGGGATGCTCTGCAGCAACAACACTGTACGGCACTTCGAAGCCTGCTGCTGTACAGTTGTGCATGAAAACTACTCCTCCACTGCTGTCCGCGCCTTTAATTTCCATGCAGATAGTTTTCTTAGAGACAGCATGCGCCAAGGCTTCAACACACCCCTGCTCTGTGCTGTTGAACCCATGCAAGCTGGTTGTACAATCAAAGATGGTGGGTGGAGAGGCGGAAGGAGGAAGGATCGGAACTCCTGCAGCAGTGCAATTAGCAACGGGGGCAGCTGCGCCAGCAGCAGCGCCAGCAGCAACACAACTGCCTCCATAAACGTTAGCAGCAATACTGGTAGCAGCTGTGAGGGTGGAGTTCGGAGCAGCAGGTATTATGGGGGTAAGAGACTGTTTCAGGGGAGGGCGGGCTGGCTGGAAGTGCGCGAGGGGCACTTGCTGCTGCCGCTGGATAAGATGCGACTGCTGCTGTTGGCGGTGGTGGCACTGCTCTTGCTGCTGCACTAATTGCAACTCATTCTGCTGAATGGCATGCGACTGCTGCTTCTGCTGCTTCTGCTGCTTCTGCTGCTTCTGCTGCTGCTGCTGCTGCTGCTGCTGCTGCTGCTGCTGCTGCTGCTGCTGCTGCTGCTGCTGCTGCTGCTGCTGCTGCTGCTGCTGCATGGCATGCGACTGCTGTTTCAACTTCTGCTGGTCACCGCGGGCAACATCAGCACCGGCAACAGCAGCATCGCTGGCAACATCTGCTGCACAGGCAACATCAGCAACACTGGCGACACCTGCTGCACTGGCAGCTCCCGCATTATTAGCAGTACCAGCAGCACGGGCAGCACCGGCAACACAGGAAGCAACACCCATACCACCCACAGCACCCATACCACAAGCAGCAAAAGCACCAGTTGCAACGCTCACGGCACCCACACCACCAGTGTTTCCCACAGACGGCTGGGACTCAGGGGTTGATGAACTGGAGACCCGCTGCTCCAAGGGAGAAGATACGCTATGGCTTCGAAAGATCAGAGGTGCAGGTTCGGAATGAGGCTTACAGTGGGACTTGAGTAGAGAGTCTGACAGTGAAGGGCTGGAGATCTTGTTGGCTGTGTGGCTGATTTCCAAGTCTGAGGTGCGGCTCCCAAATGTTTGCGGCTCTCTACACTCCGTCATTGGGAATGGAACACCTGTAAGGTCTGAAGAAGGGCTCCATGCAGCTGCCTTGATCCTCCTTCCAGCCATCAGATCTAGAGAGCCTTTTTGCAAGACACGGGATGCTTGGCACTGATGCTGCTGCTGCTGCTGCTGCTGCCAATGCTGTTGCCGCTGCTGCTGTTGCTGCTGCTGGTCCTGACGGTCAGCACCAGCAACACCAGCAGCACTAGAAAAACCGGCCTTACCTGCAGAACCAGCAACGCTGGCACCACCGGCATCACTGGAAGCAACATCCACACTGCAAACCACGCCTCCACCACCCTTAGCACCCACAGCACCCATACCACAAGCAGCAAAATCACCACTTGCAACGCTCACGTCGCCCACGCCACCAGTGTTTACCACAGACGGCTGGGACTCAGGGGTTGAAGAACTGGAAACCCGCAGTTCCAAGGGGGAAGATACGCTGTGGCTTCGAAACATCAGAGGTGCGGGTTCGGAATGCGGCTTGTGATGGGCGGTGAGTAGAGAATCGGAGAATGAAGGGCCGGAAATATTGTTAGCTGTGTGGTTGTTTAGCAAGTCTGAGGTGTGGCTTCTAAGCGCATGCTGCTCCCTCCACTCCTCCATGAGAGAAGGTGAACTCGTGGGGTCTGCAGAAGGGTTACATGCAGCTGCCTTACCCCTCCTGCCAGATGTCAACTCCAGACAATTTTGTTGCCAGAAGCTTGACGCATGGCGCTGCTGCTGCTGTTTCTGCTGCCGACCCTGCTGCGGCCCCTGTTGTCGCTGCTTCTGCTGCTGCTGCTGCTGCTGCTGCTGCTGCTGCTGCTGCTGCTGCTGCTGCTGCTGCTGCTGCTGCTGCTGCTGCTGCTGCTGCTGCTGCTGCTGCTGCTGCTGCTGCTGCTGGTGCTGCTGCTGCTGCTGCTGCTGCTGCTGCTGCTGCTGCTGCTGATGCTGTTGCTTCTGCTGCCGCCGCCACTGTCGCTGCTGCAGCCGATGTGTCTGGTGACGCTGACGCGGCGGTCTGACACATATAGAAGACATGCGGGACATGGTAAATCCATACTGCATGCCATGGTCATCCCTCCAGAGCGACTCGAACGGGGGCACCATGGCAGGCGCATGCTGCATCATTTCAGCATGCCAGCTTGTGATCATGTTTGAAGCTGGGCCTGCCGTTGTCATGTTGGGTACCTCCACCATCTCCTCTGCTTCTTGCACCGATGCATCCTCTCCTTGCATCATCAATTTCCCAGATACAGCGACATTGTAATCCCAGGTAGCAGGAAGGGTGGAGTGTAGGAAAGAAGTAGAGGTCGAAGCGGCAGTGGAAGGAGGAAGGGTGGAGTGTAGGAAAGAAGTAGAGATGGAAGGGGCAGTGGAAGGAGGAAGGGTGGAGTGTGGCACATCGGTGGAGGCGGAAGGGGCAGAGGCAGCAGGAAGGGAGGAGTGTAGGAAAGAAGTAGAGATGGAAGGGCCAGTGGAAGGAGGAAGGGTGGAGTGTAGCACATCGGTGGAGGTGGAAGGAGCAGAGGCAGCAGGAAGGGAGGAGTGCAGGAAAGAAGTAGAGATGGAAGGGCCAGTGGAAGGAGGAAGGGTGGAGTGTAGCACATCGGTGGAGGTGGAAGGAGCAGAGGCAGCAGGAAGGGAGGAGTGCAGGAAAGAAGTAGAGATGGAAGGGGCAGTGGAAGGAGGAAGGGTGGAGTGTAGCACATCGGTGGAGGTGGAAGGAGCAGAGGCAGCAGGAAGGGAGGAGTGCAGGAAAGAAGTAGAGATAGAAGGGGCAGTGGAAGGAGGAAGGGTGGAGTGTAGCACATCGGTGGAGGTGGAAGGAGCAGAGGCAGCAGGAAGGGAGGAGTGCAGGAAAGAAGTAGAGATGGAAGGGGCAGTGGAAGGAGGAAGGGTGGAGTGTAGCACATCGGTGGAGGTGGAAGGAGCAGAGGCAGCAGGAAGGGAGGAGTGCAGGAAAGAAGTAGAGATGGAAGGGGCAGTGGAAGGAGGAAGGGTGGAGTGTAGCACATCGGTGGAGGTGGAAGGAGCAGAGGCAGCAGGAAGGGAGGAGTGCAGGAAAGAAGTAGAGATGGAAGGGCCAGTGGAAGGAGGAAGGGTGGAGTGTAGCACATCGGTGGAGGTGGAAGGAGTAGAGGTCGCAGGAAGGGAGGCGTGTCGAAAAGAAGCAAAGGGAGAAGGGGCAGAGGAGAAAGGGGCGGTTCTGTCGGAGCTGCTGCTGCTGAAAGTGGAGCTGCAATAAGGAGAATAAGCTGGTCCATTCTGAACACTGACTGCTGGCGCTTCTGCTGCTATGCACACCCCTCCTGCCCCCCTTCCTCCTCCTCCTCCTCCTCCTCCTCCTCCTCCTCCTCCTCCTCCTCCTCCTCCTCCTCCTCCTCCTCCTCCTCCTCCTCCTCCTCCTACTCCTTCTCCTCCTCCTTTTCCTCCTCCTCCTTCTCCTCCTCCCTCGTCTGCAACTTTACCAAGTAACGCTGACCCTACAGTACCTGATCTTTCACCAGCTTCTGCTGCCACCATTCCCACTGCCTTACTTGTTCCTTCTCCAAGCGACTTCATCTGGCCCATGTCCACTCCCAGCAATCGCCCTTCCGCAGCATCTTCAGCATATTCTAGTACTTCCTTCCCTTTCAGAGCTCCTAGATCTCCAGGGCTCCTAGAACCGCCCTTTCCAATCTGTCCTAAGGAATCCCTATTCATAGAAAATCCCATGCCTTTACTCTCAGCAATACTACTATCGTAGAAAACCGTAGCTGCCGTGCCTTTACTATCTGCCTCCCGCCCTGCTGCTCCTAGCTTTGGAGGATTGGAACCCAGAACTCCTCCCCTTTCCTTGATATACCCTTTCGGAAAGTTAAGCTTCGCCGTTGATCCTCTGAGGTCAAAAGCAGCTTCATCAAACGCCCGAGCAGCCTCCTCTGCAGTGTTGAAGGTGCCTAGCCACCTGCGGACCCCGCTAGTGGTGTCTTTAATCTCTGCAACGTACTTGAACTCTCCTCGCTTTCTCACTCCCCGATACTTTCCTTCCTGGTTGTAGTTTCGGTTGCGCGTCAATGTCGTGCGCTTGGCTCCAGAACCCGATGGGTGTGCACCAGCAGCAGTCTCACGTTGCAGTATATGTGTCTGTAGCAGCGGCTGTATCTCCAAGAACACTGGCTTAGCCTGTAGCTGTGGCTGTAGCTGCTGCAGTTGTGCTGTATAGACTGGCTGTGGTACAAACTGCCGTGCCATCTGCTGCTGCTGCATCTGCTGCTGTTTCAGCTGCTGCTGCTGCTCTGGTTGCATGGTCTCCCTCCGAGCAGGCTGATTTCGCGTCATTATCTGTTGTTGCCAACGTAATTTAACCTCCGCTTTCCCACCCTGTCTCTTTTCCATCTGCTTTTGGCACTACAAAACTATTGCTACTACCACACCAGAAGTCGCTGCCCTGGATCCGTCCCCCCGAAGCTCTTGTGAATGGCCTCTGGAAAGTTTTATCAGAATCACCTTATAAGATGGGGGCAATGTGGCCCAGAAGTGGCCTCTAAAGCAGATATGGTGATCGGCAGACTTTGGCTTTGCGATACCATCCTAGACAGCAACACCTTTGCCTCATCACGGGTGGAGGGAGGAGGGGGGAAGGAGGGGTGGGAGTGGGTGGATTGAGAGGGGCACCTATCTCGAATTGACCAACTTATCCCCAAAGAGACAGTGGGGTAAACCTGTCCCAAAAAGTCGCTCAGAGGTGTTGATACCTGCGGATTGAAGTGGCCAGAAGAGTTGGAGGCTGGAGGACCAACTTGGTACTAGTTGAACTATCCAAAAAAACTGACTCCAATCCAATCTCAAATGGAGAAGCGCGCACAAACAGGAGGTTGTTATCGAGTCGGACGGCTCACATGATTTTTGAAAATTATTTTGTCACAATAGAAAGTGACGGAATGCACAGCAGTCGCCGCCTAACAGTACAAAATTAGCCGAAATATATGTTTGCTGCTGATAAGGGCGCGGCACCAGACTGCTCTCGGAGACTACCTACTAGTAAGGATCAGTTTAACTTCAAGTCGAAGCCAGTCTGCTACTATAGACTCTAGTCGGTCCAACTTAGCCAAAATGGCAACCCTTCAATCGTCTGTCACAGAAAATATACTTGGATCATGCGACAACCTCGTAGAGATTCCCGCTTCCGGGCAGTCCGGAAAAACAAACGCTAGGTGGGTCCGATTCAGTCCGACTTGGTCCGGAAAAAAACTTGGTGGGTCATCGCACCACGTCCCCGCACAGCGGAAAAAGGAACTTCCTTTGAAATGCACCAAGGTTTTCCCTCCACAAACCTTAGGGCAAGTCACTGCTGGTGAGGATTCCTCCTCCACCCTCATTCTCGACCTACAGTTGCGGGCAAAGTCGCACGAGGCGACGAGCATGCCTTGGGGCGTTAAAGCCCGCGTCTCATATTTCACAACTCCCAACCAAGTGTAATACGCTTGAAACCGGGTAACCACTCAAGCTGTCGCAACTTTGTTGGGTTTGGTTGGGAGCACTTGCGATTGGCTGCAGCCCCAACAGGCTGGGCAAGGCAGGTGCACGACTACCGAACTGCATTCGCGCGAAACACACCACCAAGTGCGACGAAGGCAGAGCACACAGGGACCAAACGTAATACCACAGCAGGAATAATATGAGACAGTTGAGCAACCACTTTTCATTCCAGCCCCAGTCACTTTCCAACAACTTAGTTTAGCCTAGGGTTTGTTCATGGCTGTTCAGTACTATTTTGTACAAAATTTCACGCAGTTCTGCAGTGTTCGGACGGCTCATCGTATCGGTCGATCGTAAGGCTATTGCCTTACGCGAAAACCAGGAGGAAGAACCGGTACAAATAGAATGTAAGGGATTGCATAGCAATAGCATATCCGCACGCGCGACAAGGGACGAAAAACGACGGAATGAACGATACGGAAAGGGACGCGACGGGACGGGAAGGGATGCGACGGAAGGGGAAGGGACGCGACGATGCGGGAAGAGACGTGACGGGACTGGACAGGACGCGACGGGACTGGACCGGGCAGGACGGGACCCGATGGAACGGGGGGGGACTCGACGGGACAGGACGTGACGGGACGGGAGAGACGGACGGGATGGACGCGACGGAACGAAATGGGACTTGAAGGGACGGGAGGAAAAGGGAGGAGACGCGCCGAAATTGAGGAGAACCTCTCCCTTCCTCCATACCTCTCTCCCTTCTCCGCATCCCCCTTCCCTTACCCCATCTCCCTGTCCCTTCCCCCATACCTCTCTCCCGTCTCCGCATCCCCCTTTCCCTTCCCTTCCCCCATACATCTCTCCACTCCCTCCCTTTCTCTCCCTTCTCCGCATCCCCCTTCCCTTACCCCATCTCCCTCTCCCTTCCTCCATACCTCTCTCCCTTCTCCGCATCCCCCTTCCCTTACCCCATCTCCCTGTCCCTTCCCCCATACCTCTCTCCCGTCTCCGCATCCCCCTTTCCCTTCCCTTCCCCCATACATCTCTCCACTCCCTCCCTTTCTCTCCCTTCTCCGCATCCCCCTTCCCTTATTCCATCTCCCTGTCCCTTCCCCCATACCTCTCTCCCGTCTCCGCATCCCCCTTCCCTTACCCCATCTCAGTTTCCTTCCCCGCAATCCCCCCTTCCCTTCCCCATCCCCCTTTCCCAGCCCAATTTCCTCCTTTCTCCCCCTTGCATCCCCTCCTTTCACCCCCCCTGTATTCCCTCCTTCCCCCCCTTTATTCCCTCCTTCCCCCCCCTTTATTCCCTCCTTCCCCCCCCTGTGTATTCCCTCCTTCCCCCCCCTGTGTATTCCCTCCTTCCCCCCCCTTGTATCTCCTGCTTCCCCCCCCCCCCTGCTTCCCCTCCTTTCCCCCCCTTGATTTCCCTCTTTCCCCCCCCCTGCATTCCCTCCTTCGGGTCCTTTGCTTCCCCTCCTTTCCCCCACCCAATCCCCTCCTTTCTCCCCCTTGCGTCCCATCCATTACCCCCCCCCTGTATTCTCTCCTGTTCCCCCCCTGTATCCCCTCCTTTCCGCCCCTGCTTCCCCTCCTATCCCCCTCTTCTCCCGGCCGCTCATTTCCCCCACTGCTTCCCCTCCTTCCCCCCCCCCCCCCCTTGCTTCCCCTCCAATCCTCCCGTGTTTCTGTGTCTTCTCTTTCCAGTCTCATCAGATTTGAGTGCGGTCCATTTTCAGTAAGAATGGAAAAATGCTCACATCTACCCTTCTTTCCATGCCTTCCTGCCATGCTTCTGCTTCCTCACCACTCCTTGCTCGCACTCACCTCCCTGCTTATGCTCCCCCCTCCCCTTGCTTCCCCTCCCTCCCCACCTCTACCAACTGTTTCCACTCTCCATTCCACCTCCAGACCGTGTTTGCCGCCTTGCCTTTCCATCGTGAGGGCTCCGTTCAGCATGGAACAAGATGAAGCAGTTTCGTTCAGTCTAGGCTTGTGTGTGCCCTCGCGGTTTCTTGACATCAGTAGAGTGTTACCACATTTCTATTCCATTATGTTCACATGCATCCAATTAGTAGACTTGATATTGGAAAAGGTTGAAAATAGGAGCTTTCAGAGTTGCTCGTACACATATAAATGCATCGCCAGCTATACAAAACAGCACCATCCTCTACTCTTATCAGCATGCCGAGACACATTCCCTTCACGCCGCCAAGTTTGCTTGGGCCATGCTTGGTCCTGTTTGTAGCTGGAGCAGAGTGAATTGGCACACGTGCTGACCTGTATGAAAAACGGGGCTGAAGGGAAGGGCATGGAGGGAAGGGCAGGGATGGGGAGGAAGGGGAGGGGAGTAAGGGGAGGGAAGGATGGGGAGGGAAGAAATGGAAGGGGGGGAAGGTTCCTGGAAGGATGCAAGATGGGAGGCATAAAGGGGAGATGAGATGGGGATTGGAAACGAGGGGAAAAGAGGTCAAAAGGGGACGGATGGGGGTGAAAGGTGATGGGAGGCATGACGGGAAGATGAGTTGAGGAGGTATGACCGAGAATGACAATGCACACCGAGGAAGAGAGGAAATGAGGTGGGCGAGATGAGGAGGGAGGCAGCTGTCATGTGGACCCGGGACCCTAAGAAGGGAAGGGGGGATGATGAGAAGGGAAGGGGGGATGATGAGAAGGGAAGGGGGGATGATGAGAAGGGAAGGGGGGATGATGAGAAGGGAAGGGGGGATGATGAGAAGGGAAGGGGGGATGATGAGAAGGGAAGGGGGGATGATGAGAATGGGGAAGGGGGGATGATGAGATGGGGAGGGGGGATGATGAGAAGGGAAGGGGGGATGATGAGATGGGGAGGGGGGATGATGAGAAGGGAAGGGGGGATGAGGAGATGGGGAGGCGGGATGAGGAGATGGGGAGGCGGGATGAGGAGATGGAGAGGCGGGATGAGGAGATGGGGAGGCGTAAGGGGAGGGGTGATGGACGGGAAGGGAGTGGAGATGGGAAAGAAGAAGGGCGAGAAGGAAAGGGTAGCCAACGGTGATGTGAGGTGTAGTAGCCTGCGTCACAGGGCGATGTGCACGCCACAGAGGTGCCACAGAAGCGCTGCGACCGATGCCATGCTAGCAGGGCGCGCGCCTGGTGGTGGGGAGGGGGATGGGGAGGGATGCAGATAGAAGGAAGTGGGGGGAGTGAATTGGCCTGAATGGACTGTGGCGGGAGGGGGACATAAGGCCGTGAAATGTCGGGGATGAGCAAAGTGGAGTGGCGGTCGAGGAGACAGGGAAGCAGGGAAGGGGAGGGGGGGGGAGGGGAAAATCGGATGGGGGGAAGGAGGGCTTGGGAGAAGGGGAAAGAATGAAGAGGATGGGGGGACGCAGGGAGGGGGATGGGGGGAAGGCGGGAAGGGGGATGAGGGGTCGCAGGGAGGGGGATGGGGGCGAGGCGGGAATCTGATGGGGGGAAGCAGGGGTGGGGATGGGGGGAAGCAGGGAAGGGGAGGGGGGGAAGCAGGGAAGGGGATGGGGGAAAGCAGAAAACCGGAGGGGGGGAAGAAGAAAACCGGATGGGGGGAAGCAGATGGCTCAGCAGGCGGGAGGGAAGGCGAAGGCGACGAGCAGTGGATGGCAGGGCGACGGGGAAAGCGAGGGCGACGGGGTAAGCGAGGGCGACGGGGAGAGAATTGACGGGGGACGAAGGGAGGGCGACGAGCAGAACGGACGGCGACGGGAAGAAGCGCGGGCGACGGGAGTGGTGGGCGACGGGAAGGGAGGGCGACGGGAAGGGAGGGCGACGGGAAGGGAGGGCGACGGGAAGGGAGGGCGACGGTAATGGGGGTGCGATCCTGTGAGGGGCAATGTGCGGGGAGCAGTGGCCGAGGCGTGTGTGATAGGATGTGCGACTCGCGGGCATTGTTTTACTCACGCACACATTCATCGGCGCCTCGCTCCGCCCCGGCAGCGGTGGATTCCGCCATTCCACGCGCGACGTGCAGATTATCCGTCGTAGCTAGATGTGTGAGGAGCTTTTCAGGAAGGAAGGTGCAACTATGCCGGTGTGTTTCGGTAAAACGGGAAGGGGCTTGTGTGCTGGAGGAGAATGACAGCTGGTTGAAAATGTGTGTTGTGTTTTCGTCGTCTGTGTTTGTCGCAGGGAGTGTCAAACCCCACGAACCTGTTTTCACTGGTTTGGGTGTGACAACAGGTTAGGGCGGTAGGTTTGGTGTTGAGGGTACAGTGTTCTGGTTTCGCCCGAAGTCACCCATCCTCTCGTGCAAAACTTCGCTGCTCGTGCACCAATCCCAGGCGCCAACACCCAACCAAGTGTAATACGTTAGAAAATCTGAGACGCGGGTTTTAAAACCCCGTCAATACTGAATACCCTTCCCAACCGTTCTTACAAAAAAACAAAGCCAGTCTATAACGTATAAAACCTTTACTAACTGCCTTCACGGTGGGTCAAAATGTCACTAAACCGCATGTGATAGGACCTTCTTGGGTGCGTTGCGTTTCTACTAACCGTGTTGTTCAGTACATCCGATGTCAGTCTAGCGAGAAAGAGGGTGTAGTTTCCATCCGAATTGCTGCGCATTCCTTTGTCAGGTGCTTCCACGTGGAATTGGGGGGAATACAGGTGGCTGATTGGCTAACAAGGTAAAGTGTTAAAGGTTTTAGGGGAAACCCCCTTTGGTATTACCCCGGATGTCGATCGTAATCCGCCTACCCACTTATTTACACACCTCGCTGGGAATCGAGGTAGGGCTAAGAAAACAAGAACATCTGAAACGGTGTTGAAATTCGTTAATGTCCCACCCTTCCTTTACCATTTTTTATACGACACTTAGCCAACCACCGTAAAGTTTGACCAATTTTGCAATGAGTAATACCAATGGGACCCCAAATCAGGTTGATACTGGAAATCGTTTGAGAGGTGGTAATTGCAGTGCATGGATCTGAAATACTTTCCTCAAAGTGTGTTGTGCACGGGTTCCTCCGTGATTTGCAAGGTGTACGCCAAGTTGGCTCCGCAGAACACGTTACACAAGGGGGAGGGGCATGGAGGACTTCACCATCATCAAATTTCATCACAATCTCCTTATCATCGTTGTGATTGGTCTAGTCTTGGAGTGCTCCACGCGTTGGTGCTTGGATGGCTCAAGGTGTACAGCGTGGACAGCCGAATTTTTGTTTTGGTCCGCGGGTTTCGGTGGGCAGGTTGCAGTCCGCGGGTTTCCGTCGCGGGTTCCGGTCCGCGGGTCAAAGAACTGACATGATCCATCCACGCCCAGTTATCACGAGTGCGAGCAGCACGAGTCACCCCCTGCACGAGTGGAAGTTCCGCGACAACATGAAAACATCATTCACCGAGTGTTGCCTCTAGCTTTTGGATGTCTGATTGATCAAGCAGAAAATAATTAGCGACAGTGGAACCAGCCCTGAAAGTATGCGGTGTGTTGCTCCATTCTTTTGTACAGTGTTGTTTGGCCCAGCTTGCCGCAAAGTTGGCAATTTCGCAAGTTTTTGTCGTAAACTGGTAATTAACCGTTTCCACCCTCATGTCATGATGACGATCTCGCGCAACCAACCAGCTACTCTTGCTACATCTGACCCAAAAGGCAGGTCGGGTTCTCGCCGCAGCATCTCAAACCTGGACCATAACTTATTTAGCCTGGTTTTCAAAGTGCAATTTGCCGCAAATAACGCCAGATTGTCAGGAGTGGGTTGGTTTTGCCCCACCCTGCCTGGTTTTCGGGGTTATCGGGCAAAGCAGGGTGCTTTCGAGCGTCGCCCTGCCATTTGGCAGGGTTGCCGAAAACCCATCGAGAGCACTGTTCATTTTATCCATGAAACGGTTCAAGCAAGGCCTGAGCTGTCGGACTTTCCAAACCAGCACTGTGCAGAACCCAACGGATCCGAGCACTTGACGATCTGTACAGTATAAATGTTAGGCTGTCTCTTTTGGAAACATTTTGTGCTGTGTTTCCCAACCGTTCTCGAAAAACGACAAGAACATCGCTTGTTGCAAAAAAGGTGCACAAAGCCGCCAGAATTTAATGCTGGCAGCAATTAGAGAGGACAAACAGAACAACTAGAACACAAAGTTCCGCAATGTCACTACAACGGGAACCCGTTACAGTACAATCACCGCTACCTTCTAATTGGTACGGACTGGAATGGCCACATCAATTTGCTTCCTCAACTAGATGTGCCTTATCTAATGCCGTTCCATCTAAAATCACAGGAAAGTACCTAAGGTTTACCTGAAACTGAAATATATCAAGGGCATTCTTTAAATTACATAGTGTAATATTTAAGCGTCCTTATGCACGTAGGGGAACTCAATAGAGTCATAACAAAACTGCCGTTTTATGTGATACATTACTGTTACTAAAAATATTCGCATCACACCCAGATCCATCGCTTGTAGCAGGGCTTCTGCCCAGTTGAATCTCCGGGCGCATAAACAATGTGCTTTCAACGAACATTGACGTGCAATTGTGCATATGAGACTGGATATACTATTAGGGAAAGCATAAAAAACATACATAAATGAAATCAACAAAGTCATTGGGAATGGCATCAACCCTAAACACCACGCACTATGGTGTTTACAGTTGCTGACTCTTTTACGGTTGCTAACATAAATAATATCAACCAATTTTGGGAAGTGCATCAATTCCAAACACCTTCTCAGTATGTGTTTAGGGTTGATGACTCTCTCAAAAAAATTCATTTAAGAGGGGTTTTTTCTGCCCAAATTTCAGGCCTACATGGTTCGGTGGTCGACGACAGCCATCAATTTAAACGAACTCGTTGGTCCGTCAATTGTGCGCACTATGAACGTCGATGTGTATTGAAAACGTAATATTTCTGCACACTGGTTTTCAAATGGGCAGAAACTCTGTTCCATAAGCGACAAATTGCAAGAAGTGAATATCTTCCACAACGGTGCTGTACCAACTGAAAACCCCAACAAAGTTTTACACATAATCCCTATATACATATTGCCATACTCAAGGCTGGCCAACGTGGAGGGTGAGAGTGACTAGGCGGTGTGCACTTGGGATGATAACTGTATGCATGCTAAAATAAATATCTATATATTGTATATTCCATGTCAAACTTATATCCTATATCTTGTGTAGGCTACCCCACTATAACCTACACAAGATATAGGATATAAGTTTGACACACCCCCATAGGCAAAGTGGGGGAGAACAAGAGGTCACAAGACCGGTCAAGAAAGGCAAAGCAAGCTCAGGGTGGATCACGAAGTCACCACGCATTCTGAGCACAAGCAAATGGCCACAAGGCCAGTTCACATGCAGAGTTATAAAAAGGAGAACAAGCAGTACAGTGATCACAACCTAGCAAGTGTAAGCATGCAGGTATATGTATATAGATCACAGTACAAGCAAAGTCAAGAAGTAAGCAAGTGAGGCCAAGTAGGCACAAGGCCTAGAACAATACAGAAACGCTGATGATCACAAGGCTGAAATGCCTTAGTGAAGATATCAGCAGAGTTAGCCCGAGAGGCCACGTAAACAAGACGAAGCTGACCGCGCTGCTGCAACTCACGAGCAAGGAAGTAGCGCAGAGCGATGTGCCAGCCAGGCGCGTCAGGGGGAAAACCAAGGAAGACGCAGGGAATGGCGCGGGAGGAGAGCTTGTCCGCGGACGTATCGCGGACAAAGGCACGAGAACCCCAGACCCGGAACACCGACGCATCGCCAACCTTCCCTGTCCAACGCAGTGTGGGCGAGGTCTCCGGCAAGGAGACACGGGGCCAGAGGTTGAGCTGATGCGCAACGTACCGGACCGCAAACGGCCACAGAAAATGGGGGGCAGCCGCATGGATCATGGAGGTACGAGCGACCTCCATGACTAAGCCAATGCGGCGCTCAGCAACCCCATTCTGCTGCGGAGAGGCCGGAAGTGTGAACGACTGGAGAATGCCCTCCCCACGACAAAAGTCCCGCAAGAGGTCGGAGGAAAACTCACCACCTATGTCAGAGTGCAGACGCAGGACTGGAAGGTCCGTGTGGAAACGCTCGTGGAGCTGGAGACGGACAGCGCAGATCCAAGGGATCAAAACATCAGGGACCTCACCCTTGCTGCGCAAGGGGAAGACCGTGGTGTAACGCGAGTAGTCGTCAACGACCAGCAGAAAGTAGCGCTCACGGCCCTGTCCACGGACGTGGGCTGGGCCCCACACGTCCATGTGGAGAGTCTGCAGGGGAGCAGTCGTCGGGGGAAACGAGGAGGAGTGAGGAGCGGCGCGCTGCCGCCCCTCGATACAGGGAAGGCAGGGAGGGGCAGGCGAGAGGTGGGAGGGGAGGCAGAATCCTGGGAAGACCAGAGACAAGGACACGGGAGTGCATGCCACGGAGGCGCTGCATTGAGGGGTGACCAAGACGGTGGTGCCAAAGGAGGGTCTGGTGCGACAGAGCGCGACACGAGCAGGGGGCCGCTAGCTGACCGACGCAGACGCAGACGCAGCTACCTGAGGAGACACAGTAGTCAGTGTGTACAGACTCGAGCCAGGCGCACGGGTGAACGTGGCCAGGTGCCGGCCAGTCCGAGAGCACGTACAGATCGCCACACGCTATCCTCCTGGAGTAAAGGTGTCAACCCATACATCCTGAAGGACGGCGTTGCTCACCAAGTTCGTAGAGAACGAGGGAGGTGAAGACCTGACAGTGAGGCAGACGGAACTGCCGGACACGGGAGAACAGTGGAGGAACTTGCAAGGACTGGGCCCCCAGAGGGGTCAGCCAGAGAGACAGCAACCGGTGCAGGGAGCAGTGTGAGTGCGGTACTGTCGCGAAAGAAACAGCGGGAAGCACCTGAGTCAAGCGTGAAGGTGTGCAAGGCCTCAGCAGGCGGAGTACCAAAGAGAGCAGACTTACCAGCACCTAGAGCAGCGGACTCACCAGCACCTAGAGCAGCAGACTCACTAGCACCTAGAGCAGCAGACTCACTAGCACCTAGAGCAGCAGCCTCTATACCTGGGTCGGGCGGCACACACAGGTAACAGTCACCCTCAGCACTAACAAGCAATGCATACATGGCAGTGAGGATAACATCATAGTCAAGAGCAAAGATATCCACCCTCTGCCTAAGCAGCTCCACCCAGCGGGGGAGCTCAGCGGCGTCGCCAAACTCAGCACGCCAGGCGTCGCTAAGACAGGTGAAGCAGCGGGACTGTGTGTGACCAAGTGTCCCGCAAGTCTGACCAGCCCGATCACCTGTGCGAATGACGTACGGGCAGCGAACAGTACTCCGAGACCCCCTATTCTGAGCGTACCAGTCGCGAAGCTGCTGGGGCGTAAAGGTATCGCGAGGACGCCGCTGCAGCTGCATCTGGCCACCGCCAGAAAATCCCGACTGAATAGCTCCACTGCGACTTCCACTACGGCCGCCACCACCACTCCTACTAGCGAACCACTCACGAAGCTGCAGGGGCGTGAGGGTCTCGCGCGGACGCCGCTGGAGTTGCATCTGGCCACCACCAGAAACTCCCCGCTGAACAGCTCCACCGAGACTGCCACTACGACCGCCGCCACCACTCCCACTGCTACCACCACCGCCGCCACCACTCCCACCGCTACCACGAAGAGACGCCATAGCGGGAAAAGCACGGAGGCGTGGAACAAACACAGCAGTACGCAGGGAAGGCAGGGCGGCGAGCAGGCACTAGGGTAGGTCGTGGCGGCGTACGGTCAGGGAAGGGCGATGCGCGGCCAGAGCAGGGCAGCGCGCTGCAAGTAGGGCGGTGCGCGGGCAGGGGAGGGCGCGCGGGCAGGCAGGGGCAGCTCGCGGGCTGCAGAGGGCGGCGAGCGGGCTGCCAAGGCGAACGCGACGGGCAAGGGCAGGGCAGAGCGCGGGCAGCAGGGCGACGCGCGGGCTGCAGAGGGCGGCGCGCGGGCAGGCAGGGGCGGCACGCGGACGGGCGACGGGACGGCAGCCCGCACGACGCGACGGGCGACGGGCGACGCGACGGGCGACGGGCAGAGACAGGGCGGACGGGCGACGCGACGGGCTGGGGCAGCCCTCACGGGCGACGCGACGGGCGGAGGCAGGGGGGACGGGCGACGCGACGGGCTGGGGCAGCCCGCACGGGCGACGCGACGGGCAGAGGCAGGGCGGACGGGCGACGCGACGGGCTGGGGCAGCCCGCACGGGCGACGCGACGGGCAGAGGCAGGGCGGACGGGCGACGCGACGGGCTGGGGCAGCCCGCACGAGCGACGCAACGGGAAGCAGGGGCGCCCGGGCGGCGCGACGCGACTGGCAGCAGGGGGGCACGGCGCAACGGGCAGCAGGGGCACGCGACGCGACGGGCAGCAGGGGCGCACGGCGCGACGGGCAGCAGGGGCGTGCGACGCGACGGGCAGCAGGGGCGCGCGACGCGACGGGCAGGGCGTGCGCAGGGCGGCGCGACGCGGGGCAGGGCAGGGCGTGCGCGGGCAGCGCGACGCAGGGCAGGGCGTGCGCGGGGCGGCGCAACGCAGGGCAGGGCAGAGCGTGCGCTAGGCAGCGCAGCGTAGGGCAGGGCAAGGCAGCGCAGCAGCCACCAGGGCGGCGCGCGGGCAGGGTAGCGCGACTGGTGGGGCAGCGCGACAAACACGATAGGGCGCTACGGGCAGGGTAACGCGCTACGGGCAGGGAACGATTCGGTGGGCCCAAAAAAAACTGTCCTAGGTCAGGACCTGCTCTGAAACCATGTCAGAATTATGAACGAGGATGTATGAACTAGCAGCAAGATGGGTACAAGTAGCAAACCCTAATTGGGTTGTACCCCAGATGGGCTACCCCACTATAGCCTACACAATAAGCAACATATAAGTTTGACAGGTAGTTATAACGGAGTGGGAATGTAGGGGCTCGAATGCAGGTGTCAGTGTCGTCAATGAATTGGGTGTTGGCGGTGGACAGTACCCGATGTAGTTGACCATACTTCTACGCTGTCTTGCTGCCTTATGAATATGTTCCCACGTTCCCCCACTATGTGATTGTGCTCCCTTGTTGCCTTATGACCACGCTCCCACATTGCCTTGCGGCTGCATTTTTTTTTTTTTTTTTTTTTTTTTTTGCTCAATTCTTGCATGGACCTTCAACATGGTGCATAAAGGGAGTGGTATGAAGGAGCTGATCCGCCGGCTGCAAGAGGACAAAGCCGCCGCCCACCTTGCCGCCCGGCAGCGAGAGAGGATTCTGGAGGAGAAGGCGGTTTATGATGAGGAGAGAGTGGAGGTGCTGAGGCAGATCATGCAGCGGCAGCAGGAGGAGGTAGAGTGGTTGGAAGGGGAGTTAGAGCGGTGCAGAAGGCAATTGGGGGTGTTGTGGGAGGCTAGGATGGCTGTGATGGGGGAGGAGGAAGGGGGAGAGGGAGGGGGGGTGGGATGGGGAGAGGGTGGAGGGATGGGAGGGTTTGAGGGGATGGGAGTGGGGGGAGGAGTGGGTGGGGTTGATGTGGACTGGGCGCAGTTGTTGGGGGAAGAGGGGGTGGCGGATGATATGTTGGGGGGAGGAGCGATGGGGCGAGGGGAGTTGGGGGAAGGGGGTATGGGGGGAGGGGAGATGGGGGGAGGGGAGATGGGAGAGGGACAGACGGGAGTGGGACGATGGGATGGGGACGGGGAGGGGCAGAGAGATGGAGGGGGAGACGAGGATAGGGAGACGGAGGAGGAGGGTGTGGGGGAGAAGGAGAGAGGAGGGCAGGAGGAGGGAGGAGAGGGGGGTGAGAAGGTGGAATATGGTGGGGAGGACGAGAGGCTTCAAGAGGCCAGCAGGGAGGATGGCTCTTCGCAAGCCGAAGGTGTGCGTGAAGACGAAAATATCAGAGAACCTTTGACAGTGTTAGATAATGAGAAGGACGTGAGTGTTCTGGATGTGGGGAGCTTGGACATGAGGGTTCCAGGGAGTATTGAGGGGGCTGAGTATTCCAAGCTGGACGACAAGAGGGGTGAGGAGGATGCGAGGAGTGGGACATGTGAGTTGGTGGAAGAAGAGGCGTTGGAGTGTTGTGGGGATGGGCCAGCTTGTGTTGAGAATGGGGATGAGGCGTGCAGTGAGGGTGGGGGAGAGTCACGCGTTGCTGCAGAGCCGGGAAATGAAGGTACGGAGAAGGAAGGAGAGGAAGAGGAGAAGGGAAGGGAGGAGGAAGAGAGGTTGGTTGAGTCGGACGAGGAGGAGAGGAATGAGGGGACGGATGAGGAAGGTGAGGGGAGTAAGGAGAGGAGGGATGATGGGGCAGGCGAGAGGGAGGAGGGGCACATGGTTGTGAATGGAGGGGAGATGGAGGAGGGGGAGGGGGAGGAGATGGGGGAGGAGAAAGGGGAGACGGGGGAGGACGAAATAGAGGAGGCAAATGAGGAGAGGGAGGGGAGGATGGAGGGGCGGAGAGGGGAAGAGAAGGAAACAGAGGAAGATTTTGATGGTGAGGAGAAGAAGGGGGGTGATGTGGAGGGGCAGGCAGAGGGGGAGAAAAGCGAGGAGGGCGGGGAGAAGGGAGAGAGGGAGTGGGAGGAGAAAGGAGAGGAGAAGGGGGAGGAGAAGAAGGATGAGGAAGAGAAGGAGGAGGGTGAGGAGGATGCAGGGCTTCTGGATGAGAAGGTGAATGGGAATGCGGGAGGGGATGCAGAAGCGGGAGGGTTGCGTGAGAATCAAGCCACGCATGGGCATGAAGAGCGGAAGGAGTTGGGGGAAGAGAGTGTGCAGAATATGGGGTCGAGCGGAGGTGACTCGGGAGACCTGGACGAGGTGTGGCGCGAGTTTGAAGCGCAGATAGACCCCTCTGCTGCATCAGAGCACGGAAACGCAGAAGCAGCAGCAGCAGCTGAAGGGGAGGCCTCTTTTCTCGGTGTGCCGTCGCCGCTGCCGCCTCTCTCAGTGTTTGTGACCCCAACCAAGGAGCTGCAGCGGCTGAAGAGCTCGTCTAGAGCCAGCTCTGCTAGCGCGGGGGGCTCGCCCTTAGGCTCTCCCCATGCAGCTGTGGGTGCCAGTGGCAGTGGGAGCGGTGGGAGTGCGTTTCGCTTGCCCAGGCAGCTGACTCCGAATGATCAGATGAAGCGAGCTCGACAGGTGAGGGGAGGGGTGAGTGAGACAGGTGACTTGCTTGGAGAAATGAGAGAAGGGAGAGGGAAGAATGAGAGAGTTAAAGGAGAGGTGAGAGGCGGTGAGAGGTGGGAGATATGTGAGAGAGTGGGCTCCGCAACCTCGCCCCATGCAGCTGCGGCTGCGAGTGGCAGTGGGAGTGGTGGGAGTGCGTTTCGCTTGCCCAGGCAACTGACGCCGAATGACCAGATGAAGCGAGCTCGACAGGTGAGGGGAGGGGTGAGGTCTGTGAGGGAGGTGAGATGGGTGAGAGGTGGGAGGGGTGAGAGAGATGAGAGAGGGATGGGAGTTGTGAGAGGGGTGAGAGGGTTGGGAGGGGTGAGAGGGTTGGGAGGGGTGAGAGGGGTGAGAAGGGAGAGGGGTGAGAGAGTGAGCTGAGAGAGAGGTGAGGGAGAGGTGAGGGAGAGGTGAGGGAGAGGTGGGAGGGAAGTGAGAGGCACACGCCGTTCACACACGACCTACTATTGTTACAAAAGCCTTCCCAGGTTTGCACGTGTGCAGCATGCTAGAATAATCTGTGAACATCAGCAGCAAGTTTTGAGGCGCCTCAAAAGGCATCTGTGAACATCAGCAGCAAGTTCTCATTTTGCATTTTCATCACACGCTGCCTGCCTCTCCTCCTCCCTCTGCAATTTGTTATCTCGCTCTGTTGGGATCTGCAGGAAGAGACGAGGAAGCTTCTGGACTGCCTGACTGTGCTGGATGTGGAGAGTGAGATGCGGCTGAGGGAGCTGGAAGGGGGGGTGCTGCCCAAGTGAGATGGAAGAGGAGGGAGTTATACCCATGTGACCTGCCTTGCGAGTCGATGCAACAACTGTGTAGCAGCAGGTGTAAAGGAGGCTTTCTCTCGACTGTGCTGGGCATGGAGAGAGAGGGATGTGGCTGAGGAGCCTGGAAAGCAAGGATTGGGGCTACCCAAGTGGTATAGATTTGCTACAAGTGTACCGTAGTTATTAGTTATGGCTGTACCATGCTGATTGCTGCTAGGTGTGGTATGGTTAATTAGTATTAACTGCAACTGCTCAATATGCAGTGCCGTGTAGTCTATGGCGGTATACGCTCTCAGCATGCACCATTTTGGTAACACAGATACCGTAACACATGACACTTAGGTTGAAAAATCTGCAAATAATACAGGATTGTTGAGTCTTCCACAGATACCACGCCATGTAAGATCAATATGAAGAATATGTTGAAGATAGGCTGAATCAGCATACCAAGGGTGGAATATGAGGGCTTGGACTATGCCTGTCATGTATAGTTGCTTTCACTATTTTGCACTCTCGTTTTGAAGAAGCCAAGGTACAAAATAATAAGTATAACACAAGATATCTTCCATTATAACGAATGCATCTTTTTTTTGCTATTACGGTAACTCAATACATCGCGTTGGAAGCACAACTCCCGCCCGCCGCAAGCGCTGGGGCCAGCGCCAATGTCGGGAAATTATTATACGGTAGTTAAACTGTTCCGTGCTTCATGGTCGAAGGGTCACTTTCTCACAGCCCACAGATGACTTGAGGTGCAGCACATAAGACCTGTGCATGCACACACACACACATGCACTCCCGCATGCTACATACATGTATGCACCGGATGATAGCACACCCACATGCACTGTGTGCACAAGCAAGCACGCATGGAGACCTGCAAGCCATCCCTCAGTTTTGATATGTCAGATAGTTACAAATGGACTGGCAATTCAAGGCTCAGTATACCCAAGTCAGAGGAGGAATGTTTCCATGCCTTTCCTCCCACAAGCACAACCCACCCACAAGCACCCACCCACATCCATCCACGCATACCCAACCATTCACCACCCAACCACAAATATAACCACCCCCATCCACCCAACCACCCACCAACCCCCAACAAACCACACCTGCCACCCATCCACAAGTCTGCACCCACCCATCCCCTTCCTCCCCCCCACCCCCTCCTCCTCTAAACCAAAATCACCTACCCCACACACGTAGCAATCACCGACATGCACCCATAAACCATCCAGAACACACACCACCACCACCCACAATCAGCTTCCCACCCACCCACGCCCAACAACCAACCCACACTCAACCTGCAAGCCATTCCCCACAAGCACCCAGCAACCATCCCATCCAGAACACACCACCCATCCAGAACACACCACCCATCCAGAACACACCACCCATCCAGAACACACCACCCATCCAGAACACACCACCCATCCAGAACACACCACCCATCCAGAACACACCACCCATCCAGAACACACCACCCATCCAGAACACACCACCCATCCAGAACACACCACCCATTCAGAACACACCACCCATTCAGAACACACAACACATTCAGAACACACAACACCCAGCCCAGCCCATCCCACCTTACCTGTCAGCAGTAGGAGCAGCAGAAAGCCCACCTCCTTTTGGAAACAGAACCCCCAGAGGCGGTGCTTTGCGGGGTGAGGTGTGGTAGTGGAAAATTGCTTCCAGCCCAAGACTCAAATCCCACCCCTGACGTAGCCAGAGCTGACGCGAACCAGAGCCGCCGGCCGGTCGACTTTGACGGTGTCCATTAGGCCTTGCACGTCAGATCGGTTACTTGAGCACCGAGTGCCGTGCCGCGCAGATTCCACCCACCACACCCCGACCCACAACGCACAACCCCAGAAGGTGCCGCCCCTAAGGTAGTGAACTCCCCGCTTGCTCCCATGCTTCCCACCCACCCACCCACCCCACACTTCACCCCCATGCCTCCTTACCTCTACCTACCTCTACCTACCAGAGCCATGCAGAGCGCCATGATGCCTTGGGCTGCTGGGAAGGGGGTGGGGAAGGGAGGGGGGGATGAACGGAAGGAGGGGACTCCACAGTGGTCCAGGCAGGGTGCTGCTGGGAGGGAAGGGAAAAGCGAGAGAGGACGAGGTGAGTGAGAGGGTGGACTTCACTCTCCTGTCCTTGCTCCAGTGCTCCCACTCTCAGGCTGCAAAAAAGACAAGCGGGGGAGGGGGAAGAGAGAGAGGAGAGAATCAGACTACCATACCTCACCTGATACCATACCTCACCTGTTACCATACCATACCTGATACCATACCTCCCCACAGCTTCAGCTAGCCTAGCCTGCCCCCTAACCCCCCACCCCGACCGCTGCTACTGCTGCTGCCGCCACTGCTTCTGCTGCTGCAACTGCTGCTGCCGGTCTGCTACTCTGCTTCCTCTTCTGCAGTCTTCTCCTGCTGCCAAGCGACCTGGTAGCGGGCAGAAAGTGGGGGGGGAGGGACGGGAGAGGAGGGGCAGGAGGAGCGAGTAAGTTGGCATGAAGGAAACACTAAAGTAAACCGAAGAACACTAGAGTGGACTAAAACGAGAATGCAGAATTGAAGAGAGGGAAATGAGGCATATGTAGCAGGGAGGGGAAAAGTGGCTCACCTTGGTTCAGACAACCCATCCCAATACTCTCCCATCCCATCCCAGCCGAGTGGAGTTCTCCCCTCCTTCCCTCCCACCACAGCCACCTGCACGGCCACAGGGGAGAGACGTGAGGGAGTGGCGGTGTTGACCCCCACGCCCCTCCCCTCCACCTGCAATGGCCCACAGAGAAATAGTGAGTGACTGGAGGAGAGGCGAGGGGGTGAAGGAGGAGATGCACGGTCAGAAGAAGCAGAGGGGAAGGGGTCACTGGTGCAACCTCAGTTACAAGCCACAGACCCAAGGGGGAAATATACCTAGGAAGGCTTAACCTGAGAGTATACCTGCTGTACCAGGGGAGGGGGATCTACCTTAGAAAAAGCGGGTCTGTGGCTTGAAGCTTTGGCTGAACCAGAGTCTTGCGTTTCAAGCGAGAAGAAACAGGAGATGCAGCAAAGAACACAAGAGAGAACGGGAGTAGAGAGGCAGGGCAGGAACTTAGCTGCGGGTGGGTTGGGTGGAGAGCAGCTGCTGCCTGTGCACTCCATGTCCCCCGCCACTGCCACTTCTGTATGAGTGAGGGGAAGGAGGGGGGGGAGGGGAGGGAGGCAGGGAGCAAGGGACAGCAGTGAGCATGGTGGGGAGAAGAGCAAGCAACGGCGTAAGAGAAAGAAAGAACAGACATTCAAGCATCTGAGGCAGGGAGGGAAAAGAGGCCCACCTTGGTTCAGACGACCCAGCCCGATACTCTCACATCCCATCCCAGCCGAGTGGAGTGCTGCCCCCCTCCCTTCCCACCACTGCCACCTGCACGGCCACACGGGGAGGGGAGCGGGGGAGTGGCGGTGTTGACCCCCACGCCCCTCCCCTCCACCTGCAAGGAGAGAACTGAAGACAAGTGAGTAAGCGGCTAAGGTTAACAATGTGAAGGGTGTGCATGGGTGGGGTAGGGTGGGGTGGGATGGGGTGGCAGGTAACAGCAGGAAAGGAGGCCACTGGTGCAGCTTCAGCTACAAGCCACAGACTCGAAGGGAGGCTTAACCTGAGAGGATACCTGTACCTGGGGTGGTTTACCAAAGAAAAGGGTCTGTGGCTTGAATTTGTAGCACGACCAGAGGCTCAGCTCAGGTTTGAAGGGAGGTTCAGGTCTCCTGGGTGTGACAAAGGGCGGAACATGAATAGGAGAGAAAGGGCGGGGTACTTAGCTGTGGGTGGGTTGGGTGGAGAGCAGCTGCTGCCTGTGCACTCCATGTCCCCCGCCACTGCCACTCTCGTGTGAGCGACCTGCTGGGACGAGAGGGGGCAGGTCGGGACAGAGAGAGGAAGGGAGGAGGGGGGGGAGAAAACGGGGAAGTGAAGGGGGCGCAGAGGAGTGGGGAGAGCAGTGAGGAAAGAAGCCAAGACAAGTGAAAGTGAAGAGTGCAGCAAGCGTAAGCATGATGCGTGCATGAATGGACTGCTGCAGTGGCACACCCAAGAGACCTCGTACCAGCTGAACCAAACTAAAACAAATACCTGAGGCTGTACCAAGAAAAAATATACCTACTACCTTGGGGGAGGGAGGTCTCATGGGTGTGACAAAGATCAGTGAAAAAGGGAGTGGAATGCATGGTGCAAGCATTACAAGCAAAGCAACACACTGCGAGGGTTGGGAGAAGAGAGGAAGGGCGGGGTACTTAGCTGTGGGTGAGTTGGGTGGAGAGCAGCTGCTGCCTGTGCACTCCATGTCCCCTCCACTGCCACTCCCGTGTGAGCGACCTGCTGGGACCATAAGGGGGCAGATTGGGACAGAGAGAGGAAGGGGGGAGTAGGGGAGGAAAACGGGGGAGTGAAGGGGGGGCAGAGGAGTGGGGGGAGCAGTGAGGAAAGAAACCAAGACAAGTGAAAGTGAAGAGTGCAGCAAGCGCAAGCATGATGCGTGCATGAATGGACTGCTGCAGTGGCACACCCAAGAGACCTCGTACCAGCTGAACCAAACTAAAACAAATACCTGAGGCTGTACCAAGAAAAACGATACCTACTACCTTGGGGGAGGGAGGTCTAATGGGTGTGACAAAGAGCAGTGAAAAAGGGAGTGTAATGCAGGGTGCAAGCATGACAAGCAAAGCAACACAGCGCGAGGGTTGGGAGAAGAGAGGAAGGGCGGGGTACTTAGCTGTGGGTTAGTTGAATGGAGAGCAGCTGCTGCCTGTGCACTCCATGTCCCCTCCACTGCCACTCCCGTGTGAGCGACCTGCTGGGACCAGAAGGGGGAAGATCGGGACAGAGAGAGGAAGGGAGGAGGGGGGGGAGGAAAACGGGGGAGTGAAGGGGGGGCAGAGGAGTAAAGAGAGCAGTGAGGAAAGAAGCAAAGAGTGAAGTGAGAG